TTAATCTTAGGAAACCTCAGAAAGGTAGTAAACAGCTTACGTAAGCACACTGAATGTAAATATTGTTGTAAATTTAAATGTAAATATTAATTTAAAAAACTTGAATGTAAATATTATATATATATATAAGTGTGCGATTTCAAAATTACATGGCGTTATAGAATATTAACGAGTTTAACAAGAAAAAATTTCTTAAAAGATATGATTAAATGTAGGAAATAATTATTGTCAACATTTTTTATAGAGAAAAAAAAGGGCATTTTCATTCCCCTCCATTGATTCGCTGTAACATGTAAGTAACCGCTCCAGTTGGCCCTGATGCTGTGGTAAATTATACACCGGTAGAAACAGCCGGTATAATTTAGCAAGGATAAAGCTTAGAGGTTGGTCGGTGATAGCGGTAAGTAATGACCACTGGTAATGTGCTGTATCTACTTTGCCAAGAAGCAAAGAAGCTTCTCTGGCATTCGGGCTTTTATTAAACAGTGTCTTTGTTCGAAAGAAAGAATGAAAGGGAGAGAATCGTTCGAGAATGTCATTTTATCTTTCTCAATTTTCCGTAAAGTAAAATTTTCATTTTTCCCTATAATCTCCATATCAAGATCTCTTGTTCATACTGGAAAAAAAAATCAAATTTGAATGTAAGGTTATTGAAAATAAATAAAAAAAAGGAAAAAACGATATAATTTATTCTTATATTTTAATGAAACGAGAATGAAAAAGAGAGGAGGGGGCAAGAGAGAGAGAGAGAATTAGAACGATTCAAAAACTCTCACGATTCGATCTCTTTCATTTCTTTTTTTATACTACCCACATCTTTGGCTCCAATGACGTCATTCACAAGAGAACCAACGATCGACACGATTACATTCACGGTGGTAACAGGGATGGAAGGGGGAAGGGGGGGGGAGGGTTAGATAGATAGGTAGGTAAAAGGAAGGGACGTGTTGCAACCCCATGAAACATCTTATCCCGCCAATGAAAACGGTTCGAGCCACTGACAACCATCCTTACGCGCACCAATCGCGGAAGGAGATCGTCTTTGACTAGATAGAAAAAGGGAAAGAGAGAGAGAGAGAGAGAGAGAGAGAGAGAGAGAGAACGAGAATCTGAGTTTTGGAGGGGGGAAGAGAACTTAAGAGGACCAGAAGACAATGGTACCGTAACATTGTTGCTTCCGATGTCCGAGCAATCGGTCTTAACGTTGGCAGAATTTGTTCTCTCTGGAAACATAATATCGTTGTAATAGAAAAAGAAATATATTCTTCTCGAATTTTGAAAGAAATCGTTTATTAATATCGCTTCTCGAAAATTAAAAGTAACGAGTGCGATCAAATTTATTCGTAATGAGTGGATCGGGAAAAGGATTACTCGGAATGTGGTTGTATAGGAGGACCGAAGGATGGACCATCAAGGAAGGCAGTCCAATACATAAAAATCCTGACGTGAGTTATCCATTAATACGTTTTAATAGATATTAATAATCAATGAAATATTATTATCACGAAGGATAAACATTTATTGGTTATACGTATAAAAGGATATGTCCTTTCGTTCGTTCAGATCCCCATGCTCGAAAGGGAAAGCAATAACGAGAATAAAAATTCCGTGGTTTTTTCGTTAAAAAATCAAGTTGGCGGATTGGCACGAGCTCTTCAAGTTTTTCAAGTAAGATCCTGAATGTCCTTAGAGGGAGAGAGAGAGAGAGAGAGAGGGGAGGAGCTTTGAAAGGACTAAAGTTGAACTTACTCAAAGACGAACTTTTCAACTTTTTAAGGATTTAGGTGTAAACGTCGTACACATCGAATCGAGAAAATCACTTCGCCGTGGCTCCGAGTACGAAATACTCGTTGATGTCGAATGCGATTCCAAAAGGATGGAACAGTTAATGAAAATGTTGAGCCGAGAAGTTTCGGCCATTAATTTGGATCAGTACGAACAAACAGGGAGCATTCCTCAACAAGCACCCTGCTTGTCGACTGCTCCGAGTTTCGGTACATGTTTTTTTTTCACGATTATTATATCTATTTTTATCGTATTTCTATATCTTATATCTATTTTTGTGTTATAATAATGATATGAATGTTACATTCTTCGAAGATTTCACCGAAGTCGACATGCCTTGGTTTCCACGAAAAATATCCGATCTCGACCAGGCTCAAAAAGTATTGATGTACGGATCTGATTTAGATGCCGATCATCCTGTACGTTAAGAATTTTTTCTTTAAGAAGAACGAATCTTTTCTTATATCTTCTTTTTTTGCGTTTTTCCTTTTCCATTTAGCAAGAGTTTCAAGAGTTATTTCTTATATTCCTTTTTTCCGCTTTTTCGTATTGCAGGGTTTCAAAGATCCGGTGTATCGTAAACGTAGACAAGAATTCGCGGATATCGCGAATAATTACAAGCAGTAAGTTAAATTTAAAAAGGAATTATGTAATTTGATGTTAATCGTTCTCGACGTTATTCTTTTCTTTGTTCTTCTTTTTTTCCATTGCAAATATATTGCAGCGGTCAAGCAATTCCTAGGATACAGTATACTCCAGAGGAGATCAGGACGTGGTAAGTGAATTTAAAAATGACAGGATATAGGACAAAAAGAAAAGAAAGAAAATTGAGAGAGAAAGAGAGATTGTATCATTGTTCTCGTTAGGTAAAAGTTAGAAACGTGCTTTTTCTCGCACGAAGCCAATCGAAGAAGAAAAGTAAAGTAAACTTCTCTTCTTCGCCTCCGCTATAGCGCGTTTGATTTCTTGAAAAGTGTTTCTCATCTTTCTCTGTCGCACGCACGCACGCACGCACACCCACACGCAAATGTACAAGTACAGTCGCTCCTTAATCACCCTATCCCCCTATTGCTTCGTCTTCTCCATTCGTGAAGGAAAGCTAGCGTAGTTCGTACTGAATGCACCCTTAATTGCCCTAATTTGATTTACTCAGCGATATAGAAGAAGAAGCGCTTCGATAAATTCGAGATATTAACTTAGAAAAAATATATACTACTCGGCTTTCTATCTCTTTATTATATAAAAGAATTATCTTACAGGGGTACGGTGTTTCGTGAATTACATCAGCTTTATCAGAAGCACGCGTGCATGGAGTATCTTGAAAATTGGCCGAAACTTGTCAAATATTGCGGCTATAGGTATTGTTTCCTTGATAAGATTTCTTTTTCTTTATTGTGATATCTTTTTTTTTTTCTTTTCCTTCTGGCATTTTTTATTTTACAGTGAAGATAATATACCACAATTGGAGGACGTGAACATTTTCTTAAAACGTGAGTACGAATACTTAGTGATTTATCATCGATGAAAATTCATAAAGAAGATACAAAAGTTGGCGTTTTCCTTGACAGGAACAACTGGATTCCAGCTTCGACCAGTTGCCGGATATCTTTCACCAAGAGATTTTCTTGCAGGATTGGCTTTTCGTATTTTTCATTGCACTCAATACATCCGTCATTCTTCTGATCCTTTTTATACTCCCGAACCGTACGTCGAATATATTTATTTTTCGAATATATTTGTTTTCCTCTCTCTCTTTCTCGCTTTTTTATTTAACATGCATTTAAATATATAATAATATTTAATCGTTAGGAAACTAATAAACACCTAATTAATAATGATAATAGTACGTACTTAAAAAAAAAAAATCTTTTTAACGTAACAGCTTTTTGCTCTATGAGAAATCATGTAACTCCTGTATTATTATGTTAGAGATATTCTATTTTTTCTTTTTTTTTTTTTTTTTTTTTTTGTTTTTTTTTGTTTCTTTTTTTCTCTCTTCTCAAAGTATAGTTTATTGCAGTAATCGTTGTATTCATAAAAAAAAGAAGACTTATTTAAACCTTACGTAAAACGTAAAGATAATAGAACTTCGTTCGCAGAGATTGCTGTCATGAATTGCTAGGACATATGCCGCTCTTGGCAAACAAAAGCTTTGCACAATTTTCTCAAGAACTTGGTCTGGCATCCTTGGGTGCGACGGATGACGATATCGATAAGCTTGCAACCGTAAGTTAGACAGAGAAAGAAACGAAAAAAAGAAAGACGACCATATTATTTTACGAAATAATAAATAAAATTTGGTACACTTTTCGTATATCCCTATTTAGCTCTACTTCTTCACGGTCGAATTTGGTCTCTGCAAACAAGATGGTACCTTGCGAGTTTACGGAGCAGGATTGTTATCTTCCGTAGCAGAACTGAGACACGCAGTAACTACACCGGAAAAGACATTTAGATTCGAGCCCGAAATCACGTGCAAACAAGAATGCATTATAACGGCTTTTCAAAATGCATATTATTATACGGACAGTATCGAGGAGGCAAAAGAGAAAATGCGGTAAAAATGAATTTTCCGTAGCCCTCCCTCCGAAGTATTTATTCCTTGGTAATAATATTCGAGTCAATAATATTTTCGAAATGTTTGTTACGCAGGGCATTCGCAAGTGAAATTCAACGTCCATTCGGTCTGCGTTATAATCCTTACACGCAATCAGTAGAGGTTCTTACTGATGCGCAAAAAATAACGGCCGTTGTGAGCGAGCTTCGTGGTGACCTGTGCATCGTCTCGAATGCTTTAAGGAAAATTCATGAACAGGACGATACCGTGGACGTCGAAGGTATAACGAATCTCTTGACTCAAGGAATAGAACTCACTCGAGATACTTCATCCTCTGACAGCGAGGACACCGATAAGAGTCCTAACGTCGAAGAACGTCAAACCAATTCTTCGAAATAATAAAGTTGAATACGCGACATAATCGAATATTGCGGTATAATCGAATTATGATGGGCTAGGTGTTGTTTATTGTCTATAAAGTTTATCAATTTCTTCGTCCTTATGCATGAACATAGAATGTTATTCCCTTCTCTCTCTCTCTCTCTCTCTCTCCCTCTCTCTCTCTCTCTCTCTCTTCGGCTTTTGGAAAAATCTCTTTTATGTTTGATTTCAAGTATAAATAAAAGGTTAAAGGGTAAAGATGATCAACGACAAAATTCCCATCCTTTGTCCAATTTTATATAATCACGTTACATTATTATTTTCACGTTACTTTTTTATTACGCAATAAATCCATAAAAAAAGAAGCATTGACATTATCGAATGTGTTAAATTTGGCGCCTTACATTCGACCAATCAAGATTATTTGCGACTGCGCATGAGTCAGAATTTCCCTCCATCTGACATCGACAATATGGCTGTACATAATTGACATAACGTAGAGGTTAATCCAAGAAAAAGAAGTCATTGAATTTTTATACTCGACCCATCTTGAGCGTTTACCACTTGATTTTACCGAGTGCTCGAATATTTCGCGGAATGTCTGAAATAATATCCGCAAGGATAAAATAAAAAGAACATTTGACAAGGGTCACGATTATGAAGTAACCACCTGATCGTTTACCATATACAAATGTCATTATTTTCGAGAAATTATATTTTATTTTTCTACGTAAAAAATGTCTAGTGAGTTTATTAATCTAGTGAATTATAATTAAATATGTTACCCTCTTAGAAAGGTACTCCTATTATATATCGTATGTTTAACACGGAGAAATGGCGCAAATACAAACTCCAAGCGCTGATGGCCTTCCAAAACATTTTGTTAGCGCAATGCGTACGCTTTTTGATATAATGGACGACCAGAACACTGGGTTCGTCAAATTTTCCGACATAGAAGGTCGATGGCAGGACGATGGTACTCAGGGCCTTCCTAAAGGAGTTTTAGATAGTCTCAAAAAAGTCACACCGCCCAATGGTTTTTTGTCCTTTGAAAGATTTTGCGCGGGCTTGAAAATCTGTTTGCTACAAATTCAAGCCGAAAGTGATTTCAAAAAGCACGATGGACAACCGAACAGACCACCGTCTGCTCCAATTCTAATAACGGATAATCAAAACAAAGGACATTGGACGTCTCCCAACACTGCCACCATAAGACCAAATAATGCTATATCTCAGCAACGTACTTTAAGTATGCCACAATTACTTGCCAATCGTAAAGATATAAATACTCAATTGGAACTTATAGATGGAAGAAATGGAGTAGAGGCTAAGCATAGTAAAGCGTATGGTCCTCCAAAACCACCACGAACGGGTGCTGCATTAGAAGGTAGAGCACTTAGCGCGGACAGGAATATTGATAAATCAGAAATTCGAACGGTGCTTCAGAATTGGCAAATGGGTTTGATGATGAACGATGATAAATGTCTGGACAAACGGCAATTGCCTATGTCGAATTATCGAGCCGATACTAGGACCACGTTTTTAAGACCAACGCGGGCTTTAGGAGACGGTAAAGCAGTGGATCTACAAAACAACCAGTTAGGATTACAACCCAAAAAACCATTGAATCGACGTAGAGAACCAAGACGACATACGTTGCAGAATGGTATTGACTACAATATGGTAAAGATATTCTCCTCTAGGATTCCCAACTAATGTTGGTTTTGGTTGTGCACAATATTTAATATAATTTTTAGACAGATGTATATCTGCACGTACCTCATTAATAAACATCTGCTTGCTTTACCCCATAGTTGGGAAACCTGTTCTCTTTGTTCAAATTGAAACAGCCATATTGATAACATATCTATTATTTTAGATGAAAAGAATGAAACAAATAGAACAAGAGAAGGATGTTCTGTTGCAAGGTTTAGCAGCAGTCGACAAAGCTAGGGAATGGTATTTAAAACAAATTTCAGCCACTCAAGAAAAAATTAAACACTTGGGACGTATGGGCTCGCACGTGGTACAATTATTCATTACTATGCCATTGTTACATAATAGATTGAAATATAATAATTTTATACAATATATCTTTTTATAGAAGCAATAATATATTTTTTTCTAGGAACAGTGGACGGAAGCACAGCAGGAACGTTTGGAGTTACAACGTGCAAGAGTTTTGGAAGTTAATCGGCATCTTGCTGCTTTAATAAGTAGCTGGGAACGTGGTGGATTACCATTACACATGAATTTAGCCTTCTTGAGTGCGCCAACATCGGCGCAACTTCAACAAGATGTATTATCAAGACTTAAACAACAAAATCATAGATTAACGGAGGTAAATTAAACGTCATATTTTGATCTACATACAAAAGGCATTTATTTTTTTTTTTTTTTTTTCAAATAGGAAGTTAACAAGAAGAGTCAGAGAATATCACTGCTCGAACAAGAAAAAGATAATTTAGTACGAGAATTGTATAATAGACAAACAGGAATGGTTCAATCTCGTAGAGCAACTATGATCCACGAACAACACGACCAAACATTCATGTAAGGTACTAGACATTCATTTTATAATATATCATAAATAATACCATTAATAATCCACAAATATTGCTTTTCAGAATATAATTGATCGATTCTCAAGGCAAAGTGATATACTTGAATAAATTATTATTAAGTTTAAAACCAAATTGTAGATGTTGAATGCAGTATCAGTGCACTTTATACCGAATTCATACATTCATTGCACAACCAATGTAAAAAAAACAAAAAAGAAACGCCAGGCTATCTAAAATAATAAACTAATGTGTAAGTTAATTGTGAATCTACAGATCCAAGATATATTAAAATTTCTTTGTTTTAATAAATCCATCCAAAACGTTAACCATTATTTATTCCGATAATAAATTATTGGAAATATTGAAAAAATATAACTTGCGAATATTGGTGATTAGTTAATGGTTAAAATAGTGAAGATTTAGAAGGATTGCGTTAGAACGTTAGAAATACACTAGGAACGCAACACTTCCTTGACATATATTAAATCGATTTCCTGTTGCACAATAATCGCTGGTGTCAAGTGTTATCATCTAATCCCGAAAGAAGATAACATCCCTGATCGGACGACAAGAAGGGTCAACTCAAAGCTCAGTTCGATAAATACGAGCAACTTTAACATTTTCAATAGTCGATCTAACTAATACTCAAACGAACTAAGCACAAAGATTGAAGGTCAGTTTCCGCATGGAAAGAAGACGATCTTTCATCCTTGATCTTAGGTATAGTAACACGAAATCAGTTGCAAGTGTAAAAACTACTTTCTTTCTTTGTTAGGGAAATGGTATGTCGAATAGATGCACCGACGACATAACGATCTTAACAAAGTATTTATAGAAACCTCGAAGAATCCATCGATTTGAAAGAAAAGGAGTAATCGTTAAAGTGATTTTCCATTTTTATTTTTCAGAGAGAGAGAGAGAGAGAGAGAGAGAGAGAAAGAAAGAAGATAGTCCTCCTACATACGTACATTTTACACATATACCTTTTGAAGTACATCTCATACTCCGTGTTCGATATAAGTCTATTCTTTGTTCCGTTCATAAGAAAAAGAAAGAAGTCGTATAAGTTTTTCGTCATTTCTGCTCGTCGAGTGAAGAATATGAGAAAAAGATATATATATATATATATATATATATGTGTGTGTGTGTGTGTGGTGTATACACATACATAACCAATGCACTGTGGAGCAAAAAAGAGATGATAAGGTGAATAAGATAAAACTGCAACGGAGTCGATGTACCAAGTAGGATATCGAGGAATGTAAGAGATATTCGAGTGTATGTTAATAAACCAGTCATCGGCCTCCCTCGTTTGCTACCCCACACACGACTCCCACCAACTCTCTCTCTCTCTCTCTCTCTCTCTCTCTCTCTCGCTCGCTTTCATTCGTTAACGGTCGGAGAGTGGCCACTAAGAGCAGTTGAGTTAGAGTCGAAGACGTTTCTCGGTTAGCTTCGTTGCCTTCGACTGGTTCTTTGCTCAGTGAGCAACTGTCTCGTAGTGAGTAAGGACTCGACAAGGAGTGTGCTTTCTCCCTCTTGTCCCGGTACGTTCGCTGCGAAACGGTTAAGCTTACCTGTGTACACTTGTGTAGAAAGGGTTGCTTACTGCCAGGCGCTATTATCGATCGAAGATCTTCCAAAGAACGGACCTTATTTTTTCGAGATATATCAACATGATACTCGGACCGATCTTAACAACGATCTTTCTATTTGTAACAATAGGTATGATAGATAAACGAATCGATTTTTCTTTCTCTTTCTTTTCGTCGATACGAAACTTTACTATAATAATATTTAATCGAAATGTAATCATTTCGTTCGAAAATCGATCGTAGAATAAAGAATATTGATCTTAGTGAATACGATCTTAACGATAGAGGATCGATTATAGGACGTTCGAACAATGAATGAAGGGAATCGTGAAAAAGGGAGGGAAAGGGGTCGTTAAACTTGAGACCGTTGTTGTCTTTCCTTTTCCTCGAAGATATAGTTTTGTGATTAATAGCTATTTATACGTGGGGAAGATAGAGACACGTTTTAAAACGCTATATAATGTCTACTACGCGCACATAAAGAGTATATATTTCTTGCGAGTCTAATCTACGAGAATAAACTATAATCATCTTTCGTCGAGGTCTCGATTTACTTTGAACGTAATCTTCCGATAACCACGTTTCTCCGATAACTATTTGTTCGTTTCTATTTTCATAGAGAGAAACATTTCCTTGATGTAAGAAGAACTTAAATTACATAGTTTCAAAGTCGAGTGATAGGAAAATTCGAACTTTTTTTTTTTCTCTAATTGTTATTACTACGATCGATAGAAAAGATGCTAGAAGATGGTGAAAAGACATTAAGAAAAAAAAAGAGAGAAGAAGAAGAGGAACTATCTTACCCACGCGCGCATATCTTTTATCTGCGAAAGGCCATTATCAATTTAGACAAGTGGGAAGTGCAGTGGCCGTATCCGGCAGCACAAACAACAAACGATTTTCCTTCGTTAGACATACATATTAAATATATGTATGTATGTATGTATGTATGTATATATATATGTAGGCGATTTATCAGCACGAAGCTTAAAAAATCGCACCAAGTAAAAGAATGTAAATAAAAATGAAACAAAAAAAAGGAAAGAAAAATATTGACTGAATACGTAATAGACACGCATTACGTATATTATATCACGTACTTAAACCTAATCTTTCGTATAACAGGTTCATTGTCAGAAGCATGCGAACTGGATCAGATGCGATACGGATGTCGAATTTATAATGCCCAATGTAGCTGCGGTTATGGTTGTAAGGCCGAGTATAGATACGACACTAACGAAGATTGTAAATTAGCATTGAGAGGTAATGACCATTGATCGATTGAAATTAATCGTTAATCGTTCCTTTTAATTAAATATTAAAAGTAAAGATGTATTTGGTCTTTAAATAAGAAATAAAATTATAACGACTTTTTCATAATATAATGAAATAATTCAACGTGTTTTCAATTACTACCAGCAGTCGTGTAAAAATATTAGAGAAATTGTTATTGATTTCAGTTTAAATATCTTGTGCTAATTGTTTTCTCATGTTTTCTATAGGTAGACTCAATGATATATGCTATAGATCTAATCCCTGTTTGTACGGTGGCTCTTGTTCGCAAATTTCACCCAATCCAGGATTCAAATGTCGATGCGAGGGTACAGGATATTATGGTACACGCTGTGAAAAACGTTAGTATACGCCAAAGTAAAAGTCGTACGATGTATGATTGATCAAGAATGTCTAATCAAATTTTTTACAGCTTGTCCAGCACCCAACAATCTACGTTATCGTGGACCATTTCCTTACGAGTGTGTTGTTATCTGATATCGAAAATATTCCTTTCCGTACCCACACACCCCCACCGTTCTCTTCCGTTGAAACTTACGAATCTGAAATATTTTTACGTTAAGTACAAAAAGCTAGCACATATATACATATTTTCGGATACACATCTTTGTACATACATAATAAACATGCGATAACAATATTATATTCGTTTGATTATATTTCTTTACATTTGTTTTTTTTTTCTTTTCTTTTTTTTTCTCTTTTTTTTTCTTTTTTTTAGAGAGAGAGAATACAATTCAATCGATTATCAATGACAAATAAACTAACTTCCCTCGCTCGAATTTCTTTTCCTCGAATGTCTGATCCTTCAGCAAATTGATAAGTGTTTACTGAGAGATATCTATAGTAAGAGAAGAATAGACTTGATACTTTTATCATTTATTCATCAATAATTTTACAATATGTATGCACACACGATGTGTTCAATCTATGAATTTCACAGAACAAGCGTTTACGTCATTTCTTGCTTGTTCCTAATCTCATTTTCTTTTTTCTTTCTTTTTTCTTTTTTTTACTCTTTTACGTTATTACGTTTTATTTTCATCACCTATTGCTATTATATTGCCACGTATACCTCGTTTACTGTTTTCGAATGACGAAAAAAAAATATATAAAAAAAAAAATGAAAACAAAAAAGAAAAGACAAATGTACAAGTGAAGTTCATTTGCACAAATAATGTTGTTAAATGTTCTCCTTGAATTTGACAATACTAATTTAATTTTACAACACGACACTACCTCAGGAACTTCACGAAATATGTGTGTGTGTGTGTGTATATATATATACATACATTTATATATACATATATATACACATATATACGTATAGAAATATACTATATTATTTAGATCAAGGAGTATCTTGCCTTTTTTACAAATTCCTAGGCAATTGTTTAAAAGAGAAAGAATGTAATACAATAATTTCTAGAACGGAAAGACACATCTGTTTGTCTCTCTCTCTCTCTCTCTCTCTCTCTCTCTCTCTCTCTCTCTCTCTCTCTCTCTCTCTCTCTCTGTCTCTCTCTCTCTCTCCCCTTCCTTACAACGAAATCAATCATATTGATGAACGTTTCGATAAATGATTCATAAAGTGAGTAATCTTTTTCCCCTCGTTAATCTTATGATCCGTGGTCGATCCGTGTCAATTGTTTATTATTGGTTATCAACGCGCCTTTTTCAATTAGTTTCAGCTTAGACTGTCCTATTGACGATTATTATTATTCGCGACAAGTGTTATGGGTAGATAAAAGAAAAAATTTCTAAAGAAAATAATATATAAATAAAGATTGTATCAACATGTAAGTATATTTTTATAAAGACAGACAGGACATTGTCTAAGAACATCAGAAACAAGCAAATTTTTGGTAGCCCAATATGTAATGTTTCAATGTTATTGAATTTTTTTCATGATATATTTAAACACGACTGCACAGATCACAGAGGATATATTTAATAACCATTATTAGAAATATCGTAATAAAAAGTTTGTTGTGTGATTTGTTTGTCGATAAACGCGCGCCGTTATTAAAATAAGTTTACCGTCAAACTTAACGGGGATATAGGATGTTTTACGGAAATGCGAAGCGTAGAAAATGAATCGAATGAAAAACATAAACATGTTTCAAATAGATTCTTTACGCTAATTAAAGATCGGGCATATAATTATATCATCGTTCATGGTTACTCCTTTTTAACACGTTAATATGGCTCGTTGTTTTATTATTTTTCATACGCTTTCCATCTGTCGAAAAGATCATCACCACTCATTTCACTGATTATTATTGTTATTAATTATTGTTGTCACATTAGTCTCGATTTGGCAAATGTTTGTAAGATCATGCTTATAATAATAATCTCTGTATCGAAGTATGCGTGTACGTGTGTGTACGTGTTTTTTGTTTGTTTGTGTGAATTAAAAACAAGTTATGGTAGATTACAATTTTGGATGAGCGCAATAATCACGCTCTTTATGACATTATTCCTCGATGGCACCAGGGGTATGTTGTAATCTTTCTTGGCTGAAACCTCGTGTACCATCCGGTCCTCTGGGCTGTCGGACTACGGTTAATTTCGGACCTGTATCTTCCAAAGAAATAGTACGTAATCGGCTGATTAAACGCTCGGGTCGTTGCTGAACCGCGTCACTGTTTGGGATTGTTAAAGAAAAAAAAAAAAATAAAAAAAAAAAAAAAAAAAAAAAAAAAATAAAAAAAAAACAAAAAACAAAAATGACAGATCAAGGAACATACGGAAATGAAAAAAGATTATTACACATTACGAGATATATTACCTTAGACGAGTTACGTTGCAGGCTGAGGATTTACCAGTACGCTGATTCGTCACCAAAACAAATTCCACTTGGTCCCCTGGCTGCAATGTAGCATGATCCCGAACTTCGCTCATATGGAAGAAGAGCTTTTTACCTTCGTCAACCTCGTAAGCGAGAAAACCAAAGGGACCTTTCACTGCATCAACGGTTGCTCTTCTCTTTTTTCTAATAGCTACTATGTTACAGGCATGGCCCGCAGAATCAACTTGCAATTGCACAGGATCACCTATCTGCAATAACTCACGCTTGTTGACAAGTCCCATTATACCGAATTCGTATTCTTGCGTTTCTTCTTCCTCATTGGTTGGATTTATTTTGATCAAACCAGCATATTCACTCTGTTCGGGATTTGCGCTACGTAGGGGTCGCGTTACAACTCCGTCGAGTGGATCGCTAACTGCTGTAGGCCTGGGAATACTTCCACGAGGTACAAGCTTAACATGATCGGCGGCGATACATCCACCCGAACCTCTACTGTTGTTAGAACTTACTGTACACTCTATATCAGCTCCTAACTCTAGATTGCCAGTATCACCTTCAAAGTTACTACAACGAAATATGATCATTAAAATTAATGAAGAATTGTTAACGTGATTTTATATTTACTTAGTATAGGTATAGGGTTATTAATTTTATATATATATATATATCATTATTTTACCTGAAATGGAAAAATATTTCCTTATCGTGATTGACTGTCTCAATAAAGCCAAATCCGTCTTTTAGCGCAGCTATGAAACCTTGATAAACTTGGCCGCTCGCCTTTTTATTTCCATTTTGTATTTTCTCACCGGCAGCATTCACCAGTGATATATCAACGGCGACTAATTCTTTATTTCGTTTAACTTGACAAATACTAAAGTGAACCTATAACGTTTAATCAGGAGAAACATTTAATTATGCGTAATTCAAATCCAATAATTTTATATAATATCTAGTCAAGTCGTGTCTTACTTTATCACCCACTCTTGGAATATTTTTAGGATCGCAATCTTTTGCAAAAAACATTATTACATTTTGTTGATTATCTTTCGTATATCCGATTAAACCTCGTTGAACGCCATTCGTATCTTCTACCACGTTACCCATCAAGTCCTTTTCTGTAATCGTTTCAAATTGAACAGTACCGGTTGGTAAATGTTTCAATCTGATTGCACTAGGTCGGGTGTATGAAAACGACGATGAAGGATCCTCGAAACAAAATGTAGGAACCTAAATTAAGTTGAGTAACGACATACAGGTAATTATCTTATAATTACCTTTTAAATTACGCATATATAATATGTAACTTACTTGTACAATAGTGAACTCAACTTCATCGCCTACGTTAATTTCTCTATCAACATCAAGAACTTCATTGAAATGAAAGAAAAGTTTAGCGTCTCGGTCTACGCAACGTATAAAGCCGAATCCATCTTTAAGAGCCGCAATAATACCTTCTTCTCGTCTTTCACCGGACACAGTAAATGATTCTGGTAATAGAGATATTTCGGTAGCTCTTTTCAATTGATCTCTAGTATCTGTAGCAATACGAAACTGGACCCAATCTCCGTGCCTATTGTGAAAAAAATTTCATTAGATTTCTTAAATATTATTTAACGAACGTAATTCCAGTGAAATAAACGGAAGACGTTTTTAATACTACCTCAGCGTGAAATCTCCTTTTTGATCTTTATCACCAAATGGAACTTCGACTTCGCAATGATCCGTATCTCTATATCGAATTCGTCCAGGTAATGGATCATTGTGATGTCGTGCCGCATTACCTCTCTCTAATGGTTTTAAAACCTGTCCTTTTATTACTTCATTGCTAACTTCTTCAAATACAATAGAACCCGGTGGTAATTTAGTAATGTTACATGCTACCTCCTTCCCCTGTACCAAAAGAAATAGTTACTTGGCCATATTAAAAATATAATAATATTTATCATTAAATATATCCATTAATTATACAAACTTAATTATATATAAAATTTATAGATGAAATATTCTGCCTTGCTTCGATCATGCAAAGAATGATATTTCAAATTCTTATAAGTTAGATTTAATTTAACGTGTCTATATAAAGGAAAATACTGCAACAGGTGTCTTACATTTCGCGTTTGTATTATAAATTCAACATCATCTCCTAATTTCAATTCTTCTTTCATGGACTTTGCTTCACTGAAGTGAAAGAAAATCTCCTTAACTACATCAGCACGTTCGATAAAGCCAAAATTTTCTTTCATTGTACATACAACACCGCGATAACGTACTGGATATGCTAGATTTTCCAATCTTACATGGCACGCACCCAAATTTCCTCTACAATTAAATGCATCAAGTTATTATACTAAATTGCTAAATACAGAGAGAGAGAGAGAGAGAGGGAGTGAGTATATTCGAAAATATTACAAATAAAAATATATGCATTTATATACCGTTGATTAGTAGCAATTTGAAATGATACTTTATCACCAGAACGCAAAGTGACGTTCCCTTCTACATCATCTTTGGTATATGGCAAAAAGAAACACTCCCCTCGATTTTCGTAACTAATTCGACCTTGTGAATCACCACTGGCTTGTAATTCCGTTGTCACATTACCAGTAACACGTTCTTCGCTCAACACCTATAAAAATCATTCATTGAATGGTCATTCAATTCAAATTTATATTAATTTTACTTTATGTACAAAGAAAGACTTATTTATTTAAAACTTCCACTTACCACTTCGGGAGCAATTTTACTAACAGTACTAGCAATAGGTTTGCCTGTTCTTCGATCATAAGTCATTTCAAATTCTACTGGATCTCCAATTTTTAAATGTTCTATATTTCCACTAAACTGGCTAAAATGAAAGAATAATCTTGCCTGTCGTTCGCAGCATTGTATAAATCCATACGAGTGCTAAAACAAATATTTCAATGTAGAAGAAGATCCAATTGTAGAAACAATAGATATCGAATAATTGATAAAACAAATTATAATAAACTTACTAATAATTTTTCTATTATACCAGTTTCACGGGTTCCCTGATTCGCAGACTGATCTTGATACGTAGTATTATTGGTTGCAGACTCGCCAGTGTAACCTACATTTCCTTCCATATTTGTTAATGTCCCAAAAGAAAATCTCGTGGCTCCATAAGTGGTAGTAGTAGTAGTGGTGGTAGTGGTAGCATTTTTACCACATCCAGAAAGAGAGCCCAAGTAATGGTCACCACTGTAGTTAGTACCATTTCGATAATTGTTACTTGTGTTTTGTTGAGATCCTGTTATAACTTTGGGACTCGGTAGAGCCATAGACTTGTAGTCAAGTATTGCCGGGTCAGAGTTCATGATTGGCGGCTGGAACGTTTTCCACTGAGGATTGTTGGACATTGTTTTAAATTTGCACAGTTTTATCTATAATGTTTACGTATAATTTTCCTTTTCCCTTGAAACAAGTATTTAATCCCTTTTATGTTCACTTCTGCTCCACCATAATATATATACTTACATTTACAAATTTTTAGTCTTTTCAATCATTTAAATGTTAACAGATATCAGATAAGATATAGATATCACAGAACGGTTCTTGGTACTTTATATCTTTGTTCACTATTATAATGTTATAAGAACTTAATGAAGAGGAAGAGAGGCTGTTTAATGCTGTAGAATCGCAAACTCCTCTGTGATCTCCTTTTTTTCCGTGACAAGATCGCAAGGGAGACAGTTCCACAATATTTTATTACACCTGTTGTGTATTGCTATTCGAAAGGTTTCAAGGCAGCTCCGTTATTTTAGAGGCACCTCAAATGTGGATATGAATTTTCTATTAACCAAGCAGAGCAACACAATCTCAGCCGCGATCACTATTACAGTCACTATATGGCTCACCTAACTCTTTCTCACAAGTTTTGTTGTGTACACAATATACAAATGAACAATGCAGTAAATATAGATTACGAATTAGTATAAGTACAAAATTCTTAGCACATCATATACTGCTGATACTTTCCACATGTGTGTGTGTGTGTATGCTTTAATATACTAACAACTCTTCAATAGTTACTCAATTTAGCGTGCACTAGAATAACCGTGTTCTTCTTAAACATCAGTCATCCTTTATAAAAGGAGTAAATCAAAAACATAGGAGATTTAAACAATAATTGTTGATTTGAAAATCCTCAGATGTCTTCAATGCGTGCTGAGTGTGATTGTGTTTTCCAATACTTCTATATTAGCGTTTTTTTTTCTTCAACTTTTAAATGTGAAATTTACAGTGAGCCTTGGTTTCAAAAATGTCCTAAACTAACAATTACACAAGCTGAAAGAAAAAATACAAAATCTGATCAATCGACATACCTCAAAGACTACCTTGATATACTTTAAACGCTACAAGCTTTGTTACGATAGTTACATCACTTATTTTTACCGATCATATCTTAATTTATCCAGATAATATTATAGACAAATCAACATTTGTATTTATACTATTTATACGTATTGTACGATTCAAAAAGAAATAATCATGAAATTTTTTGACATAAATATAACTTGATGCTCTCTTAAATTTTCATTTGTAATCATTGTTACAAGTTTTTATTTTATTATCCTTCTACGATAGATCTTGCATTTCTAACGTAATAAGTAACAAATATATAACCAATATGCGTTATTTATTAATTAAGGACATGACATGACAATGAGGTTTTTATCATCAAAACCTATAACCGTGTGTTTTCCTACGTTATTCTAATTTAAAAATCAAACGTGTACTTTATTTTTTATTATATTAGGAGTAAACATTATGACTTGAAAACCGTTTTCTTCATTGAACCGATATATGAAAACTTTATTAATAACTTTAAAACACTTTGGATAAGTTGGTAAGTTTGAAATAGAATATGTACATCATTCGCGGTTTGGTCAATGTGTAAAGGAAATTATGAAATTATAACGTTCTCGATATTATAATTATTTATGGGGTTAAATATCGTTCCAGAATCGAAAGATCTGTCCTATTAATTTACTTCGGAAAATCAAAGATCATTGTGATATCGTATATGCTTGCTAGTTACAAGATCCTAATTTTTTATAAGGTCCTTCGATTTATCCCATTAATATAACACCGGCGTTGTATATACGTCTTAAAGAACATCAACATCATGATCGGAAATATCAATTTTTTATCTTTTTAGATTAATTCGTAGCAAAGCTCGTAATCGTACGATGGTAGAAAATTTTACAAAACTCACCACGACACAGCACAGCACTGACGACATGCCGCCATGTTGAATGTCAACATTCAGCATTCACACACAAAACAGGAGCAACTGCGGCAAAATCTCCGTCCACAGCCTACTGGTTGCTTCCTATCGTAAACGAAAACGATTCCTCGCTTTAATGCGTCTGGACTAAGAAAAAGGATTTCGTATTTTTTTTCTCGAAAAATCAAAAAATATTCGTCAACATATTCCTTTTCATAATTAACATTTGAAAAAGGAAAGTAATCGTAACATCCGGAATTTATTATTTTTATTACTTTTCATAATATTGACATTAGCAGAAAAAAAAATTGGACAAAATAACAGACGTACAGTAGATTAGAAAAGTTGGTACACATACATATCACCCAATCGTCTCAATCTCAATATTTTTTTCAAATATCAACAATTATTTAATAAAATCCTATCAATTGGTATTTGGTGTATCTCGATTTTAAATGACAACGAAGAATTACATTGTCCGAACATTTTTATTTTTTAAACAGTCAGAATATAATAAAATTAGACGAAAAATATAAGAAACATAATTATTAAAAAAATTTGCGTGTGTGTGTGTGTGTGTGTGTGTGTGTGTGTCTGTCTGTCTGCTGTGCGTGCGTGCGTGTGCGCATATAAACTGTATACATATAAATATATATATATATATATGCATACATAATATATATATATATATATGTATATATATATATATATGTATATATGTATATATATATACTTATATACATGCATATACATGGTATTTACATATGTGCGGTGTGTAAAATCCACGCACGCGCGTGATATACATCATATAACCATTAGATTTTTAATTGTTAGTACATAAAATGACACTCTCTTTTTCACTAATGATTTAGTTTGTAATTTACAAGATAAATCTTTTTAATAGCCATATCATCATAATATTATATATTTATTGTTAAGAATTCAACTTTGGAGATGCTTCATTATTTGATGCTTTAGAATATACACCAAAATGATTTAATCGACGCCAACGCAAATCTTCTAAATCTGGTGTTGGTGGAGCCGTAACACATTCAAGACTCAATTGTAGAGCTTTCCTTAATTCATCATCTTGATCCGCATCATCAACTTCTGCCGAGGGTGGTTCTGCCTTGTTATCAGTATGAGATTCCAATCTTAAATTTTGATTCTTATCTATATCATCTTCATTATCTTGTAAACTTAAACGTAATGCTCTTTGCAATTCTTCATTTTCATCATCTTGATCGTCATCTTTCCCTTCTATTCTTATTGGAATTATTCGTTCACGGGGTTTCTCATCGGACGATATCCCCTCTTCAGGCAAATTATTTTTTTTATGGTCCGAGGATGAATTTACAAATTTTGAAGGTATATTACTGGTGTAAGACCAAGGAACTTTAATTTCTTCTAGAGCACGAACTGCCTTCATAACTTCATCTTCTTCTTTGGTACCTAAGCGATATCCTGCAGTTGTAGGCTTCTCTTCTTTAATACATTCCTTTGTTCTTGGTACGGGCTTAATTGGATTCTTCATTAATATTTCGTCCGCAGGACATTGCGGTAGTGTACCAATAACAATGAAAATTGAATAACCTGTAAACGAGATATCGATTATTATCTTATATATTATTTGGAATATATATTTTCCACAAATTATTTACCTTCTTGTAACAATTGAGCCAAATACATCGCTAGATATGTGTCTGATATAAGCTGTGGCCCACTAAGCATCGAATTCAAATTGAACCATTGTGTTCCAATCTTTCGTATAGTAAACCAATGTCCTTTGTAATTGCAGATATAAGCTTTCATTTGCCTGCAAGTTACATTTACTATCTATAACTATGTAACGTATCCGAAAGACATCCATGTCTTGTAAATTTACTTTGCTATCTATATGTTTACAAAAAGATGCGAATCAATAGGTTAGTATTGCAATATTATTTTGACGCTAGGCAATAACTAATCAGAACAAATGCTAATAGTGTCAAGTAAAAGAATTAATAATAACCTACGAAGGATCATTTTGAGCCATCAACGCAGCAGCTTCTGTACTGTTGTATGGAACCAACTCCAAACCCCAAACCCCCTTTAAAGCACTGCTAATGACTTGAACGGAAAAGTATCCACTGTCATCCATATTTTCTGAGGGTTGCTAAATGTTAGACATGACATAAAATGTGTCATTCAAATGTCATATAAAAGAAATATTTGATATAATAAATCTTTAGAAACTATGTTAATTTTACAGTGCACGACATTCGAATCATACTGTATAGTAACTATATACAATTTGTAATAATATGAATTTTGAAATTATATACCTCTAAGAAAAGTTTATAATCCTCGCTATCGATACCTGACTCGGCCATTCTAATACGTTCTGCTTCATCCATTTGATGACCAAAATTAGCAAGATCTACTGCGTTAAAATAAGCACCTTGTAGAAGAGCGTTCAAACAATGTTGCGCGCATAAATATCCTTCTTGCTGTAACGAACAATCTGGTTACCATCAAATTCATTGCAAATATAGTAACCTTTTTTAGTTTTGAACGCTCGTGTCAATCTTTACCTTTTCATGAAATATACTCTCCATGTCACAATATTTTTCTCTCGATGATTATTGTAGACAAGCATATATGCGTATTACACCAAGTTATATCCTAACGAAGGTGATTTTACCAACCTCCTCGATTAAACGTCATTCATAAAAATATCAGGGAGGCCAAACTCATATAAAGGAGTTGTATCAGTTACATAGATCTATGATCGGTTACGCCCTCATTGTCAATACGGTTTATTAGTGTGTTGCTATTTTCCATGCTATAATAATATAGATACATATGTGTGTACATTTTATCGAAAATAGAACCTTCGTACGCAATAGAATTGATATTATTTATGATGTAACGTAATATATATATATGTATATATATAATACGAGTACTATCAAATCAATTGCGTCTAATTTTCGTTATTAACACTCACGAAAAATGAAAAATGGAACTAAACGTGCTATTATGGAAATAGGGTGATTACGCAACAGGCGTAAGGAATATGGCTCTGTTCTCCATTGTATACAATTTGACCCGGCAAATTCAAAATAATTTTCAATAAAATCAATTGTTTAATTGCGTAAGACGCCTGATTTTATTAACAATAAAACGAAGTAAGATTGCTCTTTTTTTTTCTTTTTTTTCCTTTTTTTTTCTTTTCTTTTTTTTTTTTTTTTTTTTTTTTTTTTGATAATATAGGAGAAAGGAACGAAAATCGTTAGTTTAGCTTTTTTCTCTCTTTTTATTTAAGATTTTGACGGCGCGAAAATTTCAAATATTTGTATAAAATTCCACGCTAGAGGGTGCGAACGATGCCGTACCATTAGTGTAACCGTCGACAAGATCTGTTCTCCTACGTAAAAAGTTTGGCTTCCCTGAACTACGACGTTCAGGGATGTAACAAGAAAGAGGTTGGCAATATCGCGGGTCGTTCTCCGTGGAGACGGATTCGGGTATCGGGACGACCAAGAATAGCAAAGAGCAGCACGCGAATCTATCCGTCCCGTGGCCGAGCGCTGTCTTACCACCGACCGTTCCCTCCGCTTGCAGCCACTTACGTTATTTCATGAGTGATCTTTCGCACGGTGACGCGCACGGATTGCGATTAGCTCGTATATGGGGGCAAGGGACGGTGGACGCTTCTTTCGGCGTCTTGAGTCGCGCCTAGTGAATCGAAGTGAAGTGATATCGCCAAGTAGAAAATCCGGAACATTGTTGAAGAGAGAGTGAAAAGGAAAAGAGAGGAAAAGAAAAGAAAAGAGATAGATAGATATATATATATATATATATATATATATATAGAGAGAGAGAGAGAGAGAGAGACAGATAGAGGAAAAAAGCAAAAGAGAAAAGATAGGGAGAAAGAGATAGAGCGAACGAAGAGAATTGAGAGTAACAGAGACAGAGAGACGAGAACGTGAAAAAGACAGAGACAGAGATAGAGATAGAGATAGAGATAGAAGTGGAAGGAGACGAAGAGACCAAGCGCGCAGTGGTTATAAGGTTGTCGAGCTCGATTGTGTGTGCTTCGAGGCAATGTCTCTCGAGACTCGTTCGAGCTCGGCTCTATTTAAAAGAGCCGAACAGCTGAAACGTTGGGAACAATCTGAAACAAATCGAGAGCCGGCCCAACCGCGTCAAGTAACAAGGAAAATCAAATTTTCCGATGATTGTGTCTTCTTGGCGGCATGTGCGGCAGGCGACAAGGAGGAGGTTGTGCGTTTACTCCAAAAAGGGGCGGACATCAACACCGGAAACGTCGATGGTCTCACGGCGTTGCACCAGGTAAAATACTCCCCCCCACTTTTATCATTTCCATTGTTTATGTTTCACACCAAGCAGATCCTCATCTTTTCGATCCAAATTTTTAATAGGATTGACTTTCCAAAAAAGAAAAAAAAAGTTATATATCGCGTTCTCCTAATTCTTTTTCATTCTTGGATTTCATCTTCGTCTTACCGCTCTCTCTCTCTCTCTCTCTCTCTCTCTCTCTCTCTCTCTCTCTCTCTCTCTCTCTCTCTCTCTCTCTCTCTCTCTCTCTCTCTCTCTACCTATCTATCTATACATCTATCTATCCATCTATCCATCTATCCATCTTTCTCTCTTTTTATCTTTTTTTCTCTATCCACTGTTGGATGTAACATTGCGTGCAAAATGGCTGCTGCCAGCTTCAGCTGTCCGAGTACGATTACGAATGAATCTTTAGATTTTATTGTCACCATTTATCTTTTCGTTTGAAAGAGAATTCATGAAAGCACGTTTTTCCTCGTCCCTTCATTTTACTTCGTATCTGTCTTTCAAACGTTGTTTATGTTATGAATGACGGCCTTTCTTTAGTTCTACATAGCGATGGCGGTAAGCGTGGAAAGAATTTGAAAGATTATCTCATCTCTATCTACCGGAATCAAATTCTCCACGGCAATGATTGTATGACGTTCAATCTTACGTAGTTTTACTTTTTATTATTTAATATTCTTCTATTCTGCAGAAACGAATTTTCGATGATTGCTCATTTTTATAATTTCTTTTGTTTTACTATATTTCGGACGTAATACCTTTATAAAATATTTTAAAGAATTATCTATAAGGAATAAATTACCATGTAATTATAAATAATTATCATTATTTATTTTTATCAAATATCTATCAATACTTTAGTTAACAGTTTTGACAGTATAATGTTAAAAGTTTTTTAAGAAAATAGAACTTTTCGTAATAAATGATTGAAAATATAGTAAAATAATGAATTGCAAAAATGCTATTTTCAATCGGTTTGCTTGGAACCTTAGTTAGTACTATTGGATTTTAAAAAAGAGGCCTGTAAATGAACCACGTCGATTAAGAATTCTGAAATAGATTTAAATTAGGATGAGACTAAAAATAACTTTGTAAAAGACGTTCATACTACCTATGAGTCTATATGAGACTCTTCAGAATTCTAATCCATTCTATGAGAAAAAAAATTATGTTTAAGAAAATATTGTGTTTTTATATTATTAGAAATCAAATTTTGTTAAATTATTAATTATTTACATGTTAAAAAATACATTTATATGTGTTTAAAATTTTCATTTAAAATGAATCAAAATTTGCATAAAAAATTTGATCCCAAGATATATAAGAATTAAATGAATGTTTACTTTTATTTATGGTTTCTATAAGGAAGTTTAGGCATTTCATAGATTTGCGAAAATAGCATGTGAGAGTACATCAGGCATTAAATGCTATTTATAGTTCTCTGTTAGAAGTCGCAGCCCTCACCATTCGTGTTCTGCTTATATCCTCTGTCTTTAGCAGTGTTGTAATAAATAGTTTCTTTGACAAGACCTGGATGGGACCTGTTATGCTCAAATTTTTTTACATAAAGTTATTATAACAATATAATTTTGATATTTTATGTGACATACATTAAAATAGGTATAAATATAATTTGTATTAAGTTGACCTACTTTTTATTAAATATCAAAATAATGAAGCTAATCAATCATAGAAATAAGAATTGTGAGTTTATGTAAGAAAAAAAAAAAAAATAAATTTATAAGCAGAATGTATATTTGTATCATAGGCATGCATCGACGATGATCTGGATATGGTAGAATTTTTGGTAGAACAAGGAGCAGATATAAATCGTGGGGACAATGAAGGATGGACGCCCCTACATGCTACAGCATCTTGTGGCTTCATATCAATAGCTAAGTCAGTAGATACATTTTAAATTATTCTGTCTACATAATTCAGTGTAGTATTTTCAGTTATAATACTTTTATTTTTTCTTTTCTTTTCTCTCTCTCTCTCTCTCTCTCTCTCTCTCTCTCTCTCTCTCTCTCTCTCTCTCTTTTGAAACAGCAGTTATTCGTAAAAGATAAATCTTGCCATAATTAAATATCTTATACAGTTATATTTCATATAATCGTTTGATATAGATATTTGATAGAGCAAGGGTGCAATTTGGCAGCAGTTAACAATGACGGCGAATTGGCCCTTGATATCGCAGAAAAGGTTGAGATGGAAGATATGCTACAGCAACATATAAATAAAGCAGGTTTGTTCTTGTATATTTGTAGAAACAGATGCAAAACGACTCTTGAAATATTATTTCTTCTGTATTTACTATAGGCATAGATTGTGATCAAGCCAGAAGCGAAGAAGAAAGGTCAATGTTAAATGATGCAAGAGCTTGGAGATCAGGAGCAGCAGGCAAAGATTCAATGCATCCTAGAACAGGAGCTACGGCACTTCATGTTGCTGCTGCTAAAGGCTACATCAAAGTCATGAAGTAAAGTATCATATATTATGATGAAAAACAATTCCTGTGTAATCTAACAGTTTCATTGAAAAAAAAACTGGTAATTTTATATTTTGAATAATATTGTAGATACCACTTTATGTCAAGTATAATTTTAATACGTAAAACAGAATATATTATTTTATTTTTAATAACTATACTTCAAAATTATTTTTTTAGTATTCTCCTTCAGGCTCGATGCGATGTTAATGCACAAGATTTCGATGGATGGACACCTTTACATGGTGCAGCTCATTGGGGTCAATTAGAAACTTGTAAACTACTTGTGGATAATTTTTGTGATATGGACATAAAAAATTATGCAGTAAGTAAAATTTTTGTTATAAATATTCATGATATAGTTATGATTATATTAATATTTATTTTATTAGGGACAAACTGCTTTTGATGTTGCTGATGCAGATATTTTAAAAGATTTAGAAGAATTGAAACAAAAACAATTAACTATGATGAAAGATCATCCACAAATAATTAATAAAAAACAACCTTCTGTACCAAAGAAACGGTTTGTATATTATAAGCTTAAGCATACTATAAGATGTATTTGTTAAATAAGTACATTGTGCACAGAAATTTATGTCTGTTGAAATTTTTTTAGTATTTCAACTAGTACTGATAATACTGTAACGACACAAGAGAATCCTGAAATTCTAGAAGAGGAAACGCCAAATAAAGTTAAAAAAGTAGAAGTGGAAATTCAATCTGATAAAGACGATTCTAGTACTGGAACGAATAGCGACGTCGGTAAGATTTTTAATCATTATTAGGAATGATTTAGTCTGATAAAAGTGGTAACATTAGAAAAAGAAGAAAAGTTATAGATAAAATGAACATTCAATATATAGTTGTTTTTTATAAGGATTATTTACCTATCTTAACATTACAATTCTTCTAACATTGCTGCGTGGATAGAAGCAACACGAGAAACAGATATGGAAGAGAGTGATGGCGAAGTTGTTTCTGAAACTAGCTCAGAATCACGCTCTTCCACCTGCTCCAATCAGTCTGATAAGTCTAACCAATCAAACCATTCCACATGTCTTACAGATGATGGTAAGTTTTGTCTGTAAGACAGTATTTTTAATATTGTTAATAGTAGTAGCGTATGTACAAATCGTACATACTCTCCTAAATAAAAAAAATTTTACTTAAATTAAAGTAAGTTCGAAGCCATGATAAAGAACATGTTATATTTAGTACATGAAAGAATAAATTAAAAATTAGGGATGACTGATAACGTTGATATGATAAATATGATGATATATGTTTTCAATTATTTTCTATTTAATTTTGTAGAAAAGAAAAACAGAGTGAACAAAGAGGAAACTGCAAGTCATTCTCCGCTATCTCCTATTGAAATCAATAAAGTTCCTAATCAAGTAAGTAAGAGAAAAAAATATATTAAAAGATATCTATAATATATAAATCGTAAAATAACATTATGGGTTTTTATTAATTTGTACATATTTATTTTAGGCTCCAGTATTGCCTCCTAAGCAGCAAACTGATAATAATGAAGAGGGAGTTGTTCCATCCTGGAGGCGTTCAGGCTCTTTCAGAAGTAGAATACAAAATGTAGAAGGTAATTAATTTATTAGCAATAAATTAATTGATTCTTCAAAAAAAAGAAAAAAAGAAAAAAAAAAAGAAAAAAGAAAAGAAAAAATGTATAAATGTATAATATGATATTTAATAAGTACGAATATATAATATTTTAAAAATATTTACTAGAACTTGAAGATAAGGACAAGAGTACTAAGTTGCTAAATACACCAAACAAAATTACTACTGAACCGGAGGTAGTATTAAGAAGAACACACAGTTTTGAGACAGACGAGAAGTAAGTTCATTATTATATTGCTGTTATTTTAATATATATATATATATATATATTTTTTTTTTATTTTTTTTTATTTTTATATTGCCTATATTTTACTAGCTTCATATATAGTAACACTGTGTGATCTGCGTTGATGCTTTTTTTTGTTATTTGAAGGCTCCTCTGGTTGTTCATCATAAAATCTATGTTAACATGCTTATGTTGGTTTTTGCAAAGTATGTTGTAGGATTATGCTATAATGCCGACTTATGCTTATATGTAAAGTCCCAAATGTCTAATATATTCACATACAGAGTATTGTACTGCACATAGAGATTCAACAAATCAAATTAGCAGATTACAAGTACAGTTTTGTACCTTAATTTTATATCATTAAAGTAAAATATATGCTATAATTTGAGAAAGGTATATATATTTTATTCTGAAATATACTTTTAATTCTTTAAATTAAATTAATTTCTTGAATTCTTAAACTTTAAATTTCATTTAGAATAATTATAATTTACAATTTTAATGTCTTCAGAAGAGTCTTTAGTTATATCGTTAATATTTTGTAAAATAATTTAAATTTTATGCTCATGTTAATTAGTATTCAATATACAGGATATTGCATTTAAAACATTTCGATATTTTTTTTTGCTTTTGAATAATTTTTCCATAAAACTCTATCAATGGTGCAAGACATCTATCAGTGTTGCAGAACAAAAAAGAGGCAAAACGATAATAGAAAATCATTCTTATAAATTGTTAGATGGATCATTGCTAATAATTTGTTTACATTCAAAAGCAATAAAAAATCTCGTAAGCATTTTGTTTTTAGTGCCCTGTCTTGTATATAGACAATTAGTGTAGCAAATGCATGGCACGATGCATGTTATGCAGGTTCTATGAGCAGTACTTGGCATTACACGCTCGTATCAAGGCATCTTCCTGCCCTACTCTCCATCGTTGTAACGCAGTTTCTCCTACTCACACCAATGCTACAACACGTTCTGCATCTCTGCGCGAAACACACAGGTACAAATGCATGTTTCATAACTGATTTTCATAATATTTATCACAATATTAATTATTGTATGTATATCACATATCACAAATAAGATTATAATATCAGTAAATAAATTTATTTATATCTTATGAACCACATCATATTATGATGCACAATCTGTAGACATATTCATTATATTCATATAATATACAGAATGATAAGCATAATAATAAGTTAAATAATTAATAACAATTTAATCTATATTATTTTATTTTTTGATATTTTTGGGATATATTTTAAGTTTTCTATACACCACTATAAATATTTGTATCTGTATATTTGAACATTTTTATACTAAAGTTATTATTATGCTTCTTTTATGCTTGGTGATGGTTTCAATAATTTCTTTGCTTTATATTTTATTTGTCTTAAAAGCAATATGAAACATATATCAAAATTAATTAATTACAATTAAACAATACATAAAGTATATACTACAAAGATGATTTTATTATTAGAAATTATTTATATTTATTAAAATTGAGAATTCATTTTTATGCATTATTTTACAATAATTAGAATTATTTTCTTTTGTTACTATATTTCATTCTATACTATTTTTTTTTGTTTATTTTGGATTTAGAAGGAAAGAAATCAAATTAAATTTGGAATTATCAAGAACGCCACAGGGAAGCAATACACTTTCACCAACATCTCCATCTAAAACATCACCACTAAGTGCACTGCCAACTACAACTACTACAACTGCCAATACAATGACGACGACAATTGCTACTAGTCCTGTTCCTGTGAATCAGATACGCAGGTAATTATTTTCTTGTTCTTATTAATGCAGGTGGTAGTGACAAGAAATATAATTTTGGAATAAATGGAGAAAATGATTAATTATAAGATAGATAAGAAATTTTTCATAGAGAACAAATTTCCTCATGTAATACGGTTGTATCATATTGGAACAATTGGTTAAGTTATCGTGACTGAAATTATAATAATGCTCGCGTCACGCATTATAATATCGTTTAATATGACTGGGTAGTGTTCAACCAATGGAAGCTACATCTACACTTCTATCGAGTGCAAACAATACTGTACCAGTATCTGGAACTCCCACTACACCTGGAGGGAGCAAGCTAAGTCCAGGAAATATCTTCAAGAATTTCTTCAAGTGGGTACCTAATGTTTGACCTGAGAGGAATTCTCTGGAGAAGTGTGATCTTGCGTATCTTAAGATGTCTATACGCACAAGATTAATTTACTGACAATAGCATGGATCTTTGCTTTGCAGTGTGATTAGCTTTTTCAGTTGCATTATATATTTTGAATTCTTTCTCGTCCAGATGATTATTTCGGTATAAAAAAAATTTTAAATCATTTATAATGAATAGATCAAAGACGATTGATTGATAAAAATAAGTAATTTTTCAAATTCTGATTAACAAAAGTACAATGATGTATTTTGACAAGAATTTTGATATAAGAATCAAGCTATAAACATACAAACACTTGGTTTTGTTTATTAACTCAAAAACTTATTACTCAATTTTTTCTGTCAATTAAAAAATTTTTCTTCTTTTTTTTTTCTTTTTTTCTTTTTTTCTTTTTTTTCGTTTTCTTTTTCTCTTTTCTTTTTTTCTTTTCTTTTTTTTTTTTTTTTTTGTGATACCTTATCCATTTCTCCTATATCTATACATACTCCTTTTACCTATTTTGTATAAATTTATAAATTTCTTTTATGAACTTCATACAAACTGAAAGTCATTTACAAAATAAAATTCCTTATAAAAATAGGTATTAATTTGCAGCAGCAGAAATTCTTTATCATCGAAAAGTTTTGCAATGGGAGCCACATTATATATTGGATTATACACGGACACTATGTTGCTTGCACATTATTTTTAAAACAATGCTTAAATGATTATAAAATTGTGACCTTTATAATATAGTACTTTTATTATATAAATATCATAATAGTTTTGGTTTCTATGTTATATACAACCAAATAGTAAATAAATGAATATTTTATTATTTTTTAGTTTATACGTATTGCGTTGGCGCGTATATGCATATATATTACATCATGTATATGTTTCTTTCTCTTCAGATCCTTTGTCCCACCTGTTCGTGATGAAGAAAGTGAAACGCAAAGAAAAGCACACGCGAAGAGAGTACGAGAAACTCGGCGTTCGACTCAGGGAGTAACATTAGATGAAATCAAAAGTGCAGAACAACTTGTAAAGAAAAAACAACAAAACAACGAAGTGCCCAGTTTGACAGCACCTTCTCCGCAGGTAATAATACATCTTCATTTTCCATATTGCAACAATATTATGTTTTTCCGTTTTAAAAATATCAAAGAAGAGAAATGATTAAATTTATAGATCCCTTTTCATATCTAGGAATGAAGAAGTTCATCCTTTTTATCATTTTTGTATTGTTAACATAGCAATGCTCCTCCGCCAAAGTCATAAGAAACCATTAATAGCTTTTAAAATGACAAAACTGATATTATGCTTTCTAGTTTTTCCCTTTTTTAAATTCAGAACCAAACACCAAATAAACTGACACAGTTGAGATATATTCCACTTTTACTTACTACTCTACATGTATGCGTCAATAGCTTCCGCATAACAAAAGTCTACATATATGATTTTATTCATATTTTTTTTAAACCAAGCAGCCTGCAGCTTCTGTCAGCAATACAGCCTCAATCACAGCTACAATAACAACAGCAACTCCTACCACAGTGACTGCAAATAAACCTTCTGAAGAATCTAATTTGCCTGAAAGGCGACCTTCTTGGAGACTCAGGGTAGATAATGGAAGCAAGGTCGGTGATACCCATAATCTTCAAGTATATACACTTAAAAATCCGCAATGCAGCAGTTTGTGTTCATGGATATTACATATCATTGGTTGGAATTACAACTAATCAATCGATTGTTATAATAGTAGACACTGACTGATAGAATTATTATATACTTGCTTGTATATTCACAGACTAGGCAAACACATTGCATTGATTTTCTCCAAATTAAATTTTCGAATGCACATAATTTATATTTATAGTTGTACGTACGAGCGTACATGCCTGAATTTTTTTATTTATTTTTTAAAGGCTTATACAGTTTATATTATTTTTTATTATGTTTATAATTTTATAATGCAAATTGAATGCTATGTTGGAAAGAAGAAAAAACATGCAGTGTTAGTGTGATTAAAAAGCATGTTCACGTACTATGATGAATAACATTTAAAGAATGTTGATTTATGACTTACAAGTGAACAAAATTTGTGAACTAAATTACTATTGATATTTATTTATTTTTATCTATTACTTTATTGCTTTATAAGATTGCTATAAAAATCCCATGTGCAGTTTATTTTTATTCAAGTTATAATGCACAAATGTCCAATTTACATTAATATTATATAAAATTAGAGTATATTAATAGATAGATTCATTAGGGAATACATTAAATAAGGAGGAAAAAAAAAAAAGAAAAAGAAAAGAAAAAAAGAAAAAAAAAGAAAAGAAAAGAATGATGCGAGCTTATTGCTGACATATTAATTTATAGCTACATGGGAAGGATTACATTTAAAGATGTGTTTGTAGAAAATGCATGAAGAAAGAAGTATTTTTGTTTTTTGTAAGATGGTATCTTTTTTTTTTTTTTTATTGTATATCTTACCTTTATTTTCCATATTTAAAACTTTGGCTTTCACTATATTCTCAAGTAGATAGAATTGTGTATATAATAAAAATATGTAAATGATGTAAATATAACTAATATCTGCATAATTTGTACTTATGTTCAGTCTTATCAAGAAAATTAAACTGGTTTTACTATCATGCCGATCTGCTTTATTTTGCACCCATTACTTGCACTATTCAAAAAAGATTGATAAATAAGAATTAATTTGTAAATATTCAAAAGTTAAATATATTATTCAGTTTCAGTTAGAGGATGCAAATAACAGGTCACCTGACATTACATCTACTTATATGAGAAGGCCATCCGGTGGAACTGGTATACCCAGACCATCATCTGCACCTGTGGAAACAATGACGCCAAGTCCTGCAGAAACTACTGTAACATTACCACTTCGACGATCATTAAAACCATCTGAAGACAAAGGTGAATACCTGCAAAGTATCATTTATATCACATTCGTATCCAAAAGATGTAATACTCATAAAACTTTATTTCATATTTTCATCGATGTAAGATTTAATATGGTACTTGATTAATCCTTGCTAGTTTTTCATCTATTTTCATAATCTAATAATGAAATCTCTAAATTACAAATGATTATAATTCATTATAATTATAAAAATCATATTTATTATAGAACAAGATAAAGAAAATGATAGCAGAAATGCACAAGCTACTCAAGCAGTTATACAAAGGAGAAGGAGGCCTAAAAGACGTTCTACGGGTGTCGTTCATGTTGATATGGATGTTAGTAATATTATTTTTTTTATTTTTTTTATTTTTTTTATTTTTCTTCTTTTTTTAATTTTTTTTTTTTAAGTATTAATATGCATGTATTAAATGCAAATATATTAACATAAAAAAATATGCAAATATTAATATAACATAATTTATAATAATATTTTTTCTATTATATGTAAATGTGTTTATATGCTTATGATTTTTATCTAAAAGTTTACAAATGAGATCGATAATATGTGTATGTATTTATTTACAGGAAATAGATCCTGAGAAACAAGACGTATCTGCTGGTGGTGATTTTGAGGATACTAAAGTGAATCACAGTGAGGTACGTAACAAAATATTTGCATAAATATTCATAGTAATTTTTTATTTGTGTGTATTATTGTAGATAATGTTATGCCTCGTAGAAGCTTTGTCCTATTTTTAGATTAGTTTCTGGGAAGATTAAACTCTAATTCACGTTTGCTTGGATAAAAATAGTTTTCTCATATTCATAGAACTATTTTTTATTATAATATATTAATATCTTATAATCTTTTAATTTTACCTAATACTATAATATAATTAATAAATAAATTAAATTTAGTTAAATTTTTATTTAAATTTTAAAATTAAATTTTAATATATAGTTATATATGCAGTTTTTATTTTAAAAATGTCATAAATAAAATAGTACAATTTAGAAAAGTAATATTGAAGAGTTTACATTTAAATCTTAGACAGTGTTGAAAAGGGAAATGGTCATAAGTATGCTTTGGTTGTTGTTTCTAAAAATAGATCATTGACATTTGAAACTTGATGTGTCTTTGACATTTAAGCTCACCATAAAAAGTAGAATGAATTAATTATAGGAGAATTATAGGAGTTTACCATTAGATATAAAGGAAAAATAATAAAAAATTTATCAAAGGAATATACATACATTATATTTTTTAATAGAACATTTATGAGAAAAGTGAAGAATTACATTAAATGGTTTAATTTTTATTTTTGCTATACTTCGATAAATCTCATTTGTTAATTTAGAACATGAGTTATAACCAATTATATTCTTGAGAAATCTGTGCAATATAATACGTTTTCGAAGTCTCTTCAAATAATACTGTGTAGTTGACCAGAAACACACAACCTTGACATGAGTATGGGTATCTGCATGTGTTCCATAAATAGATCACAGAAGCAACACAGTGGAGTAAACTGGCTGATGACTTGAGTTCCACTACCCAGTCTCCGTCAGTCAAACTCTTGCTGTCAGTAAAAGTAGACTGTTTTCTTCTAGTAATATTTTTAAATAATTTGATTTTTGTCATACATTACGTACAATGTTGTGATTGTGTTAATTTTAGATCATCTAAAATATAATACGTATATATTTTATTACGAAAATGTCTACATATAGAAAAAGAACACAAGGAAAGCCTACAACAGCTGCAGGTTTAAGAGCTCAAGCATCAGCAAATGGAAGTTCCATTTTTGGAAATAGACCGCGGAGTGTACCTACATTATTTTCTTTGAATCAAAATAGTTATGCAACCTTGTTAGGGATTAGTAATGTTAATTCATATAGTACTCCAAGCTTTTTAAATAAAAATACAAAGAATACTGGATCTTTTAGAAAAAATCCGTATTCCAATTCTACAAACAGTTTAAATTATCAAAATTCATTCACAACATACGGTGGAACATCTTCAGGATATGGCGGTGTTATTTTGCCATCTCATTCATCAAATAGCTCTCTGAATCTCGCAACGCCATCTTCTAGTTATAGTTATATGAATTTAAGTCCAAACAATCATTCGTCGTTGCAAAGAACTGAGAGTTTTAACAAAACAAAATTGAAATCAAACGCTAGTCTGAGTTCTAGAAGTGCCAGCCTGCAAAGTTTAACCAGTTCTGAAGGATACGCAGTAAGAAAAATACAATATGCGATAGAACTGAACATTATTTCTTATCTATATAATTTTTCAATTTAAAAATTTATTGGATTGTATTAATGAAATTTTTATATAATTTGTTTCAGAGTGGAAATGATAGACCTGGGAGGTCGAATAGACTAGGTTCTGTATCATCAATATCATCTGAAATATCGTCAGCTTCAACGAGAATCAAATCTACGACTTCAGAAAATGGTGAAATTGACTATAAAAAATTATATGAAGAATCTCAAGCAGAAAATGAAAGACTTAGAGAAAAGCTTAAGCGATCAGATGAACAATTGAAAGAAGTTAGAAGTTTATTAGATAAAGCACAGAATTCCCAGAACAAGTCTGTTTTATCTGAGGCAGAAAAAAGGGAAAGGAGGGCCATGGAGAGAAAGTTATCAGAAATGGAAGAAGAATTAAAGGTATGACTGTTGATGATAGGTTAAAAATATTTATATTCTTAGGACGTGCGCGCGCTCGCGTTATCCGTATTATAAAAGAGATTCGAATTTGAAGGAATCACATTTGACTTTTTTTTTTTTTAATCTTAAGATTGTAAGTGATCAAATTACAAAATTATTTTTTTTCATCTTAATTCTAGTTTATTCGTCAACGACATTATTCATATACCTGTAATTACGTGTTTCCTTAGATTGCACGTTAAAATTTTTCAGTTGTTTTGATTGCCACTGCTGAACGCAGCAAAAATGCATTTTATCAATCTATTTATTGTTGATTCAGGAACTGTAAGCTTTAGCGCATTGCTTTTTTCTTTATTTTTGCCATCTTTTGGCGCTTACCTCTTTTGTATTTTATTTCTTTATTACGATTTATGCTTGGTTTTATCACACGTAGTGAAATAATTTTATTGGCACGGTTTTTTCTTTCTTTTTTCTTTCGTTTTTACTCTATTGTTTCGTGATTTCCATTACGCTTTTGAGCCATAGGGTGCTCAAATTAGAGGATATATAATTTATAAAATAGATCACTCATGTGGTTCTGGTTAATGGGGCTTTTATCAAACAATCGGATTCGGGCTAATCGTTTCACTGTTTACAGCAATTACAAAAGCTCAAAGCTGAAAATGAGAGATTGAAAGCCGAAAATCGGGCACTTACCCGCGTCGTATCCAAACTCACCAATACTACTAAATAGGTAAAGGACATGACAGCATTTGCGTTAACATATATCGTACTTCACGTACAACTTAATTAATTCATTAATTACAACTTTATGTTCTGATTTGCAACATTAAAACTCTGAAACGATATTGCTCACTCACTTATATATATTTAGCTTTGCAAACATTTACCTTGTTTAGTTATTGTCACTAGCACGATAATCATGTTATTTCAACACATTTACAGAAAACATTAGGAATATCTTCATCTTCTTACAAAAATTCTATAACTTTTTTAGAAATACATGTTTACATATCAGCAGAATCAAACTTTCATTTTGACCGCCTTCTACTGTGATAACGCTTATCTATCCTTTATCATTTATATAATATTATATAATACTTTCACTACTTTTATTTAACAGAAATAATGTCAACTTTCGTACATTATTCCATTGTAACTTTTACATTAATTGTGTTATGCATGGTATGCAAATTAAGGATCATATATATTTTGATAAAACGATAACAATATTTATCTTTAATATATCAGTAAGTATAAAAAGTAGGTTTCTCTCTCTCTCTCTCTCTCTTTATATATATATATATATATATATATATATATATATATATATATATATATATATATATATATTGATATATTAGTTGATATTATTATTATTATTATTATTATTATTATTATTATTATTATGACAAGACAGTCTTTTAGAAGTAGTTCATTTTTAATACTGTAGTTGATATAATTAAAAATATGCTTTATATATTATTTTTATATTATATTCTATACACAGATAAAATTAACAGTTATCATGATAGATTTATATATATAAACATAAAATAAATCTATTTTTTTTATTTATCTATAATTCTATATATCTCAAATATCACTTTATTATTCATTTTAAATATTTCAGATATATAAAGTTATATATTTCTTCCTGGAGTTTTTTCATTGAACAACACAATAATTAATTTAAATATTGGATTACTTTATGGATTTGATAATGATACTATGAAGTTATTCAGATAAAAGTAACGAAGAAGAGAAAATAATTTCGTTTTAGTATGATAAGTAAATATTAATAGAATCAATTTTTGAAGAAGTGTATAGTTAGCAGTATCGATTCTAATAAAATTAAGTGTGTATTCTTCATGTCCTTACAAAAATTAGTTTAGCAGTATCGGAAAAAAGAATTCACGATAAAATTTTAGGTTATTATTTTTCTTTCTAATTGTAAAACAAAAGCAATACGCGCGAACATAAAAACACACACACATGTATGTGTGTTTGTGTGTGTTTATTATACTATTCTTATAAATTGAAAATCATATTTTTATTTTCGTATTTTATTTTCTTAATATATTTTCTTCTAACTGTTCATTTGCATAAAATTAATGTAGAGAAGAGCTAATCTGGGCACGTCATTTAATTTAATTTTAAGTAGAAAATCGTTAATATAGAACATTCATTAAGCTTTAAATAATAATTCTCGATAAATTTAGGTAGGTATCTAAAACTTATTTTGATACATTTTTATTAAAATATGTGTGTATGTCATTTCTTTTATCCGATTCATAGTAACATTGTCCATATTCATATAATGATGGTGAGGATGATGATGATGATGATGACGATGATGGTGGTGATGATGATGATATTTCTGTTAACATATACACATTGAATTTTTTTACAGGTTATGGATCAATTAAAATGTGAAAACCAGAGGCTAAAGGATGAAAATGGTGCCTTGATCAGAGTGATCAGTAAATTATCCAAATAACTTCAGTGCTCCCACGTTAAAAGCAACATGAATCCTTTTTAGTTGTGCTGCTCCTGCATTGATTGAATTCTTTTAAATGGTACAACATATTCATTATATTAATATTCTTATAATGTATATTGTATCATCATATTATTGATGAATTTATTCTTGTGCTAGAAACTTAATTTATTATAAGTAATATCAGTTACTCGCGTGGCTGTGCCAAGAGCGACAATGTTTTGCTCCTATTCCTACGATCTTATATATATTTGATCATAAAGCAAATTTAGAATTTTTATTATCTTGAATTTTCTTCTTTCAGTCAAAGATAAATTTCTTAGATCATGATAGTGCCAATACTACATGAAAAACAGATTGAATTTTATTCAATCCGTATGTAAATCCATTCTTTTATTATAACAACAATTTTAATTAATCATGCTGTTAATGTTGACTCTTTCTAAGCACATTTTGTAAATATATAGTAACTTGTGCGAAACGTTCTACCCTATGGGATACAGATACATATACATATACATATATACATAATTAAAGTAGAGTTTACTATTTATATATTATCTTTCTGACATTCGTCCTTAAAAATCTATAAGTTACAATTGCCATGGCATTTTATAAAATACATAGAACAAAGTGAGAAAGCTGTGGATTAAAGAGATGATTTTCACAGTACTAAAGTGGCCTTTTTCTAAAGACTGTCTTTTTAAATCTTTTATCATCATAATTTTTTTTCAATTGAACGTTTCAATTATCATAGTGGCAACTTTTTTATGCTATTTTGCTGCTTGTTTCTAATAATAATGCAGCAGATGTCACGTTGGAATAATAAAATTAATATGCTGTCTTATATTTCTCCAAAGTACTATGTGCATAGCATTAATGCATATAAACATTTGGAATTTTATTAAAAATTGTTAATTTTAACGAATTTACTAATACATATACCAGATAGATTGAGCATATTTTTGCAATAGCGTTCGTGAAAAAGAGTATTAACTTTGCATCTGATTAGGTTTGTAAACCGTATTCATAGGCATGGCATTTTTTCAGCAGCAGCAGCAGCTCTTTATATAAAATTTTATAGAAATGATACAGTTCAGACATATGTCTAATTTTGATGTACTGAGAAAAATGTCTCGTTAATGAATACGGCTCTACATATTTATAAGTAATTGAAAGAAAAAGATATCGTACAAGTGACATTGTGTTTTTTAACAATTTTATTGTAAACGATTGTAAAAAGATATATGGAGGTAGTTGTTTCATAATGAAGTTTATTATAAAATAACACTCTTGTGTAAGTGTTTAGTATATAGATATGTTTTCTGTATTATATAATAGTGATATGTATGTGCTTATTGTATTATATAGTTTTAAAGTGTTCACATGGAAAAAAAAACAAAAAAAAAAAAAAAACAAAAAACAAAAAAACAAAAAGTTCTTATATAAATATGAATTTATGTGTAGGATCTGTGAAAAAAAAAGAAAAAAAATAGATTATAACCGAACAATTGGACAAAAAATTAAATAGGAACCATTTGCTTTTTAAGCATCAGTTCTGTAGATATTTAAATTTTTAACTTCAAATTTTTTTAAATAATTGATTTATTCAACAAAATTTTCTATCTTATATGTATAATATACTATTCTCTATTGTATAGTTATAATCACTGTATAATAGCTGATGCTATAATTTACAATATGCAGGACGATCTTTATCAAATATATATCTTATATTATTGTTTACATGAGTAGTATTTTAATACGACGTATTTTTAGTAGTATTACAGATGAATAATAAAGAATTAGATACTATTTTAACTAGTGTAATCAATCAAGACGATATTATTCATTTTTATTATATCAGTATTTATAAAATTAGAAAAACAATTCGTATTTGGTTTTCAGAACTAAATTGTCTTTATAAAAATATCTTTTATATTTCATAGCTTTAGTTGCTATTTAATACAAAAGTAAATATACTTGAGTCATGTGTATATATGTGAAATATTCAAGATGTTAGCATGTATTATAATCATTTTCTTCTCATGAATGCTATTCATAATTTGATAAAGATTGTTATCTGCTTTTACCTTCCATGATATACTAATAGACATGTCACATTCTCAGGCATAGGAAATGCTTATAATAACGAAGATTTATAGAATGCCATGCGATGTGTCTATATTTTATTTAATGATTATAAATATTAAGAATAAACCTACTACGATTCTGGCAACACGTTTATAGTTGCAAAAGGGGACTGATAATTCTAGTCTCCAATTTGTAATATCAGAATTATTTATTTCCTATTTGATTTTGTACTTGTGACACTGCAATTTATAGAGAATTATGTGCAAAAAATTTATCATGATGTTTTATATAATATTTTGGATATAATAATATGTAAATATGTTAGAAAAAAACAGCTTTTTAAAGGAATCATAAAAGTTCTTTATATATATACATATATATACACATATATATACATGTATATAAAAAAAAAATATATATATATATATAAAAATATATATATATATATATATATATATATATATATATATATATCAGGTAAGTTCATAAATATATACATCTTTCTTAGGAATCTAATAATCTGTTCATAATTAACACTACTTTATTCATGTCAGCACATTCATTTGTACTTCCAGCTACTTTTTGTAACAATGTTTTAAATACTTTCCGTTTCCCAGTTTTATATTTTTTTGCGATTTTTGGATTTTCTTTAATAATTCTGTTACATATAATTTCTAGTTCGTTTTCATCACTTATTAATATCCAGTTGTTCTCTTTAATAATCTATATGTAATAAATAGGTATGAAATGATTATAAAATTTAATTCTAACATAAAATGTATATATTACATGTAAATAAGATTAATCTTACCTGACTGGGATTTTTATCCGATTTAACATTTAAATAATGTAATACTTTTATTGCTATTGCCACATTAACTTGTTTAGATTGGTACAAATCAAGCAATTTTGAAATATTTTCTATGTTATTCTTACTGAAAAAAAATTGAATCAATTAATATTTTGGATAAAAATTTGCATTTATCATTCATATTATAAATCCACTAATGATTTGAATGTATGATAAACTTACCAATAATCAAAATTTAAATCATTTGTATTTAAAAATAATTGTAAAGTATTTATGATGAAATTTGCTGTCATGTTTGGATCAAGATTTTTGTTTCTTTTAATTATATCAAAAAATAATTCCAAAAATTTTAATTCATTCTAAAATAAAATATGGAAGTGAATGATATCATCATCATTGTAAATTCATCTTTTCAAATTAATGATATTAAAACTAACACCTATTTGGAAAATTAAACGATCCTTGAGATTATATATTTCTTTCAACTTCCTGCGTTTTTCATGTGGTAATTCAGGTAATTGTTCTCTTAATGTAGCGACATCTACTAAATTATATTTATTTTCAGTATTATCGAGGCATATTCGTAGAGGAAGAAGATCAGTCTCAGGCATGAACCGATAATCCTAGAAATAATAAAATAAAGATTATTGAACTATCTTTTTAAAATATTTAACATCAGAAGTTAATTGATCTTAAGAATAAAATTTAATTTATCGACATATATTATAACACCTGTTTTTCCTCTTTTTCTCGTAATGGAATTGTTTTCTTGTTTACACTATCCCATGCCCTGGTTTCATTAAAAACTAACTGTCCACTTTCTAAAATTGAAATCTGCCGATTTATCTCATATTTTATGGCCGAGGCAACAGCACGTACGTGAGCAATATTTTTTAATTCTGTACGAACACCTAAATTATCATCATTACTTACAGAAACATTTGCATCAATTCTGAATGCTCCTTCTACAATGTTATGTTAAAATTATAAATCTATATACAACATTATATTTATATACAAAAAAAAAGAAAATTATATATATTTGTAGACCTTCCATTTTACATGAGCAAGTGCCCAATATTTTAAAAATGTTCACAAGTTCTTTTACAGCAGCTGCTGCTTCCTCTCCATTGTTTAAATCTGGTTCAAAAACCAATTCCATTAATGGTACACCTGCACGATTTAGATCTATGAGATTCCTATCATAACAGACATATATGAACTCTGCAATATATTAATATTATAATTGGAAAATAAAAAAAAAACAATAATGAGACACTTTACAATAGATTACATAAATAATAATTAATAACTCTTAAGATGACTTATGCGATTAAAGTAATTTTTTTACCTTCCAATGGATTCATCATGAAAACTTCGCCCACTATCTTGTTCCAATTGTATTTGTTTTATTTTTGACGTTTTTGCATACAGTTCTCCATGTGTCTCTGGATCCTCTACTAAGAAAGATAATTTGCCATTAATAGCCAATGGTTGTTTACATTGTGTAATTTGATATCCAGCCTATATTTGTAAAATATGACATACAATGCATTCATATACATATATATTTATTATTAAAGAAATAGTTAACATACCGGTAAATCTGCATAAAAGTAATGTTTTCTTTCAAATACTGAAATCTCATTTAATGTACAAGATAACGCTAAGGCAGTGCTAATACCTGCTTCAACACATTTTCGATTAAGCACCTATAACCAATAATTTATTTCGTAAATTTACTTTTATAAATAAAAATGATTCTAAATTTACCGGCATTGTTCCTGGAGTTGCGCAATCGAAATAAGATACAGCAGAATTAACAGGCTTTTGAAACATTGTAGAAGCAGAAGAAAACAATTTCGAATTTGTTGATATTTGTGCATGAATTTCTAAGCCAATAGTAGGTTTCCATTTCTTCCTAAAATATAATAATAATAATTAATAAAAATATCGTAAATTATCACATGAAGGAAATTAATATATTATGATATCGTTATTTTAAGAATAATATTTGAAGAAGAGTAATTGTTTATACTCAGTTTTGTGTTCTTGCGTTGATAAATATATTCGTGGAAATCGAATGATTGTATTTTGATGACATTTCGTTAATATTTGACAAGATTTAAAAGTTATAATCATTTTTAATTTTTTTAAAAAAGACAACGATCCGAAGACCGATCACGACTTATAACTGAAGTTGGCCGAATTTGAAACAACGATTAGTTAATGTCGATTATTGAAATTATCGCCGAAACTTCAAGCGAGTTAAAATAGAAGCAATTCGAACGAGATTACGATATATCAATATACAATCAGCTTATAAAACGTAAATTCATAAAATATGAAGACATTTATTTAAAAGCACAAAATATACCTACTTGTATATAAAATGTCTTGGAAATCATTGATCGCTGGTTAAAAAAAAAACAAACTTCTTTCAGTCTCATGGACAAACTATAAAAACATTTATATATTAGTGTATTACTTTCAGTTAAAATTTGTTGTCTGTAATATTTAGAAATTCGTAACTCTTATAAAATATTCTCTGATTCATATATTAAATAATCAGTCTCGTATAAAAATATATGAATAGAGAAACGAAGAAGGAAAGAAAGAGAAGGGGATAAGAATGGGGATAAGAAGGGGACAAGAAATAAAAATGAATAAAAATGAGAGAGCTCGTGGAAAAGAAAACATTCGAAGGAGTTGGCGCTGATGTTATAGTTTGACAATAGTGGGCAGTACAGTAGGATTTAAGACTAGACAGGATGTGGACGAGTTACGTGTGTTCAGAAATTGTTTAGACACGGTTTTAACTTTTTTGAGTTAACTATCGATAAGGTAGTAATTTGTCAATATTCAGATCTTAATAATGCAAATTTATCCATTCGGCTGCTGTCATTTACGATCATAAAACTAATATAGCGACGATGATTAATAATAGACCGACTTTAATATTCAACTGAGATAGCATTATTAAAAACCTCGGTAATCAACAGATTTTTTTTAAATGTAACGTAATCTTTAATGCTAGAACGAGCTGTGATATTTAATTATTATGAGGTCCGATAATAGTTAAAATCATTTTTCATTTGTGTATAATGTATAGAAGAACGTAAGGTAACAATAAATTTAATGATACGTGGAAATAATTTATAATAGAGAATGTTCTAATGTTACCCGAATGATCGTCGGTGTTTTATGTCAGATATTTGACGACGTCAAATTTCCTAATAAATAAAAGTTTGACTTTTTGATTAATAATTGATAGGTTCAAGCAGAAAATGACAGAGAGCTTGATAAATGAATGGTTGGCAGATTGTGGAGAAATATCACCTTCTAAACTTCATACTTTTGCTACTACATTATCGCAAGACAATGAAATAGTTAGAGCACTTTATGTACTGCTCGAAGAGCGCAGCAAATATAGCCAGGTATTTTCACCTCATTTTCAGTTAAAAATTAAAGCTTTTTTGTTCTTTATCTTATTCATATTATTTCATTCAATGAAAATTAATCTATAACTATCATATTTACTTTTTTATTTCAGCTTGTAGATACAGTTTGTAATCAACTATTTGATTTCTATCGTTCTCAAGAGATAGAACTCAGAAGATTTACTTTGCAATTTTTACCTACACTAATATTTATTTATCTAAATTCTGCTGCCCATGGTGATATTAAGGTAATAATATTGTATTATTAAGTTTACATTTTTAATTATTATCTCCAATATAGCAAGCATAGAATGATCGGTGCTATTTTTTCTTTTCTTTTTTTTTTCACAAGATCAAAGTACAAAAATAAGATGTAGGAAAGTATTACATAATATAGATTAGATGTAATCTGTATTCCAAAGATGCATAGAACATGACATGTAACTTGCTTAATTGCAGCATTTCTAACTTGTATGAGAATAAATATTCATTATCGCAAAAAAAAAGAAAAAAAAAAAAAAAGAAAAAAAAATAGCAAAGAGCTATTATAAATGATAGCAAGTAAAATGTGCTTGTTTAGAAAATGATACACTTCTATTTTAATTACATATATGTATATAATTAATTAGTTGCGTAAAAATTTATCTAACTAAAATTATTATTAGCTTGCAAGTATAGACATATTAAAGATCTTTATGTTGTTCTGTTTCTATTGTCTTTCCTAACTATTTTAAACTTATAAATAATTTGTTGCTATATATTTAATAGAATTGCCGCACAGTTGAAACTCTTCTAATTGGGTTATATAATCTTGAGGTAGTGGATAAATCTGGACAGCAAAAGGCAGTTTCTTTTCGATTACCATCTCTTGCTATGTTATCCATATATCACGAGGTATACAAATTTTCTCTTTTTCTAAAACTATATTATACAGTAAAGTCTGAATAACATTATTATTAATAGAAAATATAAGATGGAATATAGTTATTGCATTGGAAATAAATTTATAGATACATTAATAGTAACTTAAAATGTGAATAGTATATAGTAATATATCAAAATGAATGTACTTATATATAAATTTTATGTTGAGTAGCCAGCAAGCTTGACACCGGCTTCCTTAACCGAAAGTGCAGTGCGCCGTTTCGAAGAATGCAATACAAAACTTGTTAGTTGGGGTCCTTTACGTCAAGTAGAAACTCTGAATGCTCAAAATAGATTAAAAGTGATGACTGCACTACTTTTTATTTATAACCAACAACTGGGTTATATAAATAAGTTTGCTTTGGAGCAATTGTGCAAAGTTGCAACAAAGTAAGCTTGATTAATAAGATTCTAAATCTAAAGTAACTATCAGCTTGAGTATTATTTAATTGGAGCTGTTATGAAGATATAATTATTAATTAATTAATCACTAATTGTACGTTGTCGCAGGCTTGTCACTCAAGGTTTCACAAAACCAGGACATCATCAACGATCTTCGTATGGCAGCGAATCTAGCTTTGTTCCAAGACTTTTGCCTCGCATACCTGTTTCGACTCAATTTCTTCTTGAGTTTCTACATGCAGTATATTTTGCAATGTATATATCCCGTCTATTATGCAATTAAAACTTTTTTTATTATTTAATGTGAAAACACGTTATTAATCATTATATATTAAGCAATTTTTTATCATTAGGTATAATGATTGCTGGTATGTAGCGAATCAAGCTGTGGAGGATATACATAACAGAGCATGTTATGAAATGTACCCTGATGTAATGTTGGTTACAAATGCCATACGAAATTCTGCTAATTCTGGACCATCCGGTAATTATTTGCTTTTGTATAAGAAAATATTGTTTATTTAATATTTTCATTAATGTTATATGTAATTAATTTTAGGTCAATCAAGTGATGGATCTATTGGTATTTGCGTTGCATTGACCTCTGTAACTGCAACTCCAACAATATCGAAATCTATGATTACAAATGCCTCTTTCCGCACGAAAAAATTACCAGGTATGTCTTTAAAAATTATATTTCTTTTTTCGTACTTTGTATGGTAAAATTAATTGTTTAGAAGTCTAGAAATACAATTTTTTTGCTTTGTATTGCTTTGTACTATAAGAAAAAGAAAACCAAGAAACATAACAATACTGTAACATGATGCGTTACACAAACGAATGATTATATAATAATTTCCAAGTAATAATAATATTTTATACAGATATTTATTATTATACTTTAATGTACAATATATTGTCAATTATTTGTGCATCATTGTAGAAAAAAATAGGAGAGAGGAGATATTAATTTTCGTTCCTTTCTGTATTTCTATTTTATTTAAAAAATATTAAATAATTGAAAGTATATTGCACTTTAATTAACAAATAAGGGAAGTATAAACACAATAGTTGCAAATATATTTATTATTATAAACATTACTATATAACAAATATAAATGTAAATATTATTAAAATTAGAAACGTAAATATTCGTAAATATAGGTATAATATAATGCAGAGGTAGAGGTGCATGATCGTTTCTGAAGAATTCAATGTTAAATATCTTTAATGTAATATAACACTGAATAAGTTAATAATAATAGTAGCACGTAGTGCTACTATGTTAAACAAGTAATTTTTTTTTACACAAAATAAATTTTATCAAATATACAATTATTACGAATCTCTGATCATACGTAATTAAACTTATAAAAATGTTTCTATTATATATAAACAAGTAAATTCAATGAATGTGCATTTGTTACACACATGTGTCATTAGATGATCTGGATGAAAAATTGTTTGCGGATGAGTTACACAGTACTGAAGTTGAGAAGCATCAACAACCAACAACGTCTGGAAATAATAAACGCCGTAATTGGCTTTGGAAGCATGCTTTTTCCAATTCTCTCGATGAGGATGATATTGGGAAAACTCATTCTTCCACCTCTCTGGAAAGTTCCAGACGAGGAAGCACATGCAGCAATCAAAACTCACCAAACAGATCACCTTTTAAAAAGAGCAAAGACCAGCGAAAAGTTGCTGGAGATAGTATTGAAGATGGTATAAAACAAAGACAATGGAAAGAAACTACAGAAATATACGATTCGGTTTATAATGAAAATAAATTAAATCCCAGTACACATTTATATAGTGTATTAGAAGAACAAGCTTTAGGAGAGGCTGTACAAGATTCGTCAGAAAGTTTGTATACAGGAAGCAGTACAACAGGCACTTTTTCTACTACCATTGCATTATCAACAAATATATGGTATTAAATATAAAGTTGCTGCAATCAAGGATCACTTAATCTTGCTGAAGTTGTTCACCAATCACGCGATTACAGTATTTAGTTTAATTCGAGCACTAATCACCTCTAATAACTTATGCAATTGTATATTATAATCATTTAAAAAATATTATCCACCACCAGTGATGGAATACAAGTACAAAGCACATGCTATGTCAAAAAACTGCATGCAGATATATATATATATATATATAATATATAGTTTGATACACCTAAACAATTTGGTATATAGATTAAGACACACAAAATTCAGTTATATATATTCTTCTTCTCAGTTGCTTATTTGCTCACAAATTTGCTTAAATCTCATATTCCTATATTAAATACCTTATACGTATAGTGTTTTAGAATACTATTTTATTAAGTACATTATATAAAAGTTTGGACGACATAAAATCTTGATTAGTTTGAATTTAATTATTTTTTATTTACGCAAATGGTTAAATTTATATTTAATACACCAAAAATTTTTTGCGTTTCTTCTGCAGATGACATACCGATTCAAGTTGTAAAGGAAGATTCCAGTGGAGAAGGCAAAGGTAATTTGGTCTCGATCACAGAAGAGCAAGAATCAATGGAACCAAATCGTGCTGGCTCAATGCGACAAGCAAAGGATCAAAAAGCTTCATCAAAAATGACTAATTTTCCAGTACTTGGAAAAAAACCTAAAGAAAGGGATGGAAAAACAACAAAGAACCTTCATAATGCAATATCCGATAAGGAAAAGAGACTCGGATCACAAAATACATCAAAAGAGAATATCAAAGGAAGTAGTTCAATGTTAAATAGTGAACAATCAGAAGTTGATATAAATATTAATGGCTGTATGAATAGAAAGAAGAATAATAGTGTGGAAAATAATTCATTTGGAACTGAAAGTGTTACTTTAATGGATGGAGAACGACTTGGATTAAGTGGAGATACTGGAGACAACAACGTTAATATAGAAGCTTCTATCAACTTAAGGGCGCATAACGAATCAGAATCACTGACTTCTTCAATTCAGGTTAGCTCTGTTTAAACAAGTTAAAAACAATTTAGAACAAAAACAGTCAACAGAGAGAGTAGTGGGCTAAATTGGACATTTTCAACTGTCCTTATATATTGAAATACCACTTTATTAATTTGTGTGTGCTACTATAAACAATTTCTTTATTAGTATTAATACAACAATTAATTAAATATCTGTGAGAATATAAGTGAAAGATTTCAATAAATACAGTACTACAAATTGTAAAATGCACAAGTTCAAATGGATTTCTTGTTAGAAAGAAACAGCCCACTACTAATTGATCTCTACAATTAGTTTAAAAATGGCGAAGGGAACAATGAATTAATGGTTTTCTTTTTTCTTTTTTTTTTTTTTTTTTTTTTATTATTATTATTATTATTATTATTATTATTATTATTATTATTATTATTATTATTATTATTAATAAAACTGATAAACTCTGTCATTGTAACATACATATAATTTGTTTTCTATATACATGTTCTATTTGCTTCATGCTTTTTAATGTTTTAATGTCTCATTTATTTACTTAATTTATATGATATATATTGATTTTTCAATAGAACACTTAAAATTAAATATTATTTATAGAATAAGTTACTTTAATGTGCAGTAATGTTAATTGAAAGCAGAATTTATATTTTAATAAAAAAAATCTGTACTTTTGTGTTGTTTTTTGATAATTAGCAATAGTAAAAAAATAAATATTCATGTAAGCAATATATAATGATTTATATACAAGTTGTAATTAGAATATTATTGAAAATTAATCGCTCAGAATATTATTGCATTTTATATTAATTATTATTGATTAAGTTACAAACGTTTTTCATTGAATATATTAGATAAATTGTTATAATAGGCAAGTTTTAAGATTTCATCTTTCTAAGGGAAACCAATCTTATTTAAATTATATTTAGTTTAAAATGGATTGTAGTACTTATTAATATGATCATATAATTTAAATTTATTATTTTTTGCTTTCTCATTTTTTCTAATAATGCCATTTTTATACATATGTATTAAATGTTATGTATCTACTCTTAATAGAAAATTGTCTTGATAAAGTCAAAGTATCAAACGTGCTTTTCAATATCAAATGTTAACATTGTAATATTCAAAGCAGATTAATATATCATAAGTTATTAATAATTTATTTCTAATTCATTGCTTCTTATTATTTGTTCTTAATTACTTTAAACTTATAGTATTCATTGATTCGAGACAATATGATGTAAAGTTTAATACTGATTAAATAATTGAACAAATGAATAATAAATGTAACAAAATTCGAGTTTTTCATACATACACAGCATTACTGTAGTAGAGTTCTGTATAATCTTAACTTTTTAGACTATGGTGGTATTTTGGCTTTGTAATGTCATTGCTACTGTATTTGTAAAAATGAATAATTTTTTATTTCATTATTTATAGTAGTTTTTTTTTTCATCAAAAAAAAAAAAAAAAAAAAAAAAAAAAAAAAAAAAAATTAAAAGGAAAAAAAGAAAAGAGAACAAAAGAAATAAGTGCTTTAACTCTTTAAGTGTTGTATACATGTACAAAGGAAATGTTTTCATTAAATCCCTATAACAGATATAACACTTAAAGGGTTTTAGTTTGGGCTTAGAACTTTCGCCCCTATAAGACTGTATGCTGCATTATGTTATTAATAATAATGAAAATGTATTATCATATGGAAATATATTGTTGTTAACGAGTTTTAGTATATTCACTATGAAATAATTTGACTCATAACTAGAAAAAACACTTGGATATGAGGTTTTACAGTTATCGACAAATATTTTTAAAATTCGGAAGAGATAGGTAGTAAAATATAAGTTAAAGAAATCAATTATCTGCTTGACTTGACAAGAAGTCGGCAATATTACATAGAAGTCATATTCTACCATATGACATCGTCCTATCTATTGATTGAAGGATATTATATGATCGGATAAAAATTAAGACAAGAAAAAGGAAAAATGAAAAAAAAAAAAAAAAAAGAAATGAATTCCACTTATTATGGATAGCTAATTTTCTGCTGTGAAGATACTTCGAAAAAAAAAAACACAATGCTAAAATCATAAAACAAGATAATATATTCTATTGTCATCGTTAACAAAAATTAGAATTAAATTAAATATTTCGTAGTATTTTTTACATAAATGATCTTTCTACTTAATTTATATAATATATTCTTTTTTTTTGCATTTGGAACATGTACAAAATATCCTACATGAAATGAATATACAAAAATGTATGGATATGTACACATGGACACAAATTTAGATAAATATATGTAAATATTATTGAAAAAATTGGCAAGTCACTATTTTTTCATTTACTTTTACATATATTTGAGAATCTACATAATTTTATATTACTAAGAGAAACAAGACAAAAACTATTTCATCTTGTACATGTTAAGAGAACAGTCAAAGAGTTTTACCTTACGTATTAACTTTAATATACACTAGCAATAAATACTTTAATAATTCATTGTAATGCTTAGGAATTTGGAAACTATAAGATATTCAAGGAAAATCATCAATTATAAATTTCAAAAGATGTATATTTCTGTACTTTGTAAAAGTATCTATCTCAAAGTCTAATTAATATTAATTTAAGACATCAAAGACATCAAATTTACATTATATTACATATATTATTATATTTTCGGATAAACACAAAATAATATTTGAGTTTTCCATATCACTGCCATTTGAAATAGTTTAGAAACATTGATCATTCAATCTCGGTTATATTTTCTTATTTTGATGTTATATGATATTTAATGTTTGCACTAAGTCTTTACGTAATAATGTTACCTACGACGAAATAAACTAATATTTTAAGAATTGAGCAGAACTTAAATCTCGTAAAGTTGTTGATGATAATTTATTATTGCAATACAAATTGTGGAAAAAGAATTAAGGAAAAAAAGTAGAAGCTGTATGTAAAAAAACATCCTAAAATTATAATTATACATATAAGATGTTTGTCAAACTTGTACAAACAATCCTTTATGGGAAGAACTAATTCATTTTATAATATATATTCTACAAAAATATTACCAAAACAATTCATATTTCATGAAAGTCTTTAATAATACATACATATAATAAACTTTCTTGTACTTAAATACATTAAATACATTATATAAAAAAATGTATTTGCACGTGACAAATAATTTGTACATAATTAATAGTCATGTTGAAAAATCTAGCACTGAATACAGCAATATATATGCACTTATTAAATATATTATATATATATATATATAAAGTGTAGTTAATAACTCTTATTGACATACAAGTACAAACAGAGTTATTGGAGAAAATGATGATTCATATATAAATTCTCATTCATGTTATTATTATAAAATTTTCTTTGTTAACAATAATAATATAAGTGTAAATGTTAATATGTATACACAATTGTATATAATATACATGATAACTCACAAGTTAAATATATAATAGTATTTAAATTCTATATAAATGATTTATTCAGAAATATTGTAACGTTTCGCTTAAACTATTTTCTTTTTTTTTTTTAATGTTATCGCAATATAAAATTTATAGTGAGTATAAAAATCGTGGCAGGAGGAAAGAGAAAAGAAAAAAAGCCGAAGAAATCAACCCTCTCATACGTTTCTTCATCAGATTATTAGAGACAATTATTCTCTGTTTTTAGACTTATTATTATTTCTTATATACATGCTCTTTGCTTTGCTTAGTTTAAATTATTCATGATTTCTATTATTATCTTATTTTCAGTTTTCATCAATTTTAATAATTTTATAAAATTATATGTAACTTTTGTAGAAATTTATTTATTCTCTTCTTTATTTTATCCTATTATTAAATTAAAGTAATATATTTTAGCGAGCCGTTACAATATATAAACATACAAAGATATACAATCATTACCTACTTACATATTAACCAATTCCCTTCTTTAAGAATATTATATATATATATATATATATATATTAGAATTTATGTAACTTCGTTCTTTACTGTAATGTAATTTATTTATGAAGATGTTACACTGTTATTTTGTTATTTAATCACTCTATTGAAACGAAAAATAAAAATTAATAACATAAATTTATATTTTTTTAAAACTCTATTTTCAAATGTTTTAAAAAACTATTCTACGGTATTATGTGACTCTTCCCAAGCTTTGTTGAAACATTTTTGTAAATTGATTTCCTATTATAATACAATAATACACTTTTTTAAAATAATACACATTGCAAATAAATAGATTAATTGATTATATTTTCTTGAAATTTATTCGAATTAAGGAAAAAGATAATTATTTATACTTACATTTCGAATTTCATTATTATAAAGGTCTTGACAATTCTTGATAAAAGCAGATGTTTCTCCTTCTATTTTTTTAACGAGATCTTTGATTTTATTTTTATCCATACATGAATCATTATATAATAATTTATTTTCTTCCAATTTAACTAGTGCCAACTTTTTATTACTATAAAAAATGTTTACGATTATTAAACATATTTCATATAAACATATTGCACTTAATATTAAGTACCTTAATAATTGTGTATGTAATTCACGAACTGCAGTTAATCTTTCTTTGGTTTGTGCATGAATCTCATCGATAGTAGACCCTTGATGATCTTCTTGCATTTTGTGTTTTTTAATTAATTCAGTAATATCGTTTTTCATCGTATCAACTTGCTTCTTGATATTTTCTCCTTGAATATTTGTTTTCCTATAAATCATGCAATATAATAATTAAATTCGTACATCTGTTAATGCAAAACTAAATAAATATATTCCATAAAACTTCAAGATACAAAACATACTTTAAATGTCCATATATATCTCTTATTTCTGAGAATTTCTCATATTGTTTCTGTACAAAAGATAATATGTTCTCATATTTTTTAACTAACTCGTTTTTAGCTAAAAATGTTTCTTGCATTTTTTCTCGCTCTTCAATTTTTGCTTTATTCTGTTCTTCCAAATTATACAAACGAGTTTTGTATTCTTCCGGAGATTTCACTACCTCCAATTTCAGTTCTGCTATTGTTTTATCAAGCTAAAAATTGCATAAACACATTTGCTTTTTACTAAAATATAATAACAACTTGTAAAACCAATTAATCTTGAAAAAATTGATAAGTAATAAAAGTTCAATGATACAAACGGTTATATATATATATATATATATATATATATGTATATGTACCCTTTGAGCTTCAAGTTTGTGAGTATTATAATCTTCCACTACTTTTTGTCTCTTCTCTTCTATAACAATCATCTCTTCCTGTAGTTCAAGTTTCCTTGTTTCATTGTCTTCAATAAGTGACTGCATTTGCTGTATTTCCATTTCATACTAAAACATTTGTTTTAATATTACAAGTATATTTAAAAGTCTCATCTTATAATTTTTATGATTATATATTTATAATTATATAAATTTAAAGATAATAATACCTTTTCTTTTAAAGATAATTGCTTGGCAATATTCATTGCTTTCTCATTTTTTATCGTTAGTATACTTTTTTTCCTTTCTTGTAATTCTTCCAATTTTTTAGCTTTGCTATGAATTTCTTTTATGATATCTTCCATATCCGATTCTTTATTAGTTGCATAAAGTATAAAATTAGCTAAATATCTTGCAAATTTACGTATTCTTTTGGAGCCTATTAAACAAATTACTTTCAAATTAATAACAGAAAATAATTGAAAGATTTCGTTTCAATAATAATTATATTTATACTACTTACCACAATTAGTAATATCACTTATACAAAAATCTTTTATAAATATTCGGTCACATATTTGTCTCATTATTACATGTAGATTAATAATGCTTACAATGTCAGTATCTTCTATACACGACATAACTACTTGCTGTTCGAAAGTGGGCTATAAAAATAATGATATGAAAAATAAAATGTGTTATAATACTTTATTTTAATTTTCATTTGATATAATACTTGAACGATGAATTTACCTTGTTAATTGAATTAATATCGATCTTAAACCATGTTAAAAATGTTACAATTAAATTTATAACAAAATCTTCTGTTGGATTTCTGAGATCGTGTATGGTCGATGGAAGATTGGTGTCGAGCAGTAGACTTTGAAGTTTTTCCACGTCAGAATCCATAATGTTTTAAATTGATGGTTTATAAATAATAAATATATCACTATAAAACATACGTTACGCACACAATATAAATATGTGTAAAAAATCTGTGCAATTCAAATTTAAACATTCAATGATACTAACGACTTCAGACTGCTTCATAAACTTTATCGAATTCAAATTGTGTTCCTAAGTATGATTTCCACGAACCACGTTTCTATTTACCTAAAATTTCATTCGCAAAAAGGTGTTGGTGGATTTTATTCAATAAGAATTATACGAGAAAAATCTAACCAATAGAATAACTTTACAGAAATACAGTAACCAATCGTAATTCATTTTACAAAATATTTGACATACGTGCGTATCAGTAACGTATAATACGTAATAGAAATTGTTCGTATTAATTTTAAGTTTTATACAATTTTTCAAGGAAAAATTTGAATTTTTACTATTAGTATTAATGTTTAAAATAATTCATTTTGACAAATAACTTATATATATATATATATATATATATATCATGATCATTAACCAAGCTTTGGTAACCCCTTAAATATGTACAGTACTGTAATATTAGATCAGAGCAAGAACTTCTAGACCTCAAAGGTACGAAGCATCTGATCTAAAAAGAGAATCCAATAAATTTGTTCTTTATGTTTACATATGGAACTAGAATTACCATCAGAATTGATGCCATTGTACGATTATATTAGACATTGTCAAAACTGGTGAAAATATTTTCGTATCGCGATTAAATCAACCGACGTATTTGTCATTTCAACCCTCAAGTCCAGAGTATAAATTCAAAGAAAATGGCTGGGATTTGCCGATTAAGTACTTCGCATACTTTAAAAAATGGTATGAATTTGTTAAGATTGCAAAAAATAACATGTCGTGCGATAACTACATCACCAAAAAAGGATGATAGTACTAATGTAATTGAGTTACCTGAAAAAAAGAAACGTTGGGTTAAGTATGGTTTCGATGATACAAGTGAAATAGATGATCGACGTAAAATGCACGAATTATTTTTTGTGGGCATCACGATTGGTATGATATTGACTGGATATGTACTGATGTATAAACCTGATACACTATCATTTGGTACTTGGGCACAACGTGAAGCATATTTACAACTTCGATACAGAGAAGAACATGGTCTTCCACCCATCGATATGAATTTAATAGATCCTGCTAAAGTTGTTCTTCCTACTGATGAAGAATTAGGTAATACAGAAATAATTATTTAAAAATATATAGTGCTATTCTGTGTAATATGTACTAATGTAGTTATGTCAGACAATGAATATCAACGAACTGCAGTTTTTGTTCTATTCAATGATGTTTGTAACAGGCTATGCAAATAAAATATAATAAAAATGATTTTCATAAATTAACAAAAATTAGAAGATGCCTTTGGTGTAGATAAAAATATAAATTATTGTTTTAGATTGGTTATCTGATATATTTATTGGTCAAACTTGGTGATTAATTTTTATATAATTTCAGCAAATAAATAGAAAATACTTTAATATGTTGGATAAAAGTAATTATATTTCCATCGTCAACTAATAAAAGTAACAATAATTTCTAGTATGTAAAAATATTGATATTACATGCTTTATCAGTTTATGAAAATTGTATTTATTTCTGAAGCAACAAGCAAGTGTTTAGATTTTATATATATATATATATATATATATATATATATATATATATATATATATATATATATATATGAGAGAGAGAGAGAAAATATATTTTTATAAATAAAAATGTATAACTATCCTCCGCGTGAAATGCTTTTATGCGATTCATTTCTTTAATTTATTTAAACACATTCCTTAAAAATTTCGTTAAGTTAATGTTTATGTACAATATTACATATCTCATATATACCATGTTGTGACATTTGAGATACATAATAATCCTTATCAAAGATACAATCTTTGTCACATTAATAATCTATATTCGCATACAAATAGGTAATGCAATGATTCAAAATTGCTTATATGTTCTATTTTATTTTACCTACATATAGAATATTTTATCAAAGGGCAGAAAAAGATTGTATTTGAAGCATCAGAAATAACTGTTACTGTGTCGTCAACGATGTAGGTGAAGATGGAGTAGTAGTTGGTAATTGATTTTGATGAAGAACAGAAGAATAGAAAGAAGGATTTTGTGGGAGAGTTGCATTAACGGTAATTGGTGGCATTCCAGGTAATGAAATAGGTGTTGTCACAAGTTGGGATTGAGGCACATTAAAAGGTAGTGAAGAAGAAGTAGTTTGAACACCCGGTAAATTATAACTTTGCATTGTAATCACATGTGGCGTAGTTGTTAATCCTACTGGAATATTTCCTTCCATAGAAAATGATGAAATAGGTGGAGTGGTTGGCATACCAGGAATGTTTGGACTATCTTTATAATTGGTAATTTCAGCACCTGAATAATTATAGGTAGAAATTATTTTCAAGCCTAGTAATCATTAGAAATAATATTTACTTACTAGGTGAAGTAGTAACAATAGGTTGATTAGAAGAAGGATGAATCGTTGAATTAATTGTAGTAGCTCCAGCATCGACAGGATTTATTTGCGATAAATTGGGATACGATGTTACCTGCGACGTAATAATAGTTTCATTTTTGCTAGTATTGTCAATAGTAGTTGGAATATAATTTGATGGAATTGAAAATCCAGGTGGTATGTTTGTAACTGTAGCACTCGCACTTGTTTGCACTTGACTGGGAACAGTAGTTTTTATATTAGACTGAAAAAGAAAACAAAATATTATATTTAAAATTATTTAAAAAATGAAAATCTTTAGTAAAATTAATAGAGGACATTTTGTAAATCAATATTCGATACCATGTACGATGAAGTACGTGGTTTGTTCTCTGGAATATTTCTGATAGGTATTCTATGCAAATATCCATATCCAATTCCACATCCTAAACTGCAATAATAAAATATCGATTTGAATCTTTTTAATTATTATGGAAATTTCTCATTTTTTTTTCTTTTTTATCTTCATGACATGATAAATTTCTTTTTCAAAGTACCTTCCTTCACCTCCCCATGTATTATTTGGTGTAATAGTAACTTCTCTACAAGAGTCATCCATTGTATTGTACACATATAGCTTCAATGGCCGAGATTCGTGAGCTTCTATCAGAGTAAATAAATCTTCACTCTCGTGTAAAACAGAATCAGCTCCAATGATATAATCTGTAAAGGGATGTAAACCAGCTAGCTCTGCAGGAGAAGAAGGATGTACTTCCTGAAAACAAGAGAGATATAAATATATAAAAACTATTTTATGTCATTAAGTTAATTTTATACTTACAAGTACATGCCAAACGTTTTCATTGGCACCTTCAAATGAGCAAAACCGTACGCTAACACCAAGGAATCCTTGTCCACCCCATGTCATATTAGGTACAATAACGGTTTGACGTACAGATTGTGTTTTACTGCTATATACGGTGATGGTAACTTCTTTATCTACATTAGCTTTAAGAAGATCCTTTAAAATATGACTATCCTGATCCTAATGGAAAAGTAACGTAATATTAAAGAAAAATGATGAAAAGAAATGAGAAAAATCTATTGGATGGATTCTTATAAGAATTTTTCATAATCATTCTAAGGTTGAAAAATAAACATACCAAGCGAGTATTTCCAATGGATACAATAAAATCAAAAAATGCTTCCAAACCAGCTTTTTGTCCAGGAGAATCATCTTGAACCTAATGATATCACACATTTTAATAGATAGTTAAATATTTGTATATATTCACACGTTATTTACTTTATGTCAACTTAATTCGTTAGAATCTTATTTCATTTAATGTAATAAGAAAGGCATTTTAATTTGGAGATTTAATCGAATAACGCGTGAAAAGCTAAACATTTATTTTCAGATATTATCTTACTCTTAATACGTGATAACCTTCCGTACCGCCTCCAGGTATTTCCACGCTATGAGAAGATCCCATTTCTTATGAAAGATTTGCCCAAGTCACTTCGTTTCGAGCGAGAAAAAACATGAAAAGAGTTATTACTTGGTATGCTTTTTTGGAATAATATTAAAATAATAAAAATACGTGGCACAAAATCGTAAGAAACTTTATGCTGACGTTAACAGCTTATAAACTTCAAAGTAAACGAGACATCTATCGAGATCACTTTTAATCATTTTATGAAAATTTACCTCTTCCTAATTTTTATCCTATTGATAGAACAAAGAATTCTTTTGCGTTCTTCATGGACATTATTGCTATCTTCTCGTTAGTTTTCTTATTCTATCATGTGGTCATATCATTATTATAACTATAATCATAATTGGTCACAATTTGGACAGATTTATGCTGTAAAGTCTTCTGTTTCAATGGATATTAAAGTGTAATGTTTCCTAACCTGTTTTATATCTATTATGGTCTATATTCGAAATTTTTTATTTAGTAAAAGCCAAATTTGAATTGAATTTCAGGATATAATAATAAAGATTTCGTTTTATTGCAATAGAAATAATTGAAAAGTAAGCAATACGATTAAATTAAGAATTCTTGAATAAATTTCAATGCGAGAAACAAAATTTTCAGATAATTTTAACGCTAGGAACTTTCTCCGTTACCGACGATTTATCGGGATCATCGATTTATATGATTAATTATTAATCATAAAATATCTAGCATTATCAGATCGACATCTCTTTAGAAATAATCGATTAGTAAAATGTAATGGAATGTATTGTAGGATGTTTTTGGCGGGAATATATATATTTACAAATTTGCGAGAAACAATCTGAAGTTTGACATAGATACTAACGTGACTTGAATTTTCTGCATTCGATATTATCGAATCGATTGTTAGTCTACGGAACGTCAAGATATAAAGCTTGAGAGATTTATAATTCTTAATAATGGTCGTGTAAAGTGCCGGTATTCTTCCATAAAAGTTCGTTTTATCGTTACATGTGGTGTTACAACATGGCGTGGGTTCCATTAGAATCAAATCCCGAGGTAACGAATTATTTTATATATCTAACATTTGGACATCTAAGAGAGAAAAACCATTAATAGTTCTTTTGTTTATTTCAGGTTATGACAAAGGTAAGATAAAAACTTCATCATTCCGACAAGATCGTTATTTAATAATCGTAAACCTTAATAGAATTCAAAGTAATCATAAAGAAAAATAATAAATATACGCATACACTTGAGAATAAAATTATCGCGAATTGCTCTCGATAGTATTTCTCGTTGGTGGAGTTTTTAGTGCGCTTGAGAGTCCCTACCTGAAATCATGATTCTTATTAGTATTATAGACCGATCGCTATATAATAATGTTCTCAAATATATGGATACAAAGTAATATTACTTTGGAGAGTAGTTTCAAAAATACGAATTAGTTTTGTATTCTGATCTATTAGCTATCGTGAAAGTAACAACAATGCCAAAAAGTAAATTTAATATTGTGGAAGATCAAGTACACACAGATTATAACAGCAGGAAGTAAATACAAAAAAAAAATTGATATACATTGCCAATGTTCAATAGAAAAGGAGATACATAATAAATAAAAAATGCTTAATTTAAGTAAAGCATAATAAAGTATATAAAATTAGATGAATATATATTAAAGATATCAGAAGAATTGAAAAAGGAATAGTAAGAACTTAAGTGAGAATTGTACAATTGTACTTTTTTCCTTTTTTTTTTCCCCTTTCTTTCTTATTTTCTCTTATGTATCTTATTGTATGCAATAATAAGAACACCTTAAGAACATTTTATAAGTAGTTTTTCTGTCTCTGTAGTAACTTAACTATCTTAATGGTTATTTCAAAATAAACTGCAGAATAGGCATATAGATAATTCTCAAATGGACACGTTTCTGAGAATTTTGTCTTACAGTAAGTGTTCTTGGCGAGCACTCTAATGCCTGATCTGAGAGTAAAAATTTGTAGAGTTACTTTGAAATGTATAAAAACTTGGAGAGCATTCTTGTGAACAACTATTGTAAGAAACTCCTTTCGAATGAACATCTAACTTAAGAGAATGTATAACAAAGAGGAAGATATTTGATAATTTTAACTTAATTTTCTTTCGATATTGTTTTCACTCATTGTCACTCATTGATGTTTTAGTTTTTGCACAAATTGGGTGTTCCCGAGCAATGGAACATGATTGACATTTATGGTTTAGAGCCAGATTTATTGGCAGTTGTGCCCAGACCAGTTTTGGCAGTTATTTTGCTTTATCCTGAATCAGTAAAGGTATATGTGCAACTTTAAATTGATATTATTTATTATGGTAATCATCTCAATGAGATATAGATTAATAATTAATTACATTGGTAGACCGAGGTACAAAACAAAGAAGACGAAGAAACTAAATCGAAGGATAATGGAAAAGATAGACCAGATGGCGTTTATCACATGAAACAGATTATTTCCAATGCATGTGGTACGGTCGCATTAATTCATAGCGTGGCAAATAATATGGAAGAGTAAGTATATTAATTTTAATAATGAAAGCATTTTCGTGCTTTTTACGATTTATTGAACGATGAATAAAATATTTCACGATTGTCTTTCTTACAGGATAAATCTTAAAGAGGGATTTTTAAAATCTTTCTTGGACGATTCGAAGGATCTTTCTTTTGCCGAACGCGGAGAACTTTTGGTTAATGCTCAAGGTATCATCGATACGCATAAAGAATCTGCTCAAGAAGGACAAACGGAGGCAAGCTTGCATTTATATTAAATAAAATCTTAATTATGCGATATTCTAATATTATATTTAACGCTCGTACTACAGGCTCCCGAGGAGGATACTCCGGTGTATTATCATTTTGTTGCATTTGTACGAAAGAACGGAACGCTGTATGAATTAGGTGGGTTATATTATTTTCCTTAAAAAGTTCGATTTTTCGTTAATAATGTTAAAGGTACATAAGTTTAAAGACACGATCATTTCTAGATGGTCGTAAACCTGCTCCTGTCGATCACGGACCAACTACACGAGAGACATTGTTGGAAGATTCTGTCCGTGTTTGTAAAGAATACATGGCACGTGATCCAAGTGAAATGCGCTTCACCGTTGTCGCTCTTGCTGCCAGTTATTAAAGAACATTTCCTTTTCTAATATTCAAATATACACGTAAACATGCTTGATGCTAATTTATTTTCTATGATAGTTATGTAGTTCGCTTGGGCAATTCATTTGTTATATCTTTATCATTTTTTTAGGTTTTTACATTGTATGTCCTATAATAATCAAAGAGGAACAAAATACTGATCACATACCGTAGTTATTCATTTCGATCTGTCAAATCCTTTACACATATAGCCACATTTGCGTAAATAACGCAAAGTCATTTGCGAAATTTAGTCTTTGAGTCTGTAACTTATTCGAAATCACTCGAGAATAAATCGCGCAATCCAAAATTGGATTTATTCCTAAGCGATGATTACGTCAATACTTCAAGATTATGTCATTTTATGACATGAGCGATGCTTCGCCAAAAAAAAGAAATAAATAATTGTGACAGAATGGGTTATATTTGAGATTCGTTTTCTCAAATCAATGATAAAATTTGTACCGAAGAACCATTTGTTGGTAATATCTACGATTTAAAAAAAAAAAGAAAAAAAAAAAAAAAAAATGAAATGGTCTCCAGATATTTCTTTGTTTCCTTATTACAGGAGACCGCAGAATTTACCGGTCACTGACCAGGTAGAGCTTGGCTATTTTAGATTTCATTCCCAGAGTATGTTGGCAGCCGCCTCTAAATAGTGACTTTAAACACACAAAATAAAATCAATTCTAGACTCTCGGAGAATCGTGTTGTCGTTAATTCTTCTTAAAAAATAGCTTAAAAATAAAATTCAACTTACCGACTGATAATTCAAAGATTCGTTCGATACATTGATCATAAATCTTTTACGACGTGATACACAAAAAATAAAACGTTCTCCGTACACATTTATTTTGTTATTGTATCGATACGTCATTAAGTTGATTATGAAAAGGATATTGTACGATTGAATGCTTCGATAAAATTTTCCATTTGATTACGAATCAATCGTAATCTTTTTGTTGTCTTTTCGTACGATGGAAATAAGATATACTTTGAATGAAAAAAAAAAAAAAAAAAAAAAAAAAAAAAAAGAAAAAAAAATAGAAAAAAAAAAAAAGAAAAAAAAAATTTGTTGACGTTGTCGTAAGTTTTATTCAAAGTATATCGATAAAATGAAATTGAAATAAAGAAGCTGTCATGGGTTTATTTGAATGAAGAATATCTTTATTACAGGGATAAAAAAGTTTGATTGCAATATTAACTTGTGAAATATCATCCAGCGTACAAATAATTTTTACGTAGAACGAATGACCTCGTTTACGATCCGCCTTACGTTCGAGGGATATATGAGATCGGTCTCCATTGACGAGATATTTTTTTCTTTTTTCCTCATTGAAAAACGCTGTGCCGGAACTCATTTTGGTTCAACGGAATGTTATGACGAAATTCGAAGGGATACGAAGGACAATACGAAATGAGTAGACAGATTAGATAGAAAAGGATAATTTAGATAAGAATTTTTTAGCCATGGAAAATTTCTAAAAGATTCTCTGGCCTTACGTGAATTACGATAATGTTAATTGCGTTGACTCATGCTGCGTATTAAAAAAATGTGTAGGTCTATTAAACATATTTCCTACATTATTTATTTTTTAATTGTAACTTTTGCGTTAATATATATTCGCTCGAGTGAAAATATATAAAAGAGTCGAATATTTATTTGAATCTTTTTTTTGTTTTAAATCGAGCAAGCGCATTCACGAAAGTAATACGACTTGGCGGTTTTTGTTTTTCAGACGGTCCAAAACGATGAGGATGACGAAAGATTGTTTTTCTCTGTCTACTCGTTCACGGGTCTGCACATCGACCTGTACACTCTCGATGATGCCAAGAAACTAAGAATCGGAAACTCGAGCAGTAGCGAAGGTGCACGAATAGGAAAGTAAGACGGCCCCCGGAGTTGTACAGTAGTATTCGGTTCCCATCAGCTGTGCATTACTACTTTAGTTCAGTCGCACGGAAGCATCCGAACGTGCGGTACGTGTTTACGAGCGAACGACGGATAATATCTTTGCGATATCCATGGGTTATCAGTTATTATATTATTCATTGAGCAAATCGTTGGATTGAGTATTAACGAAGGTAAGTCTTTATGCATTTTTCTCTATTATTTATTTCAATCGGATCTAATGCTTTTCTTACGTACGAGATTTATCCCGAAAGCGTAGAAAATATTTGACAAAGAACTTTGGATACATTTTGAATTAGTTTAGGACTTGTTCAAAAATCGCAACGTTCATCGAAATTTCTATATAGATAGAATTGGATCTATCAAGTTTGATGAAACACCGTAGTATGATCTTATTGAACGTCAAAAAAGAAATGAAGAGAACTAGAGATCTAATCTAAGAGATTATTATTTTCATAAATTTTCCCTTTCTGTTTTATTTTTTCTCATTAAGAATGTATCATACTTCAAAAGAGGATGTAAAGATAACGTACACGTGAATTTTACTCTCTATCTTACCCGCGATAAACTATTCTACGAATCGAAAGCATGTAGATCGTGGTTTAATTTCATTTATTTTAACGAATCGTATGAATAACGTCAACTTCCCGTTTTGACATCACGATGCTCTCATTTATTTTTCTGAGAAAATTTCTATTTAACAAGCATACGAGCACCCTGACAATTCGTATTCTTTTCGAATTGTTTAAGATCAATTAAGATCGTATCCCCTATAATCATTAGGATTTTCGTAATCGAGGAAACAATAAAAAGAGTAAAATCGAATGATATCGTATATTGTATTGGGAAATATGGATTCGTTAAGGAAATTTCCTGTTCAATAGTATTTATCAAGGATAACTACTTCGCTTGGGTATAATAAATCATGATAATGTTTGCGGTATAAACAGTACGCTAAGTGCCCAATGAATAATGTTGTTTTTTCAATGTAATAGAATGTATTCTATTATAATAGAATTTTATTATAATTTAGTTTTTTCTTTTTTTTTTTCATTTTCTTTTATTTACCTATCAAATACAATATTTCTTACTAATTTCTTCATCATCAAGATGGAAGTCGAAATTAATCGATGATATTGAAACGATAATAAATTCGAACCAGATGTCGTTAGATCGATCCGGATTGATTTCCAGTTCAAGTTGCGTCAAGTTCGAGTCGTAAATCTTTCGATAAATTGTGTCGATGCCTTGTTAATAAAGTGAGTTTATTTATTCATTTATATTTATTGTTGATATACACGAGTTTGAATTTTACCGTCCAAATAGTAAATGTACAAAATTATTAACTTCCGAAGCCATTAAATGTCGCTGTAGTTTTTAAAGTCGTTATTTATCGACGCATTCCTTCGTCTCGTTGAATGATATTACGGCATACAAAATGCTCTGACAATAATCTGATGTATCGGATAACGATTTATCGTTTAATTACTCGTAACGAGTATTTGTTATCAAATGTCTATGTGTGCGCTTTACCTTATTTACTTACGTTAGCGAGAATTCCTTTCACGGAGATTTTTTTCTCGGAAAGAGGGTGAGAGAGAAAGAGAAAACGAACGAACAAACGACCGACCGAGCGAGCGAGCGAGCCGTAATCCATTTTTATTTAAACGACAATGAAAAATATTTTATAATATTTATATATTTTATAATATTTAATGAGAAAGTATAAACATCGAGAAAAATATGGGATAGATGAAATTCGCCAACTGAATTTGATGACTTATTTGATGACATATCGATGTCGAATCATCATTTGATTATTGCGTAAACATCTTTCGGACCAAACGTTTGTCGATCAAGTACTTTGATTTTGATTATTCTTATGTATTATATTACTTCAAGATTAACCGAAGGAGAGTATGGGAAAGTCAAGAACCGATACGATTATTACGGTATGGTTTGCGGGGATAAAGGCAATGGTGAATGTTCGAACGTTTTTCCTTGTTGATACTGGTTCTTCAATTCGAAGAAAAAACTGATTTTATTATCCTTGAGTAAAACATACCAATGTTTACGTTTAGATTTTATGACTTTATATATACATATATATATATACATATATATATATATATATATACATATATATACACACACACACACACACACACACACACACGTTTCATCCTTGGCTTTACTTTTTATCTTTATTTATATATTGCTATTTCAAAGCGTGCACAGTTGATTTTCATTCATATCTTATAATTTTCGCACGAAAACGATTTCTACGATAAAAGCGAACGTGAACGTAAAAACAAGGTCGCTTTAATACATATGAATATTTCGTTCACTGAGTAGCATCAATAAAATCGATTTCCTTGACTTTGTCGACCTCGAGACAAACCTTCAATGCTCATTGTTATCATATTTCCTCGTTCGTGGTGTATATCGAAGAAACACGACAAATGAGAAACGTGAACGACCAGGACGCGTGGTCGGCCGAGCACCGACCGTACACGATTCTATTTTGGCATTGTCGTCGTAAGCTTTTTTGGCCTCGCCAAAGCATGACTCTGAGCATATCCTCGCGTGCAGTAACGGATGAGTGAAAGAGAGAGAGATGATATATCTCGAGATACGATAGCAATTCGCATAGAAATGTCAAGTAAGTATCTGGCGCCTCTGATAGTGGCTAGTTGTATTTATCATCTCACGTTTTTATTTGCACTTATCTAATTTTGTTCTTGTTTAATTTTTTTTTTCTTTTTTTTTATTACTATTACTTTCTATTGATCACGATAAAAGGAGAAATATTGTTTCTAACAAAATTCTTCCCAGATGAAATTTTTTAGGTATAATAATATCATGCTAACGGATATGTTCCTTTTATTATTAATGTTCTTTTTATCAAGACGTATATCATATCTGTCATATCAAGCATTCTCCTCCTCATCAGTAATGTGCACACTTTTTATTTCTTTCATTGTTCTTTTTTTTTCGTTTTCTTTTTCTTCTTTCGTTTCTTTTTTTCTTCAAAAGATTCTTTATAGAACACATTTACCTATATATTTTATGTAGATGTTTGTCGAGATATACTCCCACACGCTCCATGTATGCGTAATCCCGTTCGTTCAATGGTCTCATAGAGACGCGATGATTTCATTCCAAATTAAAATATATACCATCGTCAGAATTGAAATGAAACATAATACGGTGAATTTAATTCACATTCAGCCGGTACGCTACGTATCTATATATGTGTATATGTATGTAAGTAATCTCGGAACGTGTGAAAGATTTGAATTAAACGATTCAAGATCGTTTTTGCAGACCTTTAATCGAGGAATTTTCTTTATTAATTATCTATCTCTATCTCATAAAGTCCTACAAAAAAATTTATTTCAGAATTAATGTAAATAATTTATTTCAATGTTTTAATATTGACGCTATTTCTAAGTTTTTTTTTTCGTATTTTTTAACTATAATATTCTTATCGTCGATATGACGTTATCATTAAAAGAAGACAAAAAAGAAAGCAAAGAAAAAGGAACATATTCAAAGGTAATAATTTGACGATATAAGAACATGTTCTCCTTGCTGCTATTAGTTACAGTTTAGAGTTATACTCGATTATATGCGATTTACTTTAGACGTGACTATAATATAAGGAAACGAATATTCGTAAACGAGCTTACGAGACGAGCATGCGAAATATGGCTGGCGTTAGCATTGATTCATTTTCTTGCTTTAAAATGTCTTCTTTCAAGTCTCGTTTTGTACAAAAGAGCCTATCGTGTGATTTTTCACAAATTAACGGACGACTCGTAATATAGAATAGAATCTCGCTTTTAAATGTCATTTAAGTGTCCACGATAATCGATGTAATTGTTCTTTTTCTTGTTATGAAATTGAGTTGAAAACCTTTTAACGAATGGTCAGCTCTCAGTGTCACCGTCACGCTTAAAAATGAAATTTTTATTTTTTAAAAACTATAAATATTATCTCAATGGAAAGTTTCGCATATTCGTTTAATTTGTTAAAATAAGGAAATTGCGTTTCATTTGAAAGTTCAAAGAAAATGTAGGAACGACACTCACACTCGAACAAGACAGCACGTTTTTCGACTTTTTCATATCTCTTTTTCTCCTTTCACCTTCTATTAGATGTTCACGTACACGTCGATATATATACATATACATATATACATATATATGGAGGGAAACCTTATATAACACGGTTTTGACATAACGCGATCTTGAAATTCAGGTAATAGCGCTTGTATAAGCCGATACTTGAAAACGTAGCTTCGATATACACGATCTTGAAATGTTTAGATTTTTATCTTGATATATGTCACAGGTATTAACTTATATTAACTTACATGTATTATTTGAATTAGTTAAAAGTATATTCCTATTTGTTACATTAATGTGTTGTTTATATAATTTAACAAAAAAGAAGATAAAAACAGGACAATTCAAAACAAAAAATTTCAAACCTAACCCCGTTTTTTCTATTATAATTGAGTTTCGCGTAAGGCGATTTATATAACGCGGGATTTCTATGGAACGGAATATCCGCGTTGTATCCGTAATTACCTATATATAAATATAATATTTTGTGTGTGTATTTAAATCCTCCGATAACAGTTGATTTATTTTCGTGAAAATATTCTCATGCTTTTCCATCTCGATCGAACGATTGACAAGGTGCAAAATAAGAGATGAAATCAATAGCTATTCGATTCAATCGATTTGTTAATAAAAATCTCACATGATCTTTTCGGTTATAAATGAAAAAAAATTCTTTCCAAATGAAATGTTTAATCCGCATGTGTGACATGTCGAAAAAACGTAACGAACTCTTCGATAGAAGAAAGATGATAGTTCCTTCGATGAATACCATCATAATATTCTCTTTCTGCTTATCTTTTAATTATTAAAATGAAATATTTGCAAGTTTCCTTCATATTTTTGAATTTTTATCTCGTTTTATCATTATATATTATTTGTCAATTTATATATGAAGTTTTTAATACTTTTTTATATTTTATACTTAACGAGTATACAAGTATAATACTTGTATGTTCCTTTGAAAACACAGCATTTTTGAGAAAAATAGTTCAGACAAGACCTTGTAAGGTCATTTCGAGATGGACATTGTTTTCTTTTATTTTTTTTTAATTGGCAACCTATACGTATTTTTCACAATGGTAAGATATTCTACATAAAGGAAAAATTTTTTTCTGAAATTTTTTATCTGTTTCGACCTGTTGAAAAAAGAAAATTGGATTTTAGAGGATTAAGAGTGATTCTCTATTGGGACGAATTAAATTCGTAAGGAATTTTCCTGTTTACTTTATTTCTATTTATGTGTATTTACTTGTATATCTATGACTGCCTGTATGTATGTAATACACGTATACGCATAAATACTTAAACACGTAACGATAGATAGCATTCGAGACTAACAATGGAATATTACCGAGGAAAAGGCGAAAAGATCTCGAACCGACGACGTCGACAGATGTTCGGTCACGTTTCCGTGAGAAACCGGATCGTGAGTCCTTAGTTGAACTCTGTACGACCCCGATTTGATAAACCATCGTCCGGTGGAAAGTAATGGTACATACATATATACATATATATATATATATATATATATATATACATATGCATACATATACATGTACGTACGTATAACTTTATTGCATTTCCAGTTCGTTCTCGTGCCCGGGAGATTTCGTTTTCTTTTTCGAGACAGATATCTCGCTCAAACAGAAAGTTCATCGAAATCGTTCTCGTATCTTTATCCTCTTATTCGTTATTTCTTTAATTTTTTTTCTTTTTTTTTTTTTCAATGCGATCGATAATCTTGAGGGCAACCTTCTCTCGTAGTTTTCTTTCTCTATATCTTTCCTTTTTTTCTTTTCCCTTTAGATAAATATCCTATAAAGAACAAGAATTTTCAATGATGAAATTCAGTCAAGGTTTGTTAGAGATAAAAAAAAAAAAAAAAAAATAAAAAAAGAAGTAAAAAAATATGAAGAAAAAGAAAATAGAAACAAAAATTTATATTTAGATAGGCGTGCATTTTATTACTGTAAATGTATCTGTTTGTTATAATTTTGTTTCTTTCTTAAAGAAGGTCAACGTTTCATTCTTTTGTGAAATTTTGGAAATCTTTCATTCACAAATAAAGATAGTCGACAAAAAAGCTGTGGAAATGGATGAAAGATGTCATTTTCTCCTCTTGGCATTGTCTCGCTTTAACTTGTATTTATATACAAACATATGCATGTATATATATAAGCACACATACGCGTACATACATACGTTGGGTGTGTTCATTCATTGAGTCATTGAAAATAATTCCGAAGGCGCTTATAAATCGATATAGACGAAGAAAATAACATTTTGTTATTATTGACTCGAAAAACATTATTATATATCTATACGTGTAAGAAGTTGGCAAAGAAAAAAGTTCTCTCATTAAACGATACGATTAGTTGACTGCTGTTTTATGAAATATCGGTGATTTTAATCTTCTCTAACAAATTTAAATGTAATTTATGAATTTATACTTTGATTACTTTGTAATATATTTTCTTTTTTTTTTAGAAAAAAGTTTGTAATCTAAGATACCAATATATTACCGAAATATATTATTTCGAAATGTATTATCGCTTAGATATAATACATACATACATATATATATATATATATATATATATATTTAGATTTTATTCGTTTAATGTAGAATGGAAAATTTTCGAGATATTTAAATATTGAAGATTAATCAAATTTGTTTTATTTCATTTATCTTAGATGGAATTACACAGCAATCCGGCTGTAATGTCGACGAAAAAAAATTCCATTCATGGAGATGAGACAACGTTCAAGGAATCGCTTGGGTATGTAATCATATTTTTTTTGTAAGCGATGGTTTGAAAATTAATCGAAACGTTTATTACGTAATGATATTTTATGAGCGACATAAGCTATTCAAACGTAATTTGTATCGTTAAAAAGTATGCCTATGTACGACAGAAAGCGCAGGCTTTTTATTGTTGCTCGTGATATCAAGAGTACAATAGTTATATATTTATAATACTTGGTAAATATGTCACATATAGTTGCGTGAACATCTGCATATGCGTGTGCCTATCGTTAAAGTTACAATACATAGTAGATAATAACTAATCATGAAAAATTCAGAATCCAATTGACGATAATATTCATATCTTTTTACATGTAAAGATAGGTATATCTTTTATTTCGCATGGGGTTATCTTAATTAGCCTCAATCATGCGATTTTTTAATTTTTCTTAATCGAAATTTTATTCGATGAAGAACAAATGATATATATAATATCTATTATAATATATATATAATATCTAGACATTAATGAATGTAATTTAGAGAGAGTTGATATTCTTTTTCTTTGTTTTTTGTTTTCATAAAAATCAGGACAGTATACATTCCCGTACAAGCCTTATGATTGTGGGAAAAATCGCTGATTTAAAGTTTGCCTTGCTTTCCCATCCTACTTCTTCTCCAGAATTAGTTCCCTTAGACTTTCGTCTGTCTGTAAAATTCCAAATTGCATAATTTATTTTTACGATTAAAATTTATTTTAAACGGAAAAAATCACGAAATAATTTTAGTCACGAAATATTTCTTGATGATAGACGATACTTTCAATTTTCATCAGACGACAAATCGATAATTAACGTAAGCAACTCTTTTAAAGTGTTTCAAAAATAAAATTTCCGAGATGGTATGAAAGCATCGAAGCCGAATGGATGGATTGAAATTAAAGGAGATAATGTTGAAAGATAAAATAAATTTAATATTGAAAATAATATATTTTCATTCTTAAGACCCGAATCTTTTAAATTGCTTTTATATGTTTACTTAGATGTATATTATATAGATGTATAATATATTGCAGCGGCATATAAGTCGACAGAGGTTTACCTTGAAACACAAAGTAATGCGCGCGAAACTTGCAAAGTGTTTCATTTTAGATCAGACACTTTCACTTGTTAGTTCGTATGCGACTGGCTTTATGCCTTAAAGTAAATGAACGAAAGCCATTGCTTATATCCTTGATCGATAGTTACTTATTATACGTTCGATGCATGAAACAAAAGAGAAATATTTTATACATTTTCTATGTTTTGTTCGTAACTAATATAATTGATAATGTTATTTTGAAAATTCATTATAACGTTACTCGATTGATATTTAATTTTAATAACATACGAATCATTTTCAATGTTCATCGAATATCTTTTATTTAGCAATGGCGGTACCTATGGAGCATTTCAATCAAAAGATCCGATCTTATCGATGGAAAAGGGAGGAGAAATGAAAGGTGGAGTCGACGAGCATGGAATGACCGTAGATCATCCAACTTCGTAAGTATTATTCGAATTGTCGTTTAAGATCAATGTGCAATTAGTTAATTTCTCATACACACGTATATGCATGCAAACCCCGTCGATTATAAGAAATTTTTGTGATATTTTGATTGGCTCGATATCTAGGTGTTTTTTTTTTGTATTCTATGTCCTATATTAACATACATCTTATTTCTTTCTTTTATCATTTCTTTTATTTCTTTCTTTTATAACTTTAAGCACTTTTTAAATTTACTCTTAAATTTAATTAATCCACTTTCAGAGATAGAGGGAGAGAGAGAGAGAGAGAGAGAGAGTTAATCGTAAGATATTGGATGAGTCGGAGTGTTTAACGATTACATACCTCTATCTTCTCGTGATATTTAATATGCAACACAAAGATAAAATGACTGGAGAAGTAGTGCATATCTGTCGATGAGTCGACTCCGATAGTAGTAAAAAAGAGAAATTAGACGGCACAGCGAGGAAAAGAAACTTTGTTTAGATGAATTATTATACATTCGGTGCAAAAGCCAACTTGGTGAATGTAGACTCCGAATACGTAGACGCGTTCAACCGAATAGAGATTGGTTTAATTCTTTAGTTACTTGCCCATTATTTTATCTCGCTTCTACGTGAATTATTCATGAATGTCGCGTGTTCAAGCTTACTTCCTTAATTCACGAACCCGTGCAACTGATTAACTTTAATTTCCACATGTCGCACGTAATCCTCTAAGCCATTTAACTCGATCCGTATGTACTTACGTACATATTACACGTAATTAACAGAATAGTAATATTATATAGGCGACCTCGTTACAATCAATGTCGTTGGTAAATACGCTGAGCAAATAGAATTGTTCCTTTTTGTTTTCTTTCTTTTTTTCTTTTTTTTTCTTTTCTTTTCTTTCTATGCATCTTCGCATCTGAATTGTAAGTCAATTGAATTAGATTCAAATTTAAATTGGACTTAAATAGAATTAAAGATCATTTAATCCGAGGTAGAGGTAATCGCGTTTCGCAAGTACTTCCGGTTTACTCTTTTGTCCTTTTAATCGCTTACTTTGAAGGTTTTTCAAGTAGGTACTTTGTGAATGATTATTAAATACATAAATACTTACATACGAATATCGATCTCTTGGGTTGAGTCGAAAATCGACAAAACTTTCTGTCGAAGAGAACAAATTGAACAAATTATGCAGTTTCTTGCGCTTTATATCATTTCAGACTTAACTCACGTGGAATTTGCTCAATTAAAACACGGTCGCGTACGCCTCTAATGCGCTAAAATATCTTAATACTGTTGAATCTTAATTCGTCCTTAAACATTCGAGTGTGTCGCGAAGTAACTTTTATCTTTATACTTGGATCATCGCCTTAGTTTTATTTCTGAAAATTTCTGAAAATTATCAATTTATAAATGACATTTGTTTCTCGCTATCATATTTTTTCTTTTTATATTGTTTTTAATCGAAATTAATTGCTATTGCTTTGTAATCCAAACAATTGCTAGGTATTATGCAACAAATGCAATTTCTGGTACGTAGGTATTCTATATATATGTGTATATATATATATAAATATTCTATATATATGTGTATATATATAAATATTCTCCGACTTTTATTAAACGTTTTACAATTAAAATAAGATCGTTAAGAATAATTATTTTCCGTAATATCAGTAAAAAAAAATAAAAGAATACACAGGTATATTGTTATCTAGCGATCTTTGTATCGATAACTGTTTATGTAAGTTCTATTTCTCTCTCTCTCTCTCCCCCCCGCCCCTCTTTTTCTCTTGCCATTAACTAGTCTTTGCATGCATAGATGTCACGAGGTCTGGATTTAAACTACGCTGTGATGAGCAAAAGCAAGACCGAAATAAATAATTTGGCATAAGCACCCATCGGTTCGCGTAATACCTACATTTAACTTATCGTTCGGCGAGCCATTATTCCAAAGTATATTGAACTGATATTTTTTCTTTTTTTTTTTTTTTTTTTTTTTCATATATTTTAACATATTAAACATATGTTTTAAATAGACATGTAATTTGTTGTACGTATGAAGTTTTCCTTTAGTTTATATTTGACATTAGAAATTATTGAAAAATATTATCGTAAAGACAATTCGTTGTGAAATTTGTGGGACAATTTCGATATTACTGAGTTAGTATTGTATCGATCATCATGTAAAATTAGGCGAAGCTTTGATACTTTTAGTATCTTAACAAGAAACGAACGAATGCGTCCAAACTCGGTCGACCGATTTCATTCCTCGACGATTTTAAATTAGCTCGCGCTATAGTCCACGCGAATGCTTCGGAAAATTTGCACCGAAGATGTACCATGGTCTCTAGTCGTGATTTCGACTCGACTCGACTCGGTAAATATGACGTTGTAGGATCTATCTATTAATCACGAGAGAAAAAGATACTACATATATACTAATTAACAGCGAAACTAGCGTCTAATCGCAATAGTTCCTCTGCTTTTTCACTTGCTTTTTTTAGTTTCCATGATTAATGATTCATTGATTGCTATCTAAATTGAGGGAACTCACTTGTACGTTGTGGTCATATGTATTTAAAAAAAAAAAGGAAAAAAGAAAAAAGAAAATACGATTATTTTTAATCGTTGAAATAGTCAATTTGACGAGCTATGGTAATTATTAAGATTATTATTAAAACTAAAAAATAAATTGAATCGTCGTAGGTATATTGAGACCATGATGCACCTGTTCAAGGGTAACGTCGGTTCCGGTATTTTCGCATTAGGCGACGCCTTTAAGCATGCCGGATTGTTACTGGCACCACCCTTAACCATCTTCCTCGGCATTATTTGCGTCCACGCCCAACACATTCTCGTACGTATGATTGAAGGATTGAGTTAGATGGTAACAAAAAATATACGTACACGCACACACACACACACACACACACACACACACACATATATATATATATATATAATAGATTTATTTTTCTAGATACAATGTAACGAAGAGGTAAAACGTCGTGTAGGTGATCCGAGTATTCAGTCTGGTTTTGCCGGTACCGTTGAATTATGTTTCGCTACTGGACCCTTAGCGCTTCGTAAATATTCAGTTTTCATGAGGTAAGAGAGCAGAAAATTACTATCGATCTTTCTCTTTTCTTTTTCTTGTTTCTTTCTTTTTTTTGTTTTTTATATATACCGCCACGGTTCCTCTTATTCGTTTGTATTTATTTTCTCTCATGTCCCCTCGATGCCACCACACTCAAGTATTTTACCCATCATTTTACATCGCACACTTGCATCGATTTGTTACAGAAAAATGGTTAATTTATTTTTATGCGTAACGCAACTCGGATTCTGCTGCGTGTATTTCGTTTTTATTTCGACAAATATGCAACAGGTAAGAAGAATACAACATACATACGTACATCTATATATATATATATATGTAGATAGAAATGATTGAGATAAATAATAAGAGATTAATATTAAGATTTCCATTATATCGTTAAACGTAACGATAATGATATTAATAATAATAATGATAATGTTAACGATAAAATCGACAGGTGCTAAACGCCCACAACCTCAAATTGAGCGTTCATCAACACATGGCGATCGTCTTGATACCCATCATACTCAGCACGTGGATAAGAAATTTGAAATATTTGGTACCTGTAACGTCAGTCGCGAATTTCTTGGTAATGGGTGGCTATATAGCGACGGTCTATATTATGAGTCACGACATACCGGCGATTTCTGAGAGGCGGTACGTCGCCGATTGGCACGAGTTACCTCTCTTCTTCGGCACCGTTATATATTCTTTCGAGGGTATCACTTTGGTAAGTATCAAAAGATTTAAAAAAAACGATCTTTATATTTACTTGTATCTATCTGCATGTAAAAAAGAAAAGAAACAGATAAGAACGAATAATTAATCTAAATTACATCGCATCATATTTGTCCAGGTGCTGCCATTGAAGAACGAGATGAAGAAGCCAAGCAACTTCAACAAACCATTCGGAGTATTGAACGTAGGTATGGTTATCGTGGGTGCCATGTTCGTAGTGATGGGTTTCTTATCCTATTTAAAGTACGGTGACGATGTACGAGGCTCAGTCACTCTGAATCTCGAATTAACAGAGGTGTAAGTATTACTTTATAGTTATCATCTTTTTAATTATAATTTAGTTATTCACGTGAAATATTTTTGTTTAAAGATCATTAGAAACTTTTATTAAATGGACAAATTATATAATATCTTTCTATATTATTATTTTTTCATGTTAATGTAATAACAACAGTATTCAATTTTATTTTTTTTTTCTTATTCCTGTAATAGTCTCAGAACAGTTTATAAGATTTCACGTGGCTGAATCCGTATATATATATATATATATATATATATATATATATATATATAGAGTGGGGCATTTAAATGGGAACACTTAAATATCTCCGTTACTTATGTTTTTTACGGAAAAAGTCTTCAGAACAAAGTTACAATATTTGAAAAAGTTATTTCAAAAATAATTAATTCGCGAGATATTTTTAAAAGAAAATTTCTGATGATTCACGTAATTGTAATGAACCGTATATATTTTTTGTTGTTTAAAATTAGAAAAATAGGTTAGAGAAAAAAGAAAAATTCAAGGTAGACTACTACATATCCAGGATTATATTTTTTTCGCAAATGCAAATGAACATTAATCTTTTCCGGCTGCAGGTGCATATAATTGATGAATGAGTCATCAGGCATTTTTTCAAAAGAGCTCGTGATTTAATTATTTTTCGATATTACCTTCATTTATACTTTTTTTTATTAATACTTTTATTAATAAATACTTTATATATACGTTTATTGTAATTTTTTGCATTCAGTATAGTATGAGGAATCAATCCGTGCAAAAAAGAAATCGTAAAATTCCGTTAAAAAAAAATGCCGACGACCTTGGAAATGCCGACGGCCTCGTAAAAACATGGCATTGAAAAAAGAATTTTTCCATCGTCATATGTAATCTTTCAAATAAATGTTTAGCTGTTCCAATATAAATGCTCCAAATGTTCTAATTAATAAGAAAACTTCAATGACACCATATTATCATTATTTGTTATCATCGAAAATGGGAAATACATAGTTATCGATAAAAATGTCATAGTTAAATAATTACTGCAATTGGATCGTTTGTGCATGCCATTACTTGTACCTTGCATCGAGTATAAATGATTGCGAAATGAACATTATAAATGAGTCGATAACGAAACTGACGCGAATACTCTATGCTTTCCAATTTTTCTTAACGTACGTTTTTTATTGTTGCATACGAAGAGTGGACGGGAAAAAGATCTACTCGCAGGCAAGGTTTATACCAATTATTTTCTGATAGATGTGCAGTGCTCTTTTTTTTCCTTTTTTTTTTTTTCTCCTAATTATTGATTTAATAAGAAATGTTTTTGAAGTTGATTAACAATTAATATAAGGTAACAATTAATTCGTAATGTGTAATTGTTTATTTTTCTCTTTTCTTTTTCTCTTTTTTTTTAAATTTTTCTCTGCATGACATTTGAGCATGAGTTTGAATTGATATTTTGCTACGAATCTTCTGATTCCTGTCTTCTTTTTTTTTCTTTTTTTTTTTTTTTTTTTACTTTTTTTTTCAGGAGTTTTTGCGCGTTACCGTTGAACGATGAAAGAACGAACATGTTTTCTCCTCGGAGTAACGAAAAATCTATTTTTACAGCTTACCTCAATGCATCAAGCTGGCTATTTCGTTGAGCATATTGTTGACCTATGCTCTGCAATTCTACGTACCTATCGCCATCATATGGCCCGGAATCGTCGAGCAATTCGGTCCCTTTAAATGGCCAGTACTCTCGGAGATAGTCTTTCGGTCTGCTTTGTGTTTTCTTACGTGTGAGTATTTTATTTCATGGTTATATATCGTATACATTATACATGTATCGCTTACGATGTTTCCTCATTCTCTCGTTCTACCATCAGCCATCTACCTTCCAAATTTTTTCATATTTTAATTTTAAAATTCTTTTTTTAATAAGGGCAAGAAAAATTTAGAGAAAATTATTAAGAGAAAAATAATTATTCTAGTTGTTTTGGCGGAAGCTATACCAGAGCTGGGTCTCTTCATTTCTTTGGTCGGTGCAGTAAGTAGCACGGCGCTGGCCCTTCTCTTTCCACCCATCATCGAGTTGGTAGTATGTTGGCAAAATGCCAACTTAAGTCCCTTTATGGTTATTAAGGACGTGACGATCGTGTTGATCGGTTTACTGGGCTTCGCTACGGGAACCTACGAGAGCATTACGTCGATCATCAAAGCATTCGATAAATAGACATTCAACATTGTACAAAGTCCCATTTGTTGATTACATTTTTATTAGATTATTTTAAAAATGGACGCACGCGTGAGGTTAACGGACCATGACATCCACGCAGGACACGAGTAGATGTAATGGACAGCGACGCTTGTCACGATACAGAATCATTATCATCATTATTATTATTATATTTATATATATATATATACATATATATATACATATATATATATATATAAATATGTATTATAGTTATAGTAGTAACTAATTTACGTTGGAAGGATGGCCAATGACAATTGTACAGAATTTTTATGCATCGAATGAAAATTTTTTCTTTAATTTCCGTTTTAATTTCGAATCAATTTTGACAATACATTAAACTTTCTTGATTAATCAGATTAATTAATCGGATAAGCGATATAATTAATAAACGAATATAAATGATTATTCTTGGATGTTCCTTAAAAGAATAACGAAAGGCCGGTCCCTCCAATGTTATGCGCAACTATCATAGGTCTATCAAAGTTTAGTCCCTTTATGTTGCTTGTGATATTGAAAACGATGCGAAAGCGGCGTTTCAATCGTAGATCGATTAAACATACATACGTACATAAATAATATTTAAGGAAGAGAAAAAAAAACAAAAAGAAGAAAACGACTGTCTTTGCAATTATCGTGATACATATATATATAGTTAGTTTATATTGCCCGTCCTAAGGATTCTACCCTCTCGCGATTAATTCTATGTACATATATATATATATACATATCGATATCGTATCTGGTTCAAAAAAATTGGATCTCCATTAATAGTATTGCGTACAATAGCCGAAGAAATTTTTCTTTGTTAGATCATAAAAAAGGAACGTCCCCTTTGCGAATGTTTAGAGTACAACTTTATATTAATTCTAATTATATTCCATTGCATATCAATCAGTTTATAATCCTTTACGTTTTTTTTTTTTTCATTATTAATTTGACACGTGCTTAAAAAATGACTATTAAAATTTTGTACCACTTAAAATCTGACAAAAGTCAAATGACATTGCCAATCTTTCACTATGCAATGGCTAAGAATTATATCCTTTATTCCACGTTTGAATAACGATAAAGTGTACTGTTACTTTTCTTTTCTTCTTCTTCTTTTTCTTTTTAAATTATCTGCGAAATTATTAATTTCGTTTTTCGAAAGATTTTTATCATGCACAAGATAAGCCAAAGGAATTCAATTAATGCCAATCTTTATGTGTAACTTAAAGATCCATTGACTCGATGCTTATTATTATTATTTCATTTATCTTCCATCGGTTTCCTTACTTCTTGTAACTTTTATAAAAGGATATATATTTATAAATAGAAGAAAAAACAAAATGAAACAAAACGAAACAAAACAAATCGTAAAAAAGAGACCGATCGTTTTTTCCTTTCACGTAGGTTATAAAATAAAATTATAATGTTATTCTTTTTATATAGCGAATTTCTAAGACATTAACGTGATGCGAAAAACAAAAAAGTACGATACTTATAAGAATTAGAGAAATACGTATGAAAATTCTTATTTATCTTTTTCTATATACATATTATACACATATATATATATATATTTATATATTTATATATCTATATATATAAATACCATTATTTATATATATAATATACAAATATAATTATATATTTATATATATACAAATTGTAACAGCTAAAGAATTTTCATTTATATGTACAATTAATTTTCTCTCTTTTTCTTTCTTTCTTTCTTTCTTTCTTTCTTTCTTCCTTCTTTCTCTTTTCCTTTCTCTCTTCTTTTTCTTTCTTTTTTATTTCTCCTTCACTCTTTCTTTTTCTTTTTTTTTTCTCTTTTCTATCATAACTTAGCTGCATAAGTCTTCCTTGATTCTAATTGCAATATCTTTTGACGAAACTTCACGGTTGTAATTATATATTTGTTGTGATACTTCATATCGGCGCAGAATTATGGTCGGCAAAAAAGATGAAAGAATTTAGTATGGAAAAATACTCTCTACTGACAAGCAGTTTATGTTTTTTTTACATACGCCGAAGTACAAATTCTCTCAGGGAAACGCGTGTGTGTATATATATATAAATATATATGCAATGTATGTACACATATCTTTTCCTATAAATGTAATCGTAGGAAGAGATAATAGGTTTCAATGTATACCAATTTCTCTTTCTTCGTTTTTTTTTTTTTTCCCTCTCAAGATCTTATAAAGATAATAACATAAAGATTATACAGTACAGTAATGCAAACAAATTTCTTCTCTCGAAAGTCTAAGATTGTAAGAAAAAAAAAAAAAAGAGAAAAAAAAAGAAAAAGAAAAAAAAGAAGAAAGAACCCAATCGTCAATTGAATATTATTAAACTTCAATACAGATTTGTTTCTTCGATATCGTCATGTTTACGTCAAAGATACGATAGCATAGATAATAATTATACAACATATGACAATAATTGTACACGCGAAAGATGTTTTGTATTGAAAACGAGGTATCTTTCAAGATAATTAAAACATGTTATTTTTATCGTAAACCACAAACGTTTCTCAATTAATCAGGTTAATTAATCAGATAAACGAGAGAAATGTTTACCAATTGTCCCTCGTTCTTCCGGTTATCAAGATGTTGGACGCTTTCATGTCAAGGAAACATAATCTCTCCTCGGATGAATTTTGTATGGTATTGTTTATGAGAGAGAAAATCGATGAGAAAAATTGCAAATCCTATTCTAAATCGTTGAAATATCTCATCGACGATGTTAAAGAGATTCAGGTATAATATCGATTGTCGTTGTTAATAATAAATATGTATTTATTAAAAATTTATTTATTACGTTTTAATATTAATTTTGTTTGGATACGTTTCGAGGTACCGCCAGAATCGTTACATTACGAGATCGCAGAATTATTCATGACCATAGTTCGATTTGAATTTCCTTTGAGAATTGCATGCGAGGCTTTTGTAAAGCAAAGACTGTTTTACAAAGGAAACCATGATTTAAGCGAAATAATGGGTAGGTATGGTTGATCCGATTTCTGACATTATATCTTTACGAATAGCTTCTCACGAGTCTATATAATTATTTTCTAGTGTGATTATTATTTTTTATCGATTGTCTTTAAAACAGTATGACTTATATAAGCGTGTAACGAATAAGTATACGTTTCAGTGATTACATATGTCCTAATCTTTCAAGTATCTTCCTTGGCCATTAAAAATACCATGGATTTTTTCGTTCATTTTAAAATTGACAGAATATTGAATTTACTATCTTATTTGCTTCGCAAAGAAACATTGGATTTGTTTTATACGAAGAGTTGCGATGTATTCGAAGAAAGTTTCGTCCAAGAAAAGATATACGAACCTTATTTGTTGGCCTTACCACGTTTGAAGGTTCAATTTAAATTGAAATATGATTAGAATTAATAAGTATACAGGGTGATTCATATAAATTTGTTAAGTCATATCTTTTCCTTATCTGTATTTTACGATTGCGTTATTCTTTTTTTTTTTTTTTGTATTTTTTTAATGAACACCTTTCTTTTTTTTGTATACATCGTTGGTCCTCTCGTTAATTAATGTGAGCGAAGTATTGGCCGAAAGATGATTAGTTTGCGAGGTATTTCGATAAAATGTCTTTATTGAAAGAGATACTCGAACGCTTCATTGTAACTCTATGTTAATAGAGTTAATTCTTATATCGCGTTATTTTTCATGATATTCTCCTACAAGCTCGATTAAATTTACAATACATATGTATTACCAACAAGATGGTGCTTCAGTACTCAATTCAATTCAAGATGCATCGTTACAAAATTCTTTACACGTACATATGGACTGATAAATATTACAGTACACGTTGCTCTCTTCTCCGACTTGAACCCTCTAGATCTTTTTTCTTTGGGGTTACTTAAAAAGAAAAAGCAAGATATATTAACATTCTTTAAATTCGATATGTCGAAAGAAGAAAAAAAAAGGAATGTTTTCATAAAAAAAAAAAAAAAAAAAAATAATGTAACCGCAATGCAGTTTCGAAAAAGTTATTGCAGTTTCGAAAAAAAAATGACCATAAATAAGTCGTCCATTTGGAATCATTCGTCTGTTTTTCTTTAATATTTTTTTTAACTGCAAAAAAAAAAAAAAAGATATGACTTGTTAAAGCTACATAAATCACCATGTAGACTACATATGCGAATAAAAGATCTGAATCATCTTGCTAGGCGTTGCGAATTTATTTGAGAGAAGAAAAGCAACGTATGATGGCGATACCGAAGCAAGAAACAACGAAACCAATTTTTATGAAAGTTCTTAATCATGTGAAAAGAGCAACGAAATGTCCACCACCGACGCCAGAAGTAATTTTATATTAACATGTATTTTTTTTTCTTTTTAATTTTCATTCGACAATCGAAAGATCATTTTGACGGATCCCTCGTCTACCCAGAATAGAATCTTACGATGAGAAAATCACCTCGGAAGATACCAAATTCGATTTACTTTTCATCGTCCATAGAAGAGAGGTTGAACATTCTGCGGGAAGCCAACAAAGATCAAGCATTGCGTTTGTTAAGAGAAGCGAATAAAAATGCACCTGCGTGTTCGAGGAAACGTGAGATTAAATTAATCGACGTAGAACAAGAAATCGAGAAACGTGATGGTTGTCCGAAAAAACGCCTACCAATCTTCAAAGTAATTCTCATTGTTTTCCTACGATCTAAAAGATAATATTAAAAAAAAAAAAAAAAGATGAAAAGGAAAAAAAATAATAAAATACGGGTACGATTAAATTTATACACGATATGTTACATTATTGTAGCCGGTTGAAATTAAGCAAAACGCAACTTCGATTCTCCGCGAATGTGCACGAATAGCCAACGAAGAACTAAAGGAAGTATCAAAGTTAGTTGAAAAAATTGACTTCTTTAGAAAGAAAAAAAAAAAAAAAAGGTGAGCGTCAATGGTCACAATTTAGTTTATTAATCTTACGTTCATTCATGAAAAAAAAAAAAAAAAAAAAAAAGAAAAACTATTGTATTTCGTGTTTGAACGTATTGTATTACCATTCGTAGAAACACGAATATATATTACATCATGTCAAATCATACGTTATTACGTTACGTTTGATAACATTGCTATGATGTCACGATTAGTATCGCATTATTTGTATCGCGTTAAAACATTGACAAATATTTAATAATACCTATTTCATTTTTTGAAGAATATAAAAAATTTTGCAGCATATTTGTGATTCGAAATAAAATGCATAAATCGACCTGGGTAGACGAAATAAATTGTTGAGTTCTCTCAAAGAGAGAACAATTAAGAAGAATATAGTTATTTAGTAAAAGAATTATAAGAATTTCCCAGTAGATATTATATGTATTTCAGAATGACGGAGGATGAATTCGAATGTTTTGCATGGCTTAATTGAGAATGATATATATATATATATATATATATATATATATATAAACATGATCTTCTGTAGCATCTTTTGATCCTTGCAATTTGATGATTTTTATATTGAATAAAGTTGCATGTTCTGTTAAAAATTTTATGTTAAAGCGATCCGAAGGAATAGATCGATAACAGTAATTTGAGTTTCTCTTCACATAAACATTGAAGCCATTTAGCCAAAAATATAGCTGATTCCTTAAATATCATTTGTGCTATCTTTGGGTATAAAAAAAGGAAAAAGGAAAAGAAAGAAAAACTGAAACGAAGAATGGAAATCATTAGTAAAATTAAGACTTCTATCGATTCAAGATACTTTTTTCAAGATAAACGTATCGCTATCAAAGTGTAATCAGGTTGTAATCTCAAGTATCAAGATAAGGAAACACTTCAGGAAATACATCGGTATTCTTTCAACGAAACAGATTTCCTAATTTGTGATCTTTGGATTGTACAATTAATAATTGATATACTCTGCATTATAAAAAATACTTCTCACATAGACAATATTCCAATGTAAGGCCTACTTTAAAGGATAATTTAAAAAGAACATAGAATCCATACTAAGGCTAAAACAAAATAACTGTACAATAACATAACTTGTTATACCGCTAATATAATCCAAGGTACAGCCGACGTTAAACATAAAAGAGTTAAAAACAAGAGAAAAAAATTGTATGTCCATTTTTAAACAATATTTATTAGTTTTGAATCCGCGCAATAATAAAATTTTGGAACGGCATGAAATCGTGAAATACTGCTTTTATACGTAATAATATGTCACATATAATGGCGTGAACAACGTGACATGGTTTATAAATTGTTTCTAACAGATATAAAAAAAACGGAAATACGTCGGTTCACACTCTACGAACTTACAATCACGTACTAGGATGTGATTTCACGAGACGTGACATTAATGCCTTTTTGTTTTTACGTTATTACGTATACATATCACGTGTCATGCATAGTATCATATAGTTAGAGTAATACATTAATATTAATTTCATTAATTACTTATACTCTTTATAAAAATTCTTATCAAATTTTATCTGACATGAGATCAATGTTTTTTACGTTATTACGCATATATGTCACGTGTCAAGTATAGTATCACTGTACGACGCTTGCAATATACTTATTATTATTGATATTATTAATTATTCAAATTCTTTATAAGAATTCTTATCGAATTTAACTTGACGTAACATTAATATCTTTTTATTTTTACGTTACTATGCATATTATCATCGTATTACGCTCAAAATATACTAATATTGATTTCATTAATTACTCCAGTTCTTTATGACAATTCTTTTGGAATCATAGAATACAAAAGTTGGTCGAAGGTTACTTGGATCCGGAATCGATAGAAAAATTAAACGAGGAGAGGAAACAACGTGAAAGACAAGAGGAGATAAACAAGATTGAAGAGAAGCATTTGATAGCTTTGCTAACACGAGAAGGTGCTTATTTGGCTAAGAGATCTTTTTTGAACGAGAACAAGACTTATGCTCAGAATGTTCGAGAGGAGGTATATTTGTTAAAAAAAGAAAAATAGACACACACACATACACACGCACACACACACAGGCACGACACATGAACAAGTCAGACGCAAGAAATAAAAAATTAAATCATATGAAAAATCATCTTATATCGTAGAAAAAAGAGTTATATCACAGATTAGAGAAATTGAGAACAGAGCAAAAGAAAGAAGCATCGGAGAACGTTGAAAAATGTCGGGAGCTCGAACAAGCTTCTAGAGATGCTTACGATTCTATGATCGACGAGAAACGTCAAAAAGGTATTTATATTGGTTAACTTTTATCTAACAGAATTTAAATCATTTGTAATAATTAATATCAGCTGCCGAGGTATCCGAAAAATCTCGACAATTGAAAATGTTATTGGCTAAGCAAAAGGAGGAAGAAATACGAAGGAAAGGTCAATTAATTAAAGAGATCAAGGCTATTCAATCATTAAGATTGGCTACTAGAAATAAGGAATTTGATCCTACGGAAACAAGTGGTTTAGGATTGTTATGTGAAATGTCATTAGCCGAGGTAATCTATCGATATATCAAAAGTCGTTTATCAAATGTTCACTATTAAATAACGTACGCATTCCCGTTTAGTTGAAGGAACGATTAGTTTGGGTGAAAATGAAATTGAACGAGGAATTGGAAAAACGTCAGATTGTCATTCAACGAGAACGAGAAAGGCAAAAGAATATAGTCAAGTATAGTAAGATCGCACTGGACGAATACAAAAGCACTAAGTTAGATATCAATAATAAAATTTCATTCGATCGTTCAAATATATTATTAAATTTTTTTTTTCTCCATTTTATTTGATTCGACGACGGCAAGGGATTAATAGATATCATTAATGAGAGTTTTCTGAATATTTCAGTATGACATGGTAGAGATAATATATTAATATGTATAACGCGATATTTAAACAATGCCATTTCGATATAACGCAGTCTTGAAATAATTATTTAGACTTTGATATATATATATATACTGTATATATTTTTAAAAATATGTACGTACGCGCGTTAATTTTTAACCTTCCGTATGTTACGTTAGAGTCATTATATTCATCGTTAAACTGAGATGAATTAAAAAAGATATAAATGAAAAAAAACCTCGAGGAAATGTTATTTTTGAAGATAACGATGACGATTAAAGTACACATTTCATTTTATTTTATTTTGTCTGAAACATTTACGCGTTATGTGCAATAAAGGTATATTCATTTTACATACATTTAACAATTTCATTATTAGTAAACAATAATGAATTTACACATTTCATGATTTATATGTTGATTTAGGTATATGAATGACATGAATTAAATGAAGATATATATTCTTGTTCGTCACGTTTATATAATTGGAATTAAAAAAAAACTTTTTTTTTAACTTGAAACAAGTTAAAAAAAAATGTAGTACTTAACACGTGTTTTATTATAGTATCTCCTGTAACGTGATTTACGTAACGCGGCACTTTTATGGAAAAAAAATATTTATATGAGGATTTATTTGCATTTTTATAATATTTTACAGTTTATATTATTATCCGCTTTACGTGATCAGATCGAGAAAATACCGGTCGTTAACATATGTGACCGGAGAATGTCAAAGTCACAGAACAATGATGAACATGACACGGATAATATATAAATTGTTATATATAGAACTATGGTAATCGTTTAGAATCTGGTAGACGATTGAGATACGGAACGGGCATGACACAGTTGCATATATGCGAATAGACCTTAACTGGATCTTAAATCGACGAATTTATACTTTTACGTTTCAAATCAAAAATGCAATTTTTTTTATAAAACGACGACATTAGTAATTCTATTAATTTGCTTTATTCCATTATTTTCAGAAAATCTGATACGTATAAACGCGTAAATGGAAAAGCATCGAACGTTACTTCCGTTTCTCCTCAAGTATTGAAACTGCAAAAAAAATTGGAAGAAAGGAGAGCGCTGAGAACGAAAATATAAAGACATTAAAAGGAAAAAAGAGATCAGAAGAAAATAAAAAAAAAAAAAGAAAAAAAAAAGATACAAGACTGTATTCGATCGAAGAATCATTGATGATGTAACTGGTAAATAAATGCTATGCAGTATGATTTAATAAATCGTGCTTATCTAACGTGCCACGAAAAATGATTATATCATGATAGCGTTGAAAAACATTCGTGAGAGAACTAATAAAAGACTAGGTTATGAAATTCATGCGTGTTCTCTATCATTAGAGATATAATCCGTTGAATGAGACAAGCCAGGAGAGATGTAAATAAAACAGTTACATGTTAAATAAGTGTGATAGATAAAAGTACACGGAATATTAATCATTTTCTGGCGAACGATAATTAGTCAATTGTCGAATTTAAGAAAGAATTTTACTTATGTCAAAACTTGCTTCCACTTGCCGTCCAAAAACTGCTAAGGTAGCCATTCACTTGATGAATAAAATTATAGCAAGTTGCTCTTAATGATATTGTTTGTTAGTTTAGACTGCATTAATTATCTCAGAGCATGGATCAATTACATATATCTACTTGCGAAAGCATGACTTAGCTACATATCTGAAAGTGATTATATTGTAGCGTTCTCTCAAATAAAAACAAAAGGTAATTGTTCATTCGATAATAAAAAAAGTATTGCTAGTTGCTCTCCAAAATATTTCCTGATAATAATTTCAAAAGATGGATTAATTACATATTTGATTACAATGCATGATTAAATACTTGAGATCAAGGTTCAGTTACATATCTGAGAGCGATTGCATCGTAGTATTCAATATCTCAAATGGAAACAAAAGACAGCTATTTATTTGATAGAAAAATTATTGCGGGTTGCTCTCGAGAGTATTTTTTGCTAATTAGACAGTAGACACAGTAATTGTGACTACTCATTGAGAGTAATTATCTCATGATTCAGCTAGATATCTGAGAACAACGTTTGTGTTGTAATATTTTCTCAAATCGAAACAAAAGAATGTTACTATCAAAGAGTTTCTCTTGATGATTCACGAATTAGTTTCGTGAGAGTAACAAAATAGAAATGTCTTTTGGAAAAGAACGGACGTAATATGATATATGTGACATATAGGCATGAATACACTGGCATGTAACTTGCGAAATTTCTTGCAAGAGCAACTTGCACGAGTCTGTACATTACTTTTGCCTGATAGTAAACTCTAAACGAGTATGTTGGGTATTACCTATATATTCTCAAAGTTAATCTCAAATTAATAAAAAAATGTGAAAAGTATTCTCGTAAACAACTATAATGCAACAAATTCTCAAGTGAACTTTAGGATTTGCTTCGATTTTTTGCCCGAAAACTGTTAAGGCTGTCGTTCGATAATAAAACTATTGCGAGTTACTCTCGAGAGTATGTCTTGCTAGTGAATATTACTTCCTAGTGGACTTGAAAGAAATTATTTGAGAGCATTGTTCAACTATATATATATAAGAATAATTCCTTTGTAGCATTCTCTCAAAGAAGAAAAACGAAGGAATGTTACTACTGATAAATATGAATCAGTTTTATATTCTGAGAATAGCTATCGTGAGAGCAACACTGATGGCATCAAGTATATTACAAGCAGGTAAGTATCTAATTGGATAGTTTCGAATCCTTTCATATGTACGTACTTGAAACAATGAAAGAAATCATTTTAAATAGACTCGAACTATTCGTAAGTATTTAAAAAAGCATAAACGGTACTTTCAAATATATTCAAACTCTGGTCAAATAGATTTGAATACTTTTTTTATGAATACTTTCGATACGAATAACGAGACGACCGTTTACGCATTTTATAACGTTAGTCTTTTAATTATTAACTAACTTTTCAGTTCTCAGTAAACGAAATTGAAATACTTTAAAAGTAAGAAAGTTAAAATCGAAATACATTAAAAGTAAAGAAATCAAAACTCCGATAAAATGTTCAATGGTGCAATCAGCTATTCGTATCAAACTAATATTATTAATAATACTTAATATTAAAGTATTACTTGTGAAAGATTCGAATCTTTCTAACGTCGAACTACTTAATGATACATTTTCATATCTACAAGTAATCATTTTAGAGTTCGAAAATCAACTTATATAGAATGATTACATTGCAAGTATACCTCATTGAAACTTTATTGGTTTTGGCTAGCAATTGAAACTCCATTAAATGAAACTTGGTTATTGAAATGAACTTTGAGATTCGTAAGTACATATTGAATTTGATCTTTAGTGAGTAGCATACAAAAATGTATAGGAAAAAAAAAGAAAATATATCAGAGCTTCGAAATAATAAAAATATGCGAAATAAATTTAATATCGAACGGTTGAACGGAGACGTTATCTCATGAAAATTATTTTAAAGCAAACAGCAGAATAGACGAATGTAATAGACGAATGTATAGATGAATTTCAAATGAATAAGGTTTTGAGAGTTCCTACGTTTGATAGTAAATTCTTGAGAAGCATGTTAATGATCTGAAAATAAGCGTTCTTGCCAAATTGATAGAAAATTGAAAACAATTATTGTCGTGAGATATTCTCAAGTAGATGACTACCTTTACGACATCTGAAGGTTGCAATTACGTTCTTAGGGGTCTATTTTATGACGTGTTTTGACGTTTGCGTCACAATTTGTATCGTGAAAATACTATTTTCGAACATAAATATGTAGTGTTCGCAATTGGAAAGCGTACGCTTTTACGTTTGCACTGATTTACGTTTGGTAACGTCGAAAAGAAAGTACATACTTTTTATAAATATCGATCAGAATTATTATGGCGTACATTCATTGAAATGGTACAGCATTATATTCAATTGCTATTTTATATTAATTGATAGAATTAATTCGTCGAATCGTGGAAAAAGAAAAAAGAAATAGCGTACATGTTGCACTTGCAACATTATTAAGAATATTATTTTATCGATTTTCAATTACAATCATTTGTAACTTACAATTTCACGTATAAACAATAATTTCACGTATAGAGTCTCTGATTCGATCACATCGCCATTACGTGTGCATTTGTTCACATCTTCTGATTCATGCAGTTGAACGGACTAGAATAGTTTAATCGTTTTAAGGTCGATTAACACAGTTCAGTTCAATCTCCGTTCCATCCTCATTCCGATCGAAATTCAGGTCACAGTGATTTTAATACTCACTTACTTACGCGCTCACAGATTTCTATTAAGTTTCAGTTCTATCAGCAATCAGAAAAATATTTTCTCTATGAGATCGTCGTCAACGATGATTTCTGACGGAATTGTAATAACGTTTTTTGTTTATGAACAACGGGAGATCTTCTATTTTTACGTTCATCCCCACTTTAAATGCTCTCCAGATTATACAGGATATGATCTTTAAATAATATCAATACACGTAAATATTAAATGTATAACATTTAAGTCATTATTTTTAATAAAATTTAATTGTAATCAGTCAACCCTAAAGTTTTTCTTCTTCTTTTTCTTTTTCTTTGTGAAAAAAAAGATGTCTTAGACATCCAAACTTTTTCCCCTTTAAATAAATCTCCTTACATAATACTTTATGTAAACAGAAATTTTCACAAACGTTTCTTTCACGAGAACGTTCTTTATTTTCTGACGTGATTATAATTTCACAAAAAATAATATTTTTATAATAACTAATTGTTGAAACTAGTGAACTAATCATGAAACGTTGTTGTCATGATCTAATAATACAAAAGACTGTTAAAAGTGAAAATGTGGAACGATAGAATATTTACTCTTCTCTGTCTTTCCTTTATATTGCATCATAAATAAGAAGTTATAAAAATTTCATTAGTCATTTAAAAGCAATTTTTTTGACGGCTATCCATTTTGAAAAATCTGGGACATAGAGAAAATATGATCGGTGAGTGAATTTATATTGAACGAAAATATGTGAATATTTAGGTAAGAAGATTTTAATTAAATAAAATAATGTTAAAGTTGTTATTAATAATTTTAACAATATCATCGAACCATCGAATTCGGAAGCTGAATTGGAATATACTAATTGATCTTTTTTTAACTTATAATTTTTGGTCTATGAACAGAGAAGATTTTCGATAGAATCGGATCTGCATAATCTAATTGATAGTAGATATATTCAACTGGCATGTGTGAATATAAAAAGTAAACCGAAAACTATAACTATGACTGAACTGACGGTATTGATTCGAGATTGAATGACAATGTATGAATCGACCTTTAACGTAGATATTATCTCGTCTAATGGGATTCAATAGAATTTAATTTTATCTTCTCCTGAACTACGACACGATGATGAGTATCATAAAAAAAAAGAAATAAAAATAAGATACTAAACTCATTAATACATGTGTTTCTTTAAATCAAATCATTGATCATCGTAAAGGGGAATTGAACAAAATAACATCTTCTTGAAAAACAAAATTTCTTAGAAGATGATTTGCAAATTTATACGAAAATTGCTGATTGTTAAACTTAAATTATCATAGATATCGCGTTATTAAAGAAAAATATAGCGTGGATAGAGATATTAATTAATAATTATGTCAGGAGATAATTTATATTTTTTCTATTTTTTAGAAACTTCAAGATCTAGTGAATTTTATTTTTATAGAAGCATATAGCTGTTTTTATAATTATTATGATTTCAATACGAAAATAGTAATTATCTATTAGAACGAATGAAAAGTCATAGTTAATTTCCACATGACGTAAAGTTTACTTGTAAACGAAATAAATGGAAGGGGATAGAAAATAGGAGAATAATCCAGTCACTCTTGTACTTACTATAAGAGTAAGGACAACGTGTTCCTCTCTGCAGTCGTTATTCGCATCACGTAGAATATTGTTCTAATATCAAACGTTGAGATCGTTTAATGGAACGGTAGTATAGTATAATAAATTTATCATTGGTAAAAAGTATATAACCATGGTCGCCGATAAATCGATAATCGTAAGCCTCCAACCGTACTTTTTTTGTCGGTGCATTTAAACAACTTTTAGTTTCTAAATGATCTTAAATTTTGAATAATTTGAATGATCGTTAATAAATTTGTTCTGTTAAAGTGCGAATGAATAATGTTTAACGAGCTAAGTGAAATAATCGGTTCAGATAAATTTTTGTAACTAAACCATATAGTGTCAATATATCAATCATTTACATTGATTATTTTAGAATGCTTCCGATTTCATTATAAAGGATAATATATTGAAAGGCAAAGATGAACCTTTATCCACGGAATATACGAACGTCGGAAAATTACTCTTGGATAAAATCAAGGCCAGACCCGACTTTGTTGGTCAGGTAGAAATTTTAATGATACGTCATTATATTATATTTTCTTACCGGATTATTCGTTACATAATGTATAATGTAAGGTGGATTTATCAACGTCCATGAGTATTCATGAGACATTTGTTGTTTTATGTTCGATAATTTAAATAATTTATAAAAAGTAGATAGAAATGTCAGATATTATAACAAGTATCAAAACGATAAAAAATATGATTTAAATATGTATATATATATATATATATATATATGTATATATATGTACTTATATATACATATATACATATATACATATAATATATACATATATACATATAATATATACATATATACATATATGTACATATATATATATATATATATATATATATATATATATGTATATATATGTACTTCTTAAAGGTACAGACAATATTTCTTCCGTTCTTCTGTTTTTCGTCGTCAGGACATGCATATACGATCTAATTTTTTCTATATAACTTTGTTAACGATATTTATTGATGAAAATATTGATCGATCGTTAATATCAATCCAAACAGTTGGACATTATCACCGAAAAGACGTATACCTTTGCGGAAATGTTTGACCGTATTGTAAAATGTGCGCTTTGGTTGCGTCAACAAAGAATCAAAGCTAATGACGTGGTCGCCGTATGCGCTCCCAATATTATGGATAGTTTTGCACCATTCTTCGCTACCTTCTGCGTGGGAGCAATCTTTACTCCCTGGAACCCCGCAATGGATATACGTGAGCCTTCTTTAATTTTCAATTCAAAGATATTTCGTTTTAACGTGATTATTTTCAGGTGAGGCACGTTACTTCATGAAATTATCCGGTGCAAAAATTGTTTTCGCGGACGAAAATTCGGTAAGGACGATATTAGAAGCGGCAAAACTCGATAATAACAATATCAAGATCGTCGTCTTTGGTAAAGCCTCGAATGTATTGTCTTTCTCGAAAGTACTCGAAGAACATAGCAAGTCCGAAGTGGAGAATTTTGAATGTACACAAATCGATAATATTCACGATACAGCGGCACTTCTTTATTCATCCGGCACAACTGGTCTTCCTAAAGGAGTTACAATCTCGCATTTCGCTCTTTTGTGTAATTTAATCATGAGTAATAATTTCGGTACAAATGGAATTCCATTTTGGGTATCGTCATACTTTTGGATCAGTGGAGTTTTATTAACCTTGAGTTGTACAGTTAATTATTGTCAGAGATTACTTTATTCTAAATTCGAAGAGGAGATGACGTGTAAAATTATAGAAAAATATAAGGTAACATCAAATATATTTAATCAAATGTAATGTAAAATTATTAATAGAAATAATTAATATCGTGTTTGAAGATAGATGACATTTCATACATTGCTAATGGTATCTTAGCTTCTTCTAGAAACATCGTCTAATTAAATGACATTTTGTGCTCTTTACGAAATGCAATCCATTTGTAGGGAACTGTAATACAGAGAAATTTGTTTTATAGGCGTTTGTAAGTAAGCTTCCTTATTGATACGAGTAATAATAATAATATGTTATCTGTTTTCATAAGCACCCAAAGACACTATTAATTCAATATTTATGAAAGAATCTTAAATGAAGAGACGAATTTTTGTTTTTACAGGTTACATGGCTGTTTTTGTCACCTAGCATGATAAATAGATTATTGAAAACGGAATATTTGAAAAAGTACGATGTGTCCAGTATTAAAAAAGTATGTGTTGGTGGGGCTATATTTACCGCAGAAAGTCAAATTAAGCTCCAAGAATGCTTGTCAAATGGCGATGTCATACAAATGTACGGTAAGGCGAAGAAAATACGTGCGATCCTTTGGTACTGTAGAACTTGTAAATGAAATCTGTTAATAGAACCGTTCAAATATTCTTAGGAATGACCGAACTTTGTGGCATTGTAACGAGTCAAAAGCCGAATCACAAAGCAGGTACCATTGGAACGGTAACAGATAACGCACAAATCAAGATTATCGACATAGCGACAGGAAATGCATTAGGACCAAACAAGACAGGTGAACTTTTGGCAAAATCAATAAAGATGACTAAGGGTTATTACAATAATCCACAGGCAACCAAGGATACGATCGATGCTGATGGTAATAGAATAGAAAAAAAAAGAAAAAGAAAAAAAAGACAAAGATGGTCTATTAGAGTAACTCGTTTAATCGTTTAATCAAATTATTAATCTTAACAATAGGATGGTTGCATACCGGTGATCTCGCGTATTACGACGAGAACGGCGAACTTTTCATTATCGACAGACTGAAGGAGACATTGAAGTACAGAGGTTTTCAAATCTCACCGTCCGAAATTGAGACTCTTTTGCAATCTCATCCCGATGTTGTTGAGGTTGTTGTTGTTGGTGTTCCTCATCTTCAGGACGATGAGCATCCCGTCGCTTTTATTACCAAAGTTCCTGGTTCGAAGGTACGATTTTATAGAAAAAATGTGTAATTGAAAACCTCACGAGAGTTATTTATTACATTCTGTTCAACGTTCAGGTATCCGAACAAGAGTTTCAAAAACTTGTGGCAAATAATATGACGGATTCCTATCATTTACGAGGAGGTGTGAAATTTTTAGAAAAAATGCCGTACACACCTTCCGGAAAAATAGCCAGGAAAGATCTTAAAGTAATGGCTAAAAGTTACCAGGCCAAATGAATGTTGAAATATTTTCTTTAATAGGAAGTTGAAAATTTTCTATTTTATAAGTAATAATGATAATAATAAAGATAAATGAATTCTTGTAAGATATTAATTATTGTAGGGTATTATTATGTTATTTGTAGAGAATAGTATGTATAGAAAATATTTATTATATATACAAATAACGGTGTCTCATTGAAAGCCGAACACTTTAATAGTTTCCGCGTTTGTCAAGTCCGAGTGACATGACGTAGATGTAGATACTTGTTTTATAGTTAGATCAAATATTTTTCATTATCAATCGATTACCGGGGGACATAGTAGGAATAGACCATTCGAAATAGAAGGATTGGAAATGGTTGTAATATGGGGAATTGCGGTATTTTATTTTCAAGTCTGGAGTTTGACTTAGTTTCATGTAGTCACTGGACATGTGTAATTTGTTTCAGATATGATAAAGATTGTTTACGTATGTGATTCATGTTCAATGTAAAACCTACAATTCATTCTTTTCATTGTTGATTAGACTTACATGTAAATCATCTGATCATCGTCGTCTACACAGAATAGTACATTCAAAGTTATGATTATTTTAATATTTTTTTTTTTTTATATTTTTCTTCGTACATTATTTGTTTTCATCATTTATGTACTATATATTCTTATAGAACATATTTAATTGCATTTTCATTTTTTCAAACCTCTTTTCGCCATATTTTACGATTTGTTTAATTTTTCAGTTTGTTATTTTGGAAACATAAAGAGAAAAAATGCAATTTGTTGTTACGTAATCTCTTATCTTATCACCGTTGCATATCGATACGGACAGTTAAAGAACAAATAGTATTTATAAGGATATGCACGATAAACGATAATTCGTAATAATAATAAGCAAACAGTGATACGATACGAGGATATGCAACAAATAGATACGCATTTAAAGACTAGTAACGTTATGTAAGTTATTACTACTGTAGCCATCTACTTATGTAGTAATATTGTCCTCGGTGGCACCTAAACAACAGGTGAAAATAAAGTTTCGAAAAGATGAATCATGGCATTTTGGACAGGTGTCCACTAGTTAGCCAGCCTTATCTGTGCTTGGTAACTTACTCATCGCATGTTCCTCGCTTTACGATTTCATTCACTAGACCGCAAAAGAGAATTTCCTGCCAATTCATCTTTATCTCAACGTCATGATTAATAAGAGAGAATATATATGTATTTTTATATCTGGCTCCATGCCGTTTAGGATACAGAGTCTGCTCGTTGGCTTTACGAGCATGATGACGAATTCTCGAGGAGACCTGGAACGAAATGTACTCTTTAGTCATAGAGATGCCATCTAACATGAAAACTCCGAACTATATTATAATTTGCTTGATTTAATCGATAAAAAGGATTGTATATTACCATCTTTTCTCTTAATATTATGGGACCGTTAGTTAATTATCTTTCACTCAAAGCGTATTTAGTAACTTCAGCGACAAAATATGAATTACAAGCGCAACCAAGAAACCATGCATCTATCGTATCTAATGTATAAGCTTGTGTTGCTTATATAATAAATGGTTTAGTGTAGATAGCTTAGTAGGTTATGAACTTTTCAGTCCTTCATATCTTTTATTATGATAACATACATTTGGATTGCGTCCGGTTGCAATGATCCGTGCTAGATACGGCATCGGTCCTATTGCTCCTGATAATATATAATATGAAAATATTATAAATTGATGCTCTTCTGCGATCAGATTCTTTTTTTATTTTTCATCAAACAGTTTTCTATAGCAATTTCGATATTTTCTTCATTTTTACTTTAAGAACTATAAATCTCCTTGTTGACGCACACGTGCGTCTGTCTCTCCATTGTTCCCGGTACTTTCTCTTAAGGATCATATAACACCATTAGAAACAGTTATCCTTGGGAACCTATTGACTATTAGCTAAACACAAACGCATAGATAAAAAACACATGGCCACCTTTGCCTGGGCTTAGGCATTCTTAGTAAAATATTTGGGTTTCGATAATATATGTCAACCCGGCCAATAAATAAACAGTAAAAGTAGAAGCCTAGGCTTCTACGATGAGCTAACGATTGTCTATATCGCCTAGCCTTGAAATATCCATTGATATCCTATAATCTTCAACTACATCATTAGCCTTGATTCTTTGTTGACCTAACCAAAGCGCACATTTTACAGTCAGATCAAACATTTCGGCAAAAGTATATGTCTCTTCGGTGATAACGTCTATCTGTTATTATGAATGACTTATTGATTTCATTAATGAACGATGTAGAAAAAATTATTGTTAATAAGACCTTTTCGATATTTGCTTATTGATATGGCGATAAAAAAGAAATTATTAAGAAGTATATTCTACGTCTTTGTAAATGACACGTGCAAAAATGTGAATTGTTGCATTTCACTCCAGTAACATTTTTCAATAACGATATTGAATATACACAATTTTGTCACGAATTTTCTCATTCATTATAAATTATTTATTGTCCTTTGTTATATTTCGTAAAACTAATTGCACATTACTGAAATAGTGTGCGTGCGTGTATATTTGTACGTGTGTCTGTGTGTATGCGATGTTTTGACACTTTATTTGATTTTAGCTTTTTAAGATTCTTACAAAGTCGGATCTGACCTTCATTTTATCCAAGAATAATTTTCCGACGTTCGTATATTCAGTGGATAAAGGTTCATCTTTGCCTTTCAATATATTATCCTTTATAACAAAATCGATACCACTCTGAAATAATTGATTCAATAATTGAAATAATAATGTCTCTTAGCTTACTAAACGGTGTTCTTTTCTTTTAACTGGACATATTTAATGATCAAAGATTTTTCTTAAAATTAGGATCGCATAGAAAATGAAACGTAATTGAAAAATTTCTCATGAACGCTTACGTTTATCAATTTATTGATCTCCATGATTATCGATTGTATGCTTTCCATCGGATATATCTTCACTCAGTTATATTATAATATTTTTAAACGATCTAAAAGATGAATGGAACGATGGACTTTTGAGATTGTAATGACTTGACGAGATATGAGATTTGATTGTTCACAAGATCGGGCGTTTTTTTTTTTTTTTTTTTTTCATTAAGAATACGTTACGGTAAATGAAATTATATTTTTGTCACTAATCACTGCTATCGTAAAGATCTATATATATCTTTAATTATTATTTTTTTTAAAACGATATATCTTCCCACGACAAAGCTATTTTTTTTTTCGATATTTGTAAATACAAAAATGAAAATTACGTGACATGAATCATTAGTTAATCTAATTACACTAATGAATCTAAATATACTAATTATACTAATGAAAGAATGAGTTATATCTTTAAAGACATATTTTGTTATGTCTAAATGTTAGCGAGCCAAATTTATGATAAAAAAAATCTAAATTATATAAATAATTTAAGATGTAACAAACATATGTCGTGAATATTTTATTTCATAACATGAAACTATTCTAATCTGTAAATTTGAGATACTCGTCAAATTGTAAATGTTGAAATGCAAATAAATATTTTTACTTCGTAGATCGCTTTTATTCGTCTTTAACTCGAAGTATGTGTGATTTCAGCAACATATACGGACAAAATATGAATTGCAAGTGGGAACATCATACTCTTATCGTATCGATGTATAAGCTTATATAAATTATATCATTCTCACAAGTAACATAAAAATCGTGTTCGTGAAACACGTTATACTACTTAAGTAATTTAATAGGCTGTGAACTTAATCTCTTATATTTATATTTTTCTTTGATAGAACGATGGAGTCTTCGATGAGTTATTCATGTTAGATACGCTCGTTAGTGCACCGATACTAAGTGCACTAAGTGAATAAAGAATAATAAATATTATTAATACATATAATAGCTGGTATATAAATTTGTGACAAAAACAAGATTTTGTCGAATATTTTGTAAAAAAAAATAATAATTAATGGATACTTATATATTAAATGTATTTATTAATTATTATTTTAATAGAAATCAAAAAAATGGTATTGATTTTTATAAAAATAATATATAAGTATATATATTCATTAATGATAAAATAATCAATAAATTGATATATTTTATTTATATTTGTTATCAAGTGAAATTGTAACGCTACTGCTATATATGTCTTATCTGGCGCAGATCATTGCGGAACACATGTCAATCTTCAGTGGAGGAAAAAAATATCAATAATGATCATTCGAGGAAATAAACATTAATAATTAGATAATAATCTTTATTAAGCATTAAAGAAGGAAGAACTTATTAAAAAATATTCGCTTCTAGTGTAGAAAATATATAAAAAGAAAAAAAAAAAAAAAAATTATTATTATTTAATATTACGCAGAAGACATGACGATTGTCAATTTAAAATATACAGCTTTATTGTGTTATGTTACAAGGATTTTACCGTTTATCGTTGTAAAGGAAAACTTTTCGAAAGTTAAATCCGTGCAGCAGCTACACAGGTATGCTACGAGTCTCGAGAAGGATGGAAGAATTGCTAACAAATTTATATTGACTACGAACTATATATTGCAAATATTTCAACAACCTTTTGACAGAGATTTATTGTTCATTAAAAGAATTTGAGATCGTAGAGCATTGAAGAAAAAAGATTTGATGGAGGTGCCTGGATTTAAGGCGAGTATAGACGGTAAATATGAAAATTCAAGAATGTGCATAGAATCATATTTTGCAATATATTGCAAAATGTTGCAAGATGTTGCAAAAATCCTTCATTTCACATGTAAAGTCTAATATACCAATCTAAGCTCTGTAAAACTATTATAGAGTATATAATAAGAAAAATTTAACCTCATCATTCTTAGATACGAAAGAGTCTTTAGAAATATATGTGATTCAAATTACTTTCATTATCAACGGGATGAACTTTCGTGTGAACTAATAGACGCAAGAAACTGTGATACGCTATCAGACACTAGAATAATTTATTCAATTATCAATTATCTTTTATATTTCGTCATCTTTTATACACACGTGTTTCATTACTTTACATATAAGTCAATGAGAAGAAAAAACAAATAAAGTTATTCACGAAATTAATAGTCCATCAAACCGAATTCGAAAAATTCAATAATTATGCGAGTTTCATTTCGCTTTCATTAGTTATCGAGAAAAATATCGAATAGAATATATTTTTGTACGATGAACCGGTAATTATATTTATCATATTTTCTCTTGAATGTAAAAGAAAATATATTTTTTATATTTATATATGCGTATATATGCATACATATATATATATGCATGTATATGCATATTTTAGACGATGCTTTGCGCGTGAAATGCTTTGAGCGAGACGGTCTATCCGCTCCTCGTATCGGTCCACTTAAGAATTTTCCAAGGTTTCTTTTTAATGGATATGAATATGTGTGAGAGCACATGCGTGTGCACGAGAGTGAAGTCTGGTTATCGAAGAAAAGGACAAAGTGGAATGCGAATGTGACGATCGACATAGGACAGTTTCAAATCAGATACGAAGCAACTAAGACGCGAGTTAAGACTATCTTTATATTTCTATATAGTTTTTTTTTTTTTTTTTAATTTTTTCTTCGATAAATCCTTTATTTTATTAAAATCACGGATATCACGTACATAACAAATAATAATGGTTGTGGTAGAAGATAATTCAGTTATTTTAATGGATTATCTAGGAAAAACAAAGCAGTTATAATTTCTTTAACAGTTACAAATCATATTTCGTAGAATAAAATATTAATCTCAAAAGCATACGTTCTTTTCTTTTCTTCTAGATTGCCAAAGGACATTATAGTAGACCAGAGTAAAGGTATATCCGATGGAAAGTCTACAATCGATAATCATGACGGTCGATGAATTGACAAACGTAAGCATTGAAGAAAATTTTTCAATTAAGTTTCATTTTTTATGCGATTTTAATTTGATAAATATATACAGTTAAAATGAAGAAATAACTTTTAGCAAGCTAAGAGACATAATCGATTAGAGTACGTTTGTTAAGTGGACGTAATCAATTATTTTAATTGAATATTTTAGAACGATTCCGATTTCATTATGGAAGATAACATATTGAAGAAATCTTTATCTGCGGAATATACAAATGTCGGAAAATTACTGTTAGACAGAATGAAGGCAAAACCCGACTTTGTTGGCCAGGTATGTAAAAATATCAACGAGCTAATAGCTGGAATCAAATAAAGTTATTATCATCATACAATTTCGGCATTGTTAAATTAGTTGCATAAATTGTATCGAGGGATTATTGAAAAATTGAAAAAAATGAGATAGTTCTCGAATTATCTTGTGTTGTTTATGGAGATAAGATATATATGTAATTTATAAATTGTTTCTTTAAAATCTCTTACATTTTAATTTTGCTCGCAAATAGGAATTTGTGGAAGTTAGAAAATGAAATTATACAAAACGCAAAAACATCTAAAAGAAAAGAATTTATTTGACACGAACAATATCGTCCCTATATTCAATTTCTTGCTATCCTACGATTTAACAAGTTAAGTTTAACTTATAAATAAGTCTATTCACAACTGCATCGCTGAAGGATGTAAGAAATGTAATTCCATGTCAATCATTGTAGTTCATATAAATGCGGTCCTTCGACTACGATATACACATTTTGAGACTGGAAATCGCATTTTACACGACTTGATCGTATATCGTTTATTAATAAAATGTATTAATGAAATGTAACATTAACAGTTAATATCAATTGAAACAGATAAACTGAACTTTGAGTTTAATTTATTTCATGACTGCACGCATATTGCACGGCGAACCCGTAACTAACAGGTCAGTTTAGAGAGAAGTTTAACCCTAAATTGTCCAATATTTCAACTTATTTTTTTTTCTTTATTATTAAAAAAAAAAAAAATGTTTAATTTTTGCAAAAGGTAACGGTAGTTTTAGGATCATTAAAAAGATGTGATTTTTCCTTGTCAGTAATTTTCTTTGTCAGTAATTAATTCATTTTTAATTATTATCATGCCGATTAGAAGAATATTCATGTCGTGTGTTTTGCAGAATTTTAAAATCTTTTAGAAAAGAATTTATTTATCATGAAAGATATTATATTGTCGTTAAAGAGAAATAACGAGGGAACATTCTTGTGGGTTTCTATCCTATAATATATAAAAATAAAATGAGAATGATAGTAGTAGGAGATAATTCAGTTATTGTGAAAACAAGACTTATTAATGTCTGGAAAAAGTAACAGTTGCAATTCATATCTCGTGAAATGCAGTACTAATCGCAAAAGCGCACTTTAACCATCCTTATCAATTCTAAGATCTACATACATTACAGTATATTTGAGTGTATCTCCAGTCAAAAGTGTATAATCGACCATCATGGCTAGTAAATTAATAAATGTGTGTGTCCAAGAAATTTTTCAATAAATTTTATTTTCTATGCGATCCAAATTAGATCGTAAATATACGATTAAATATACTCAATAAAAATAATCCAATAAAGCATAGCAAGGAATGAGAGACATAGATGATTGTGATAGATTTATAAGTGGATGTATCTTAAATCAATGATTTCAATCGATTATTTCAGAGTGACACCGATTTCATTAAGGAAAGTAATGTATTGAAAGGCAAAGAAGAACCTTTATCTACGGAATACACTAACATCGGAAAGTTACTTTTGGACAGAATGAAAGCTAAACCCGACTTTATTGGTCAAGTAAGTAACGAGCTAATAACTCGTATTAAATAATATTTAACTATCTATAAATAATGTCGGTATTGTAATTTTAGTTGTACAAATTGTATCGATGAACCTTAAAAATGGAGATAACTTGAGATCACAGTAAATCATTTCTTGAACAAGAATCGTACTATTGAAGCGATAAGAAGCTACATTTTTCCGTTCGTCAATTTACATTTTTATTCGTGTTGTTTGCAGTGACGTGGAATATACCTGCAAGCTTTCTCATTTCAAATTTTCCACATTTTAACAAAGATCACATTTTAACAAAATCGCAAAAAGAAAATTGTGGAAGATAGGAAATTGAAATTCCACAAAATGCAAGAACAATTGAAAAAAAAGTTATTAGGTACTCCTTAACGGTATTTCTTAACTTGTGAAATTTTCGTTCGACATATCAGGTTGACGACGTAGCCTTGACGAAGAAGAAATATTGCGACGTGCACATCCGGCTTTTTTCACATCGGATGAATTTTCTCCATACACTCTTCGGTAATTTCTTTGTAGCTTAATGGGCGATTTCGTATCAAAAAGTTTGTCTCTGGAGACGTCGTGGAACTTATGCTCTTTATTCTAAATCAATAAAGGAGAGAAGCTTTTAAGTGTCAAGAAAAGATTTACGAGTAGTATAGTTTGGTCGAAAGTTGAAATATATCTCTTCCGTGGGTTTCTTAGAAAATGTTTATAGGAAATGGTAGTGAGAAATAAAATGAGAAAATTAGAGAGAAAATTAGAAGCGCTTGGCGGTTCGTGGGTAGCTTGACTATTACATGGGTGTAAACTCGTAATGGTTCCATTTACCTGCTCTAATTCTTTTTATATCGTTTATTAGAAAATATATAATTAATCGATAGTTAATATCAATGATAAACAGATAGACGTTATCACCGAAGAGACATATACATTTGCCGAAATGTTTGATCGAACTGTAAAATGTGCACTATGGTTGCGTCAACAAGGAATCAAAGCTAACGATGTGGTCGCCGTATGCGCTCCCAACATTATGGACAGTTTTGTTCCTATTTTTGCCAGTTTCTGCGTGGGAGCAATTTTTACTGCATGGAACGTCGCAATGGATATACGTAAAGTACCTTTTAATTTTCGAAGTACTTTCAAAAGAAATTTCATTCTTATTTAATAATCTTTAGGAGAGGCAAGATATCTTATGAAATTATCTGGTGCAAAAATTGTTTTTGCGGACAAAAGTGCGGTAGATAAGATACTGGAAGCGGCAAAACTCGAGAATTACGATATTAAGGTCGTCGTTTTTGGTAACGCTTCCAACGCTTTGCCCTTCTCAAAAGTACTTGAAGGTCATAGCAAGTTCGACTTGGAGAATTTTGAATGTACGAGCATCGATAACGTTCAGAATACTGCGGGACTTCTCTATTCTTCTGGTACAACCGGTCTACCCAAAGGAGTTGAAATTTCACATTTTGCTCTTTTAAGTAATGTACTCTTACCGGGCGATTTCAATACGGAAGGAATTCCACTCTGGCTGTCACCATACTTTTGGATGACTGGAGTATTATTAACGTTGAGTTCTGTGGTTAATTATTGCAGAAGACTCCTTTATCCTACATTTGAAGAGGAGATGACGTGTAAAATCATAGAAAAGTATAAGGTAAGCCAAGAAATTGCAATGTAATGTCAATTTATTAACAGGAATAGTTAATATACCGTATGAAGATGGGGCTATAGCTTTCATATTATTGCCAATGGTATTGGTTACAAAATCGAGAAGTTCAACAACTAAGATTTGAATTCTTTAAGATATACAATTCATATGTACGCAACTATGTATGCTGAAAAAAAAATCATTTAAAAAGTGTTTGAAAGTTTTTTTACTATTAACAAAGTCAAAATTTAAGATGTGTAACCTAGTTTTCAGGAATTCTACTAATATCTATATACGTATCCTATGTGAAAATATAAAAGGTTGCTTTGTAGGTTACATGGATGTTCTTGTCACCTAGCATGGCGAATAGAATAATAAAATCAGGATTTTTTGAGAAATACAACGTGTCCAGTATTTCCAAATTGAATCTTAGTGGTGCTGTATTTACAGAAAAAAGTCAAATTAAACTTAAAGAATGCTTTCCAAGTGCCGACGTCATACAAATTTTTGGTAAGATTTCAGAAAATTTCTTGCCAAGTTTTATCGTAAACGATGTTGTTTTAGCAGTATCATTAAAATTTTTTTAGGAATGACCGAATTTTGTGGCATTATAACGACTCAAGAGCCACATCACAAAGCAGGTAGCATTGGAACGGTACGAAGGAATGCTCAAATCAAAATCATCGACTTAAAAACTAAATGCGTATTGGGCCCAAACCAGACAGGTGAACTTTTGGGAAAATCGTTAACTATGATGAACGGTTATTACAATAATCCTCAGGCAACGAAAGATGCGATCGATGATGATGGTAAAGAGATAAATATTATTTATTAGAGATACTCGTTTGATCGTATATTCTAATCATACGTCTAAATGATAGGATGGTTGCATACTGGTGATCTTGCGTATTACGACGAGAACGGTGAACTTTTCATCGTCGATAGATTGAAGGAGACAATGAAGTACAGAGGAATTCAAATCTCTCCAACCGAAATTGAGAATCTTTTGCAAACTGATCCCGATGTAATCGAAGTTGCGGTCGTGGGCATTCCCCATATTTTAGACGATGAGCATCCTATCGCTTTTGTTACCAAAGTTCCCGGTTCGAAGGTACGATCCTATAGAAAAAATTAAGAATGAACCTGATGAGAGTTTAGTTATTTATTAAATTCTGTTCAACATTTAGGTGTCTGAACGTGACCTTGAAGAATTGGTAGCGAAAAATATGACAGATCCCTATCATTTACGAGGGGGTGTGAAATTTTTAGAAAAAATGCCGCATACTGCTTCTAGGAAAATATCCAGAAAAGATCTTAAAGCAATGGCTAAAAGCTATCAGGCATAATGATCATTATCGGGAAATGTTCTAAAGGATAATTTGGAATGTTTAATAAAAATCGAAAATATAATATTGTTATACGAAATATGTATGGAAATTATTTATTCATTATTTTTATATAAATATCAATGTTCCATTAAAATGTCGTATATCTTAATACTTTCCTTGCGCGTAACGTTCACATGATATAGAATGTGGAGATATTTGTACATGTATAGAATATGGATATTTGTTTTAGAGTAATTATTTATTTCTGCTGATAAATATTTAACAGTATTCTCATATTATCAGCCAATTTTCTTAAATCTATATTTTCCAAAAGTTTTTTTATTCTATTTTTTTTTTGCCTTTTAATTTTCGTTGATAGCTTAAGGAAAGAATGTTACATAGAAATTAATGACCTTCGGAAAGTTATTACCAATAAATAACTTCGTTTAGAGGACAATAAGAAAAAGAGGCTTTATCACTAATTTTCTAGATGTTTAAGCATTTTAAAAATTCAAAGAACATATGACATTTATGCACGTTACATATGCAAATATATAAGAAATTTAAATACGAATAATATTTAATATTAGATATTACTAAACTTTTTACAATTAATCTTATCGATTATTGTTTGAACAACAATAAATTGCAAGCATTCTCTTTGAATAATTGATAATATTGATTCATGCAATTTTTTTTGTGAAAATAATTTTATATGTCAAGAACGATTGCTCATCTCAAACGATATAATAATATGTGTAATAGCACTTTTTTATGATATAAATAAATGTTTCGATATAAAGCAGTACCGTTTAAATGGAAGAAATACAATTAATGAGAAATTTCTCATCGTTTATAAAGATTAATATTTTCAGATACAAAAGAATCTGCCAAGATCATTTTTATAAGTTAATAGCCCATTCATTACATACACTTATTGCAATCTAATTTTTTTGACTTCACATAGGCAAACATGCGTAAGAAATAATGCTGTACTATGAGTCACTGGAATAATGGAAACAATTTGCGTTCATTTTAAATCATCATTTAACTGTTACCCGTGTATCATTCCTACTCATGAGTCGAATATAAGAGAGAAAACAAAGTAATGAAAACAAATGCGAAGATATTAAAGTCTTTTTTATATAAAAAAGAAAAGATAATGAATGTGGTCAACGGTTCATCATATAGAGAGATATACTTAAAAGATATAAATTTTTTGTATGTTTATTGGATCCTAGTGGATGACTAGTGGAGACAAAAACTTTCGTAATTCTCTATTTATAATTGGTGGATTATCATTTTTTTTTTTTTTATATGAATACTGTTAATGATGTTCATATGCCCATGACTTTAAAGTAGATACTTTTTTATGTTTCCCCATTTACATATTTGACGCTTACTTTAAATCTAATCGTTTCGACAGATTTTTAAGCTTTAAGATAGAATTCTTATAATTGGTCTCATAATACGTTTTTTGATTTTTATTTGTCAGTTGTTATTATATATTGGTTTCGTCGACCCAATATAATATAATATATAATAGAATAATAGATAAAAATACGGAAAAGATATGTTTTTTATCAGCAATTATTAAATCATTAACTTATTTTTGTTCATAATGCCGAATAGGTCAACATCCATAACATCAGTTATGTAAAGAACTTCACTTATCATAAAAGATATTCTATCGTCTTTAAATAATAATAACAGCCGAACATTTTTTTTTTATTTTCTACGCTGTATAAAATTTTAAATTAAAGTGATAGGGGATAATTCAATTACTGGAATGTATCTTTGAAGAAAAAAGGAAACCAGCTGTCATTTCAACCATTTGAACTCGTATCTAGTGGAACTAAGTATTAATCGAGAAGACGCGTTTGATTGTTCTTGTCGTTTATGCGATCAACAAAAGTATAATTGAGTGCATCTTCAGTATAAAAAGTATATAACCAACAATTATGGCCTGTGAATTGATAAATGTAAGTGTCCAAGAAATTTTTCAATAAATTTTATTTTCTATGTGCGAGATAGAAATTTTGAGTAAGATTTTTGATCGTGTGCAGTTAAATATGTGCAGTTAAAATAATTTAATAACGCGTACCAACGCGTAGAAAGTCGCATCTTCAATCATTTCAATCGATTATTTCAGAGTAACAATGATTTCATTGTAAAAGATAATATATTGAAAGGCAAAGAGGAACTTTTATCTACGGAATACACGAACATTGGACAATTACTTTTGGACAGAATGAAGGCTAAACCTGACTTTATTGGTCAAGTAAGTAAAGATCTCAACGAACTCTCATAGCTGGAATCAAATAAAATATCATTGTCACACACAATTTCGGTATTCTCATATTAGTTGCACAAATTAGTTGAAAAATTAGAAAATTAGAAGCGCTTGGCGGTTCGTGGGTAGCTTGACTATTACATGAGTGTAAACTCGTAATGATTCCTGCTCTAATTCTTTTTATATCGTTTATTAGAAAATATATAATTAATCGATAGTTAATATCAATGATAAACAGATAGACGTTATCACCGAAGAGACATATACTTATGCCGAAATGTTTGATCGAACTATAAAATGTGCACTATGGTTGCGTCAACAAGGAATCAAAGCTAACGATGTGGTCGCCGTATGCGCTCCCAATATTATGGACAGTTTTGTTCCTATTTTTGCCAGTTTCTGCGTGGGAGCAATTTTTACTGGATGGAACGTCGCAATGGGTATACGTAAGTACCTTTTAAGTTTCAAAGTACTTTCAGAAGAAATTTCATCCTTATTTAATAATCTTTAGGAGAGGCAAGACATTTTATGAAATTATCTGGTGCAAAAATTGTTTTTACTGACGAAAGTGCGGTAGGCATAATACTCGAAGCGGCAAAACTCGAAAATCACGATATCAAGGTTGTCGTACTTGGTAAGGCTTTGAATGCTTTGTCCTTTTCGAAAGTACTTGAAGGTCATAGCAAGTTCGATGTGGAGAATTTTGAATGTGCGCAAATCGATAACTTCCATAATACAGCTGCACTTCTTTTTTCGTCTGGTACTACTGGCAATCCTAAAGGAGTTAGAATATCGCATTTCTTTCTATTGAATTACCTACTCTTGCCGAACGATTTCAATGTCATAGGAGTTCCATTCTGGCTGTCACAATACTTTTGGATTAGTGGAATTTTGTTAACATTCAATTCTGTGGTGAATTATAACAGAAGACTACTTTATCCTGCATTCGAAGAGGAGATGTTGTGTAAAATCATAGAAAAATATAAGGTAAGACCAATAGCCGTAATGTGATATAAAATTATTAACCGGAATTATTAATATCCCATCCCATGGAGATGGACGATAGTTTATACATTGTTCATATGGTATCGGCTACAAATACCGAATAAGTAACATTTGAAAATCTTGACGATGTGTTATAAGTAATACGATGTGTTGCCTGTTTGCAGGAATACGACAATTAATTTTTATATATGTATCTTAAATGTTAATATAAATTATTGGTTTACAGGTTACATGGATTTTCTTGTCTCCTAGCATGGCAAATAGAATATTGAAATCAGGGTATTTTAAGAAATACGACGTCTCCAGTATTATAGAAATATATGTTGGTGGAGCTATATTTACCGCAGAAAGTCAAATTAAGCTACAGGAATGCTTGTCAAATGGCAATGTCTTACAAATGTACGGTAAGGCGAAAAATATATATTTCCGATATTTTGATACGTATGTTAGAACTTGTAAACGAAATTTCTTTAAAATTAAAATTTCATTTAAATTTCCTTAGGATTGACTGAAGTTGGCCTTATAACAGTTCAAAAGCCACATCACAAAGCAGGTAGCATTGGAACGGTACGAAGGAATGCTCAAATCAAAATCATCGACTTAAAAACTAAATGCGTATTGGGCCCAAACCAGACAGGTGAACTTTTGGGAAAATCGTTAACTATGATGAACGGTTATTACAATAATCCTCAGGCAACGAAAGATGCGATCGATGATGATGGTAAAGAAAAAAAGAGAGATAAATATTATTTATTAAAGAAATTAGTTATCTATCCTGATCATTCGTCTAAACGACAGGATGGTTCCATACTGGTGATCTTGCGTATTACGACGAGGACGGGGAATTTTTCATCGTCGATAGACTGAAGGAAACAATGAAGTACAGAGGAATTCAAATCTCTCCAACCGAAATTGAAAATCTTTTGCAAACTCATCCCGATGTATTCGAAGTTGCGGTCGTGGGCATTCCCCATATTCTAGACGATGAGCATCCTATCGCTTTTGTTACCAAAGTTCCCGGTTCGAAGGTACGATCCTATAGAAAAAATTAAGAATGAACCTGATGAGAGTTTAGTTATTTATTAAATTCTCTTCAACATTTAGGTGTCTGAACGTGACCTTGAAGAATTGGTAGAGAAAAATATGACAGATCCCTATCATTTACGAGGGGGAGTGAAATTTTTAGAATATATGCCTTATACGGGTTCTAATAAAATTTCTAAGAAAGACCTTAAAGCAATGGCTAAAAACTATCAGGCCTAATGATCATTTCCGGGAAATGTTCTAATGAATAATTTGGAATGTGTAATAAAAATCGAAAATATAATATTGTTATACGAAATATGTATGGAAATTATTTATTCATTATTTTTATATAAATATCAATATCCCATTAAAATGTCGAATATTTTAAAACTCTCCTTATACGTAACATTCCGGTGATGTTAATGTGGATATGGATATTTGTTTAAAAGACTAAGGATTTAAAAATAATTTTAAAATTGTCTAAAGGATTAGTAAAATATTATTACTGATTTTTTTTCACTTTTTTGAAGGAATCTCGAAAGGTGAAAGAAAGATAACTTAAGTGACCATGTGTGTAACAATCCTGACAAGAAAGAATTATCATTTGAATAGTTATATTCAGTACTAATTTTATATAAAATTATACTATTTCGTTCTAATCCTCTTTTTGTCGCTCCTACGAATTCATTAAACAATGAAATATTGAAATTGCTTTTAATTGTTTATATTTGATTCGCGACTGGTAAATACAATGTTTTTTATTTCTTTTAAATCATCGACAGGAATGGTTTGCAGACAAAATATGATATACAGGATAATGCATTAAAATTTATGTTCATTTTAATATTTTTCCATGTTATTCTAAGTATTTATACTTAATTTATTTAACTTATTTATATATTATTTTTAATCATATTTAATAGCTTATGAATATTATTTTTTCATTTCTTTTGTATTGCTTGCTTTGCCAGTTTGTAATTTGGCTATATAAGAAAAGAATATAAAAGAGACTAATTAGATAATTTATTATCGTCTATTCTCTTGATAAGAAACAACCTTCCAATATTATCTTCTTTATTTCTAAAACTACGGAATACGAAAACGTCGCTTATGTTCGCCTTATCTAAACAAGGAACTGTTTAGTTCACAACTCATAACGTATTCTTTCAGTTATGCATAAATATGAAAAATTAAGTATAGGACAAATGAAAATAGAAAAATACGATGAATTATTAACATCTACGCCAACGATAGAATGATCGTAATCTATGGACGTAAAAATCTAAGGGAACGGTTAAAAACTTAAGAACAAAGAAAAAACCAGATAGAACCAATGATATTTAATTATTAATGATACAAATCTTTTATCAGGATACTGTTCTTTTCATGCTTTTCGAGATTTTACTAAGCATTCACTTAATATTTTATCGTCCGGTCTTTTCTTTAAAATTACTTGCCTTCACTTGGCTGCACTTTGATGACACATAAATTTCACACTTTGCACTTTGTTATCATTTATTATTTACCTCACTCATTTCATCGCACAAATTCATCATACTACTTCGTGTTACACTGATAATAGCGATATTTCGACCACATTTGTCGTCACTTTCGCATTCAACCTGATCGCTCGCTTAAATGACCCAGAGTTTAATGTGATCGGTTAAAGCCGCCTAAAAGTATTCATAGAACCTTCTGGCTGGCCTATTTCACACGTTACGCTCCTATCTTCTCCCAGATAGACGGGTCACTCTATAGAAACCTACATACGGAATTTCTAACTTTAAAACTGTACCTACCTCTGGTCTTCTTATGGGCACCAAAACGTTCACTCGTAAACGTTCTCTGCTGTCACCTCTTTTATTTATATCCTGCAGTTTAGCTATTTTTTTTCTGCAGCCGATATAGACATATGAAACTCTTAGCGATCGCTTTGGAAGTTGGTAACCCATTCCTTCTCTAAGAAATCACGGACTTTCGGATTCTCGCATAAACGCGTTAGTTCCGAACAATACTTTAAATGGAGTAGAACCGATATTACGGTGTTGCATAATATTCAAATATTGCTGCGCTTAACCTACATGACGATGCCACTTTTTCCTATTCGAACGCGAAGCTTTGTTAATGACGATATAAGCGTCCGATTCACTCGTTCGATCTATACGTTCTTTATTGGAGTTCCTGTCGCGATCAGTTTCCCCTTTACAATATTATTCATAATCGTGCGACATAAATACAGTTTCTCGGTTCGATACTATTCGTCGCGGGTTTTCCGAAAACTGTTGTCTATCTATTAAGACAGGGCATCGATTCCGCTCATCGATACCGGGTATCTCGTCGGGTATAAAGACAAGCGAACTTCGACAAGCTATCTACACTAGACTACTAAAATATAGATGTAACGCAGTCGCGTTGACGGGAGTGATCTGAGCTATCTGATTCTCATTTTTCGCCGCTTAATTGTCGATCACCTTTTCCACGTTTAATCCACGTTAAACCTTTTCCACTGAAATCCAATTATTCTTTTTCCAGGAATATCTCAGACTTGCTCGCACAAACTAATCTCGCGGCATTTCCTAATAATTTTCTTGGTTACCACCATGAGCATATCATCCCCTATTTTACGCTAAACAATACGCTTTTGCAAATTATATACATCCGTCGTCTTTTCCTGAGTTCAGGAACCTTTTTCGAAGATTGTGAACCGATACCAGCCGGTGTGCTGGCTCTAACTCACGACAATGATATCACTGGCTGCATCCATTACGATTGATATGATATGATCTTCGGATACTGAAGTATTTCTGTATTTTTAGATCTCCCGCTATTACCGCCTTCGTTGCTATATACTGTATCACGTGATTTCATCTTTTTTTAAAACAGAAACGCGCAGTCCCCACGTACATTGCAGCGAAAATATTTCAATCCTTCCACTTTCGAAGGCCTCTTAGCGCCTACGTGATTCGCCCCACCACAATTATAGTATTGTCACTTAATCCTTCCTTTCTCCGCGGTTACAACGGTTTCAGCCAACGTATCCTTCTCGACGCTCACCCGTTATAACTCTTTGCGAGGTTGGGGCAATGGTTCTCTCTGCATTTCCTCATCGTGCCGCCGCTGTCATTTCTTCTTAAAACCTCATACGTTCATAAATGGCACGAAGAAAATGTTCTGTCCGTGGTCCTTGAGATCATGCAAGATATCTGAGTCGCTTATCGGATATTCGTTGGATAATGAGCTTGTTCTTCTCCTTTCATTAAAGTTGGTTGATCTCCGTGCGTCGCGAATATGTCCTCGGAGTGATGAAACATCTTTCTTAGGTGGTGCAATAGATCGTCCGTCGATAATAATACAAATTCGGTGGTAGAAGGATATCACTATCGAATGTTTATCTTTAATCGTGAAGCAATCAATAATTGCTGGATGATAAATCAGCGTGATCTCATCAATATTTATACCTCGTAATTCGTGGAGTGTAATTCTAATTTCAAAAAGGAACTTTGATCTTTGTGATCGTTTAGGAGATAGGTTATAGATATTAAAGTAAGACTGAATATATCTCTAGTTGAAAATATACAATCGACAAACATGGATCGTAAATTGATAAACGTGAGTGACAAAATAACTTCATTATATTTTATTTTCTACGCGATTCAAAATTTGAGAAAGATTTGATCCTAATGCGTTATGTTAAAATAAATTAATAACAAGCTGAGAGACGCGATCGATTAAGATACATTTACAAGTAGACTCATCTTAAATAAATCATTTCAATCGATTATTTCAGAGTAAGACCGATTTCATTAAGGAAGGTAATGTATTCAAAGGAAAAGAAGTACCTTTTTCTACGGAATACACGAACATCGGAAAGTTACTTTTGGACAGAATGAAAGCTAAACCGGACTTTATTGGTCAGGTAAGTAAATGATCATAACGAGCTAAATAACTCGTATCAAATAAAGTGTCACTATGCATAAACAATATTGGTATTATTATACTAGTTACAAAAATTGTACCGATGAACCTTGAAAAGATAAAAAGCTAGCATTTTTCTCTTTATCAATCTGTATTGTGAATCATGCCATTCACCGAAATGTAGAATGTAGCCCCATAGGTTGCCCCATTCTAACGTCTCCGATATTTGGACAGATTATAAAAAGAGAATTGCGAAAGGTAGGAAAACGAAATTATAAGACCCTTGACCCTACTCAGAGTACAATCTACTTACATGGATAATCATAATAATAATAATAGTAATAATAACAATGGTGTCGTTGATGATGAAGATAATAGTATAATAATGCTAATGTTAATAGGGAAAATAAAAATAAAAATAATAGTAAATATTGGATTATGCAACAAACGTAACATTTTGCAAAGTATTATGTAGTCCTATCGATAAGCAATGTTAAACTCGTACTGGTTTCATTTACATTTACCTGCTCTAATTCTTTTTATATCGTTTATTAGAAAATATATAATTAATCGATAGTTAATATCAATGATAAACAGATAGACGTTATCACCGAAGAGACATATACATTTGCCGAAATGTTTGATCAAACTGTAAAATGTGCACTATGGTTGCGTCAACAAGGAATCAAAGCTAACGATGTGGTCGCCGTATGCACTCCTTACATTATGGACAGTTTTACACCAATTTTCGCTAGTTTCTGCGTGGCAGCAATTTTTACATCCTGGAATTATTCAACGGACATAGGTAAATATCTTTCAATTATCGAAGTAATTTCTAAACGAATCTTGTCTTTATCTAATCTTTTTTTTTTAGGAGAGGCAAGATATCTTATGAAATTATCAGGTGCAAAAATTGTTTTTGCGGACGAAAGTTCGGTAGGTACGATATTGGAAGCGGCAAAACTCGAAAATCACGATATCAAGGTAGTCGTTTTCGGTAAGGCTTCGGATGCTTTGCCCTTTGCGACAGTAATCGAAGGTCATAACAAATCCGACGTGGAGAGATTTGAATGTGCGCAAATCGATAACATTCAAGATACAGCAGCTATTCTCTATACATCTGGTACAACTGGCCTTCCTAAAGGAGTTAAGATTTCACATTCCGCTCTTTTATGTAATGTACTCTTACCAAGTTTTGTCAAAGGCGATGTAATTCCACTTTGGATGACGCCATACTTTTGGATTAGTGGAGTTTTATTAACCTTGAGTTCTGTGGTGAACTATACCACTAGGCTCCTTTATCCTTCATTCGATGAGGAAATGACGTGTAAAATTATAGAAAAGTATAAGGTGAGATGAGAAGGCGTTATTTATTATTATATCATTAATAACAATAGTTATAGCGTATGAAGTAATACGAAAGGTTTAACCCTTTCTTGGGAAACCCGTTTACATGGGTTTCAAAATTTCTTTCCTGATACCAAAACAATATATGTTTACTTAACGGAGCAATATAATTAATATACATATATGTATTTTAAATGATAATACAAATCAATTGGTTTATAGGTTACATGGGTCTTCATGTCTCCTAGCATGGCGAATAGATTAATAAAATCAGGTTATTATAAGAAATACGACGTATCAAGTGCTATGTATCTATGTGTTAGTGGTTGTATATTTAGCGCAAGAAGCCAAGTTCATCTTCAAGAATGCTTTCCAAATGGCCACGTTATACAAATATACGGTAAGGCGAAGAAAATACGGGCGATATATTTCGATAGATGTAAACTGAGACTTTCAATAGAATCGTTAAAATTATTTTAGGAATAACCGAACTTGGCGGCACTGTAACGACTCAAAAGCTACATCACAAAGCAGGTAGCGTTGGGGAGATAGTAAAAAACGTTCAAATCAAGATCGTCGACTCAGAAACTAAAACTATATTGGGTCCAAATAAGATAGGTGAAATCTTGATAAAATCGTTAAATATGATGAATGGTTATTATAATAATCCCCAGGCAACGAAAGATGCGATCGATAAAGATGGTAAAGAATAAAAGAGAGATAAATATTATTTATTAAAGAAACTCATTTAGTTATCTATCCTGATCATTCGTCTAAACGACAGGATGGTTCCATACCGGTGATCTTGCGTATTACGACGAGGACGGGGAATTTTTCATCGTCGATAGACTAAAGGAGACAATGAAGTATAGAGGAATTCATATCTCTCCATCCCAAATTGAGAAACTTTTGCAAACTCATCCTGATGTAATCGAGGTTGCAGTTGTGGGCGTGCCCCATCTTCTAGACAATGAGCACCCGATCGCTTTTGTTACCAAAGTTCCCGGTTCGAAGGTACGATTCTATAGAAAAAATATCAATATCCTGATGAGTATTTAGTTATTTGTTAAACTCTCTATCCAACATTTAGGTATGCGAACGAGACCTTCAAGAAATGGTGGCAAAAAACATGGCAGATTTCAATCATTTACGAGGCGGTGTGAAATTTTTAGAAAAAATGCCTTATACGGGTTCCAGGAAAATTTCCAGAAAAGACCTTAAAGCAATGGCTAAAAGTTATCAGGTCGAATGATTTTATTTTTAACGAATTTTGTGATCACTTATTTAGAATGTGAAATAAATTGTTTCTTCTATAATATGATATTGCTATGGGACATGTGGTATAATATTTATGGAAAATATTCATTCGTTATTGACATATAAATATCAATGCTCTTCCCCATTAAAATGCCGAATATCTTCATATTTTCCTCTACGTAACGAAATATATGCGGACGTGTATATTTCTTTTTGACTATTCATTTATTTTTTCTGATCGATTGCCGAACGTATGCGTTACATTTACATAATCTTTGACATTGCAAATAAAATGGCTTGTTAATAATAACGGACAAACTTTTTTTTTTATTCTAAACTATTGCCGAAGAGTGTTTGCCATATTTGATATATAAGATAGTACATTGAAATTTATGTTTTTAATATTTTTTCATGCTTTTCTAGGTATTTATATTTTTTATTTAACTTATTTAAACATTATTTTAAATGTATTTAATAGTTTATCAATATGACCAATATAAATAGCTCGTATCAACAGCTTATTTATATTATTTCTTTTTCGTTTTCTTTTGACTTGTTCACCTTATCAGTTTACACTTTTAGCAGTATAAGAAAAGAATTTTAAGTAGAGGTTACTGAGATTAGATAATTTATTATCGCCTATTCTCTTGATAAGAAGCAACCTTCCAATATTATCTTCTTTATTTCTAAAACTACGGAATATGAAAACGACGCTTATGTTCGCCTTATCTAAACAAGGAACTGCTAAGTTCACAACTCATAACGTATTCTTTCAGTTATGCATAAATATGAAAAATTAAGTATAGGACAAATGAAAATAGAAAAATACGATGAATTATTAACATCTACGCCAACGATAGAATGATCGTAATCTATGGACGTAAAAATTTAAGGGAACTGTTAGAAACTTGAGAAAAAAATAGATCGACTGGATAATTTTATAACTTTGAGAGAAACTTAAGGCTGTTCACTGTCAAAGCGTATATGTGACTTCAGCGTCAGGTATAGACAAAAATTATGAACTATGAAACCAAGAATGATTGACGTTTTTGTCTAATTGCCAATGGCTCTTTTTCAATTTCCCATCTGGTGTTATTATTTCCCTTGAAACAGAGATATCTAATGGATTTTATTAATTTTATACAAGAAGTGCGTAGCCCCCTTTTACAAATTTTCCCGAACATTGAAATAGTTTTTGACGCTGTTGTTTTCCATTCGAAAGAATTTACTTGTTCCCGAATTTCGGGCTCGATTTTGAAAGGGTCTTTTTTCAACGATTCTACAAATAGATTTTTGGCATGCATTAAATCCTCATCACATAAATTGAATGTCTGAGAACAAATCGTGTCTGGTCCATAATCATCATTGTTTTCAATATGAAATTTCTTCGCGGAATGCTGAAAGTTTTTTACTTTTCGCGAATCACGAATTCGACGTTTTCTATTATTGACAATACCATTGTTTTTAGATAGGAAGGAATCTTTGAAATATATGATTCACTTTTGTGATCAATGACTCATATTACATACACTTATTACGATCTGATTTTTTTCCCCTTCAGGTAGACGAGCACGCTTAAAGAATAATGCTATCCTATCAGTTACAAGAATAATTGAAGCAATATTACGTTCTCTCTATATTATCTTTTAACTGATACATGTGTATTTTTTCACTGATTTACTCATAACTTGAATAAGAAATAAGAGGGAAAAAAGTAATAAAGTTTTTTTTTCAGAAAAATTAATAGTCCGTCAATTATCGAGAATTACTCTAGTTACGTTTCATTTTTATCGAGACGCTTGTTGAATAAACGTAAAGTATGTTGTTATTTACTGAGTATGTGTATCTTCGTACGACTATATTTACTATCTTTTCTTTTTAAAATAAAAGAAAATCTATATATTTAACGTTAGATAAATATATATTGTTTAAACATTCTTGAAAGCTTATCTTTAATACGTCCAGATTTATTTTTATGTGATTAAGGACATATGTATGTACACGATCATCTAAGTCGACAAATTTACAACTGGGCATGAACAGATCATTAAATTGTAAAATAAAATCTTTACAATTGACTTTTATATATCACGCTGTTTATTTTGCTTGTCTTCTTATCGTACATTTCTTTCGTTGATATATAAATATATATATATATATATATATATATGTGTAGAGGTAGACCTAAATGCGAGAAAAATTCATATTTTTCTTACCATGAATAATTCATTTTTTAATTCATACTTTGATTAGATTAATGTTCGTTACACATGTTTTATATTTCTATTTAAAAGCGTTTGAAAGAAATAATACCTTTATTGTGAAAGATGTTATGACATCTTTAATGGATAAAGTTGAAAAATTTAAATTACTAGATGACGTAGACGTGAACATAGTGGTGGTAGGAGATAAGAGAATAATTCCCAATCATTTGTCTTACATATTTTCTAGAAAAAGAAAGTTACCTTGATTTTGTCAACAGTCGAAACTTTGAATTCATAGGATACGGTTCTAATATCAAAAGACCACTTAAATCGTTTTTTTTTGTCTTTCAGATCGCTTGGAGAGATTATAGTGCAACTAATATAGTACTATAGTAGTAGAAAAATTTATATTATAATCGATAATCATGGTGGTCGATAAATTAATAAACGTAAGTCGAATTTCATTTTTTAAGTAACCTAAATTTTGAAGCAGATCATCAATCATTAAGTGTGATTAAGTTAAAATGTACATATGTATTATATACGGTTAACGAGTTAAGAGACACGATCGGTTCAGATTAATTTTGTAATAAATCTTTCCTTTATAATGCTAAAATGATTATTTCAGGATACATCCAGTTTTATTACAAAAGATAATATATTGAAAGGCATAGAAAAACCTATATCCTTGGAATATACAAACATCGGAAAGTTGTTGTTGGATCGAATGAAGGCTAAACCCGACTTTGTCGGTCAGGTACATAAGAATCTCAAATAGCTAATAGTTCGGATAAAGTAAAATGTCATCGTACTAACATCACGCGTACGCACACAATGTTTTTTAATGTTTATTAAATTAATCGCATGAAATATTATAAAGGGTGATCCATTTAAATAAAACCATCTAAATAAAAAATATTTTTCACGTAATATGAATGGTATCAAAGAATCGACAAGAATACTTTTTCTTGAAGATCATTTGTCTCTCGAAGTTATCAATGTTTTCTTGTATACAACTATATATACATATATATATATATATATATATATATTTTTTTTTTATTGCATATTTCAGCTGATTAAAAAATACGTTAGGACATATATAATAACTAAAGTTTTATGTAAAATTTATATCTAGCGAGGTCGGAAAAAGCATCGATAACCTTGAAAACATAAAAAAAATGAACTTTGAAAATGATGATATTCTTATCGATCCTTACATTATTGACATTATGTTAAAGACATTTTTTGCGTCGTCACAATTCGATGAGACATTTAGATACTTATTTACTTAAATAGATCACTCTGTATAGCATTGAAAAATTTATAAAAATGAGATAACTCAGGATAAAAGCGTATCATTCATTGAACTTGAATAATGTTACTGAAACAAAAACAGATTGATGTGATTACCGAGGAGACGTATACTTTTGCTGAAATGTTTGATCGTACCGTAAAATGTGCTCTATGGTTACGTCAGGAAGGAATCAAAGCTAATGACGTGGTCGCCGTTTGCAGTTCAAATATTATGGACAGTTTTACACCAATTTTTGCTAGTTTCAGTCTGGCAGCAATTTCTACTCCTTGGAACACTGAAATGGATATAAGTACATGCTTCTCCTCTTCAATTTCTCAATCATTAAAAAAAGAAAAAAAAAATAATCAAAATTACTAAATATCATTTTCAGGAGAGGCACGTTTTTTCATGAAATTATCCAATCCAAAAGTCGTTTTTACGGAAGAATATTTGGTTGATACATTAATCGAGGCAGCGAAACTCGAGAATCACGATATCAAGATTGTTGTCTTTGGTAAGACTTCGAATGCTATTCCGTTTTCGAAGGTACTTGAGGATCATAAGAAATCCGACGTGGATAATTTTGAATGTAGTCCAGTCGATAACATTTACGATACAGCGATAATCGCTTACTCATCCGGTACGACTGGACTTCCTAAAGGAGTACAAATTTCCCATTACGCTTGTTTGTATCAAGGTGTCTTTGTTGAAAATACGAAAATTTGTAATATCAGATTATGGATGACACCATATTTTTGGATCACTGGAATATTGTTAACGTTGAAATCCACGATTAATTATTACAAAAGGCTCCTTTATCCTAAATTCGAAGAGGAGATGATGTGTAAAATCATAGAAAAGTATAAGGTAAGATCATAAAATATAATGTAATGTAAAATAATTAATGTGTCAGAAGATATTCGACGCTTTACATTTTCATGATCGTATCTATTGCAAAGGCAAACGAAGCTCCTTGTGATATGCAAACCTTTAGCACAGAACTTTAATACAGAGAAATCTGTTTATACTTTCTTTACTAATGGCAAAGAAATATTATGATATGTATATGTACATATATTGAACGAAAAAATAAATAATTGAATTGACAGGTGACATGGCTGCTTCTATCACCTAGCATGGCGAATAGAATAATGAAATCAGGATATCTTAAAAAGTACGACTTATCTACCATTGAAGATATCTTTATAACTGGTGGTATATTTAACGCGGAAAGTCAAAGAACCCTTAAGACATACTTGATTAATGCAACGATAACGCAACTGTACGGTAAGAGGAAAATAATAAATTCGACCTATTTTGGCCTGTCTACAAAATGATCGTTTTAACATTTACTATTATAATGATCAAAGTTCTATAATTGAATTGAAGCAAGGTTTTGCTATTTAAATGTTTGACTATAAAAAATATTCCATCTTGATATATCATGAAATGAGTTAATTTACTCTAATTCAATATAACATTCTGTACAGATTTGTTGAACATAATAATTTTACGTTCTATCTAATAATAACTTGCAATATAAAATATATTATTGAATTATAAAATAATATCGCAATTTAACACGTTTAACAATAAAATTTACTAAAATTAAACGATATTGAACAAACAAATCATCAATAAAAATTTAATATTATATTATAATAATAATAATAATAATAATAATATTCTTTATCTACGGTATTTGACGAAACATTTGTTTTTACAAGGTGGAATTTTAAAAAAAGATCTGCAAATAAGATAATAGTATCTCTACGTTCCTCATTTTTTGCAGACACGCATAAAAGTAAAACTACGTTACTTACGGTATTTAAGCCAAGATTTTGAAATGAAGTACGTTACAGGTCTCGAAAATGTCGATAAAATTATTTAAATTTTCTTAGGATCGACAGAAATGTGTAATTCTATGACGGTTCAAAAGCCATATCACGAACTTGAATCGATTGGTACGGTATCTAAGAACGTTCAAGTCAAGATCATCGATGTAGAAACCGGAAATACATTGGGTCCAAATAAGACCGGTGAACTTTTAGGAAAATCGCTAATAATGACCAAGGGTTATTATAAAAATCCACAGGCGACCAAAGAGGCGATCGATCCTGATGGTAAGAGAAAAAAAAAAGAAAAATTAGAGAAACATGACCGTTCGTTCTATCATTTAATCTAATTATTCGTTGTAAACGACAGGATGGTTTCATACCGGTGATCTCGCCTATTACGATGAGAAAGGCCAATTTTTCTTTGTTGATAGACTAAAAGAAATGATAAAGTACAGAGGTTATCAAGTTTCGCCTTGTGAGATTGAGAATCTCTTGCAAACTCATCCCGACGTTGTCGAGACTGCGGTTGTGGGTGTTCCTAATCTGCAGGACGATGAGCATCCCATCGCTTTTGTTATCAAAGTTCCCGGTTCGAAGGTATCATTGTATTTGAAGCTATTCGATAGAAAATTAAACAAGCCATTTGACAAATTCTAATTAACATATAGGTAACCGAACGAGAACTTGAAGAATTGGTGGCGAAAAATATGACTGAACGTAATCATCTACGCGCGGGTGTGATATTTTTAGAAAAAATGCCTTATACACCTTCTGAAAAAATATCTAGAAGAGAGCTCAAAGCCATCGCTAAAAGACATTTCTGCAAATGACTGTTATCGCTGAAATTGTCGGTAGTGGAAATTTCTATGGGATTAGAGAGCGCATACAAAAAATTATGACAATATATTGTATTATTGTGTTATACACGTAGACTTTTCTTCATTTAATTCTTATCTATACAATAATATCGTTATAATGTTTAACGTGAGATTGAATTTAGCGAAAATCACCTTAATTTTGGAAGGGCACCAAAAAGGATAACTATATTAAAATGCAGTTCTTTTTCTTTTCTTTTTTATCAAGAACGTAAGAGAAACGGAATAAGGGAGAAGATAAGAAATCAAAAATAAAGGAAACGTTTATCGATATCTTATAGTCAAATCTATACTAATTTTCAGACGAATTACGCTACGTCATATTAACATAATGTAGTTTGTACTGGAATATTTGCACTAACGATATTTATGCATTACATTAAGTTTTTTTTCTTCATTGCCTCATTTATAACCTCGTGCAGCCACTTCTTGGAACATAGCTACCAAAGAGTCCATAGTTTCTTCTCCCGTGGGAATGATTTGATTTGCCGGAAGTATAAAACCGTATTTTCCGGTATCACGCAATTCATAGGTGTAGGCAATTTGTTTGCGCAGAGTTCCTTTGATCCAATCTACGCTACTTCCGGTAGCGATGTCTATAAATGACAAGAATAATGTTAAGAGAAATACAGAATGAAATACAAGAAAATGAAAAATTGAAAAAAATTTCTCCTTGCACTTACATATAGTTTCGGCAACGTTTCCAGTATGATAAGAGGTTCCATACCTTTTAGCAAGTGCATTTATCGACTTTTTACCGATCGCCAACTGTTATACAGAAAATAAGAAAATAAGAAAATCGAAAAAAGAGAAGAAAATTAAACAATCGTCGGATTATAATACCTCTCTTTTTAATAATTGTGCTCGACAAAGAAAAAAGAAGAAAAAGAAAAAAAAAGAAAAAAAAAAAGAAAGAAAAAGATTCCTTACCAAGTCGTTGTAATTTTCAAGATGTTCCGTCGTGTGACCGTAAGGGAAGAGTAATAATTGCGAGTAACTGTGAAAAGAGATGAACGCGAAGAACTTGTCAGATATCGATTGTAAGTATTGGGACAGACTCTTTGTTTCGATTTCCGAGAATGCGGAACTTCCGGCGTATGTCTCCGAGCAAGGATTCGAACTGGAGCCACCAGCTAAAAAAATGACAAGTTAAATGATTTCTAAATGATTCCTTCGTTTGCGTTGTTAAAAATTAAATTTCTTTTTATATTAACTGTTCCATTTGTATCCCCAGTTTCTATTTGGATCGGAACCGTGGCAGAAGAACGAGTAAGGTTTGCGCGTTTTTCTCCACAAACGATTCTGCAAAACAAATTTAAAATGTATTAATAATTCAATCTATCATCTAAATTCATTGCAATATCTTATATTACGATATAAATTGGATATGTAAATAACGTACTTTGGTATGCGTGTAGGCATAACCATCGGGATTGACGCTCGGGAAGATATACCAGTCATGTGCTTTGGCAAGTGAACTAATTTCTGGATCAGCACTGTTCAACAAACGATCGATAATATATAAAACGGTGGCAGGTGATATCCACTCTCTCGCGTGAATTCCACCCTCAATTACTATGCCAGATTTGTTTTGGCCGAAACTCAATTTCACCCCTTTGATTTGACGACCCTCATAACTTGATCCACCTATAATGACCTTGACGTTGTTAGGATAATCTTTGGCGAGATTGTCCAAGTGTGCGTAAATTTCATCGATCGTGTGATACGTGTTAAGGCTAAAGCCATCTAAACTGGCTAACTGTCCCTTCGGCATCTCGGAATCGATCAAGTCTTGAACATTGTCGATGAATTTCTTGTAGGATGTACCAAGAACATTCATCAGATCGAAGAAATCTGCTAACTTGTTTGGTGCTACCATGATGTCCACAGTCATGTTCACTGTAGATGATATTTTCCAAAGTGAGAACTATAGAGAGAAAAAAGAAAAGATATTATTTTAAAATATTAAAATCAAACTATAATTTTTAGCGATCTATTTTAACGATTTAAGAATTAACTTACGCCATCGTAATCCTCGATCTGACTAAGAATTTCCAATTGTGATTTCGTTGATGGAAGAACACTGAAGACTTGGTAATTTTCGTAGGACGCCTTTTCGGCTGCCACCAAGGCGACCAACGACAGAATAAGGAGTTTATACATGATTGAAAGCTCTGTGAAAAGAAAGAAAGAAAGAAAGAAAGAAAGAAAGAAAAAAAAAGTAAAGAAATAATAAGATTAATAACGTTGTTTGTGCATTTATACAAATTAGTTTTAAAGGAAGAATCATGAAACAATTCGTTTTTGTCTTACCCACTTTGAGAACTAATCAAGTCTGTGTCTGTTCGATAATCTGACCTGCTATTTAAACCAAGAGAAATACCTGCACACGGCACCAAGATATATATCGGTGATCATTCTTTTGTATTTCATTTAAAAAATTACATCGATCGATTTGTGAATCTTCTCTTATCATTCCCGCGGTTTCTAGAACGAATGATTTATCTAGTCGATCGGAACAATCGAGGAAGAATTATCCATACTCCAATTGATGGTAATTGTAATTTTTAAGATCAACATAATAAAATTTCTTTCAATATCGATCAATACCATAAATTTAAGACTACGAAAACATAAGATTTTTCTTCCTTATTATTTACTTTAGTTTGACTTCACTTTTGATTAGATTTAAGCAAGAAGAGTATATATATTCGTTCTTTTATTTCTTTTTCTTTCATTTTTCATTTTTCTCCCCTTTTTCTTCTTTTTCTTTTTTTTTTTTTTTTTATCTTTTTCGTTACAAGAATAAACAGAAAATGGAGATTAGCCGAGTATGTATTTTCCGTCGTTAATATTGTTATCGGTCATTTTTAAAAAAAACTCGTCGCATTGATGATCGATCGACTTTTTTTTTTACAATGTCATTAGTTAATTACTTTCTAATCTATTGAAAAGATTTCTATTTATTTTAAACGTGATTACTTATCACACACACACACACACACACACACACACAGATTAACGATTCTTCACGTGATTCTTCGGTTGAAGAAAATCTTAATTGGTAATGAAAATTTACCGAATAAAATAATTTCTTTGGAAGAATCAAATAAAACGGATTAATTAGAAATATTCAGGTCATGTTATTCTTGATAACGTATTACGTGGATATATAACGACCGATATAAATCTATAAGATTATTACGAATAATTCGGAGCGGCGAGGTTGGAAGAATGGATGATATGATATTTTATTATACTTGGAAATAAATTAACGTATATTAAAATGAAATCTATTCATTATTAGATATACAAAGTATTTTAGTCCATTTTTTAATTAAATCCATTTCTTAATTAAAGCCACTTATCTTATCACTCGATAATATTTTAACAGTCGACGATCGATGATGCCATTATTTACATTTTGCTTTTATACACATAATATTATTGTTGATATTCACATAATTTTTTGTTACTTATAATATATCATTGATAATATTAAAAGATAAAAGTGATTTAATAAATGCGATATTAAATGTAAAAGAAAATTGTTGCGTTAAAGAAAAAAAAGAAAGAAATTTATAAATAAAATTTCTTTTCAATTATATGTAAAAACGTTAAAGTGAATTAATTATGGTCGTGATCCATATCCAAGATCCAATGCTTTTTGAAACATGGCGATCAAGGAATCCATCGTTTCCTCTCCCGTAGGAATGATTTGATTAGCTGGTAACAAAAAACCGTATCGGCCTTTATCACGAAGCTCGTACGTGTAAGTTATACGAGGACCAATAGCGGCACGAACCCAATCCATCGAACTACCAGCTGCTGGATCTATGAATAAATCAATAAAAGCAAATGAATAAATCAATGAGCAAATTTTTTATATACTGCGGTAGTATATGATTTGTTTTTTTTTTTTTTTTTTTTTTTTTTTTTTTTAGATTCATTCGTGGACGAACATACATTGTTTCATCTTGAGTCTCTTTCTACACTGTTGTTTTTCCTTTTTATTAACGATTCATTACTTACGATCTTACACGATCGCAAAGGTACACGCTAATAATTAACTTTTTCGAAAAAACATTTTTTCTTTCGTGTTTTTGTTAAATAAAATGTTATAAATTAACACATTTCCATATTTTAAATTGCCATTTATATAGCTTGCACAAGTGTGTTAATTTAATATAAATTTTATACTCTTCTTAAGTTAATTAGGAATTTCAACACAGATATTTTTTATACGATCTTTTTTCTCTTTGTCTTTCGTTCTTTTTTTTTTTTTTCTTTTCTTTACACAGTACGGATCAATTGTGCAAAATAGAGATCCAATTGTAACTACTTACAAATAACATCGACTACGTTTCCAACGGTGTAATCGATACCGTATCTCTTCGATAGAGCCTTGACGGAGAACTTTCCTATTTCCATAAGATCGTCGTAATTGTCGATTCTTTCGTTGCTATGACCGAACGGTATAAGCAACAATTGGCTGAAACTATGGAAGGCTAGATAAGCCGTCAATTTTTCCGGTATACTTTTCAGAAACCTTGACATCGACTCCGATTCGATTTCAGAAAATGCTTTGGGTCCTGGATATGTTTCAGCGCAGGGATTAGAACTTGTTCCTACTTCTACGCGATCAATTGGAAATAAAATAATATAAAGAAATAGTATACGATTTTATCTATGAATTTATTCGACGATTTATTATTTAAGGTATATACCTGCCCAATGAGATTCCCAATTTCGATTGAGATCAACGCCTTTACATCTCAGCGCGTATCTTTTCAAATTCTTCCTCCACAATCGATTCTAAAAAACAAAGATCTGTGTCGTTTGTACTTCGCTCTTGAATTATTTTTTCTTTTTCTTTTTAGCCTTTTCAAATTCGAAATCTTATCGCGCTCGGTGGTCATTTGATTAAACATTACACCTTGATTTAGAATTTCATCGATTGTAAATATTTAATTGTAAATATTTGACATAGTAGGCGTAAGAAAGAGAGAAAAAACAGAAGAAATTAATTTCCTTCAAAGTGTACTTCGAATCGATTGACCTTCGAATTTTAATTAAATCTCGATTAAGAAATCCTTATCAATAAAACGATTACGTACGATCAAAGGAAAGAAAAAGGCTTATTTGGTTATCGATCGATCGATCGATCGATCAATCATTGCATACGATCGTACATAAGCGACAATCAATAGAGATTTTATCCAATATCTCTCAACGGGTTCTCTATTTTTTCTTTTCTTTTATTCTTTTCTTTCTTCTCTTCTTATTTTTTTAAGTCGAACGATTGCACTCATATCTTTTCGTTGATAAAAATGTGTAAGTTTGTTTAAGACTATTAATAAGGATAAAAAAAAGATAATTGATTAATGAAATCGATAAAGATCGTGATACCAATTTACAATACGTTTATCTTTATCCGATCTTTTTATTCGTTTAATCGATAACAAGACCAAGATTTATTCTTACCGTAGTATGTGAATATTCGTAACCATCTGGATTGAAAATTGGGAATATATACCAAATATAGGACTCCGCCAAAGTCCTAATAGCAGGATCTTCGTTGAATATTAATTCGTTTGCCACGTATGTAGTTGTGGCTACCGATATCCATTCCCTCGCGTGAATACCACTTTCCAAGAAGATCGACGTATTTTGATTAGGATTAAAACGAAGCATTAAACCTTTTATAGGCCTGCCAAGAGTACTGACTCCACCGTTCACAATTTTAACGATTTTAAAATGTTCCTGAGCGAGACTTTCCATCCATTGATATATCTATAATGAGACAAATACAAGTTTTCATACAAAAAGAAAAAAGAAAAAAAAAAAAAAAACAGTAGAACGAGGAATTCATTTTTTAAGGGCATTAGAAAGGTTTTTGAAATTCCGAAAAAGAAAGAATTGAAAAATTTTTGCATAAAACGATAGCATTATGATCCTTTTAAAAATATACTTCGGTTTAATTTTTTCGTGAAATTTGCTAATTTTTATAAGATTTTATTAATTGAATCAATCTAGCAAGGTATTCAAGTTTAATGGATCTATCACGTTTTATTACTATACAACGGAATAGTGAGAATTCCGCTCCAAAAAGCAGCTCCAGCTTAGAAGAATATTTTTAAATAGCGTAAATTATCTTCCTGTTCTAATATAAATATTCTATCGAAACTTGAAATTTATATAAAAGTTGTAAAACAATATAACATAGCATAATCTGAAATTAAATTGACAATTTTATGATTACAAGGAACACGAATTATTTCAAATTTTTCGTTATCTCAATTCGTCATTTTATTATTAGAATAATTCCCAGGTAAATAGTATCTTATTTTATAACGTAACAATTAATGTTCTT